TAGACGCCCCCTCTTACGCCTAAGGTCCTTATTAGGCCTATAGTAGAAAAGGTAGGCTTTACCTCGTTTCGCTTTACTATAGGCACCTCCTACTAAGATCCCTAGCGTAACCCTAAGGATACCCTACGGTTTCTTATAGGTTTATAGAACTATAACTATCGTTAAACTTATATCTAAGTTAGGAATTTACCTCGTAAATATACCTTAGTTACTATACGAATAGCTAATTAAGAGTACTTACGTACTTAAAGAGTTATAAATACTTAGGGTTAGCTATTCGCGTAAGTTATACGGATATTAAGGCCTATACGTTTATTTATTTATTTATACGCCGCGCGTAGAGAAATAAATAGGACTAATTCCGCTTCTTACCCTTACTCGGACTTTAAATATTATATTAATAGTCTTCGCAAGATTCTTCTAACTATTAATAATATTATCTATAATACCTATATAGCGACTAGTAAGGTACTATTATATATATAGGTATATTTAGGGGGCTTGCGGATCCTATACGGTATACTTATAGTATATAATCTAATTATAAGTAGTAATTAATAACTAATAATAAATATTAATATAGCTAGTGCTTATACTAAGGGGTTATACTTACTAGGCATTATAGCAGCACTCTTTAAAGATAACGCTATATAGGAGTAGTCTTAGGCCGCCGCCGATCTAGAGGCTAAAGCTAAGTTTTCTACCTGTAAGAGGTATGCGAAAAGCATCGCTGTTAGCCGTCGTTATAAGCGACCGGACCACAAGGCATGCGCGCACTGCTCTGGACCAACGAAGTCTTTCCCACTTTCGAGGCGGGAAGCACTCATGGACGAGCAGTAGCGGAAAATTGGGGTCCGGAAAGGATGATTCCATCCTTGCTGGAGGCGAAAAGTTGATGCTGTCGTAATGCTTACGGACCTATGCGGCAACTGAGCTGTCACGAAGGATTTGCGCATTTGCCGAGTTAAATTCCAGTACACCAGCCACGGGCAATGCTCGATACATGTTGGCATGGCGTAGCGATAGCAAACGACACGTAGATCTGCTTCAGTCCACCGTAAGCAGAACACGAATCTATGCTATAACTCTCGTCGGTTGACGACAAGATTGTCCGGTACAACGCCCTCACACTTTCGCAATGAGGTATGACCTGCAAACAAGAGCTCCGGAATAAACTAGAACGGCGGAATCAGGATTTGGAATTGCTGCGATGGGATCCCGCGATAAAAACCCATGAAATCTGGAAGTTTCAGACCGCATCTGATGAGGAAGCCATCCGAATTCTGTCGGGACTCAGAGTAGGGCACTCGCTCGAGGACATCGTGGTTAAGTCTGTCGAAACGGGTCGAGTGCTATGAGCGAACACATCTTGTGGCTTGGGTATCGGCCTCGAGTAGGTGGGTCCATTTGTGCCACGGTATCGTTAAGACACTTTGCGTACTTCATCAGATATCCACGAAGTACTCCACGTCTACCTTTGGAACGCGTCTCATACTCTCGTCGGGCTTCGAGTATCTATGTTATCCAAACTCGCCTTCATTTACGGTCTCCTCCCATCCTTGGCATAATGCGTGAATCCGTGGGATGACCGTGGAAATCCACGCTCGCTCCATCGGGTAAGACTCTTGTGGCCAAACGGTAGTGTGCATGATACCACACAGCACTGTCTTCACTTAGAAGCGTTAAGATCGAGCTTCGTCGCTTTCCGCTTACGAATTGAGGTGGACCAGCAAGAAGTGGAGTAGGGGTTCATGTTAGCATAGTCTTTCGAGAAGTTGGCATCTTACTCACTGGTGAGCGACGCGCAGGGTCAGGCAACGCTTGCTATCACTCAGCGAGCCATCTAAAAGTTGAAGCAGACGTTCTACCTCGTAATTGTGTGTACTTGCAAGAGATTGCACTACATCACAGGTGGAACGACGAATTCACATGAGACATATGAGAAGCGAAACCACGAATGACGGTCTCGTCTAGTGTTGATTATCTTGCCTGTGACGCTAGCCATATCTGTGCAGGATTTAGCCTTGACTATCGAGTCTAAATGTGCCATTGACAGCGGATATGCAACTCTTCTCCTCTCAGTCCAACCAAAATGAACGATAGATCAGACTGTGAATGATTTTGATCTGTGAGAAGCGTGAGTTCCTTTCCAACCGGAAGCTCCGCTATGTACACTTTACGTCGAGCTTCTTCTGTCCTGAGAGCAGGTCTGATCATTACGCTGTACTTGAATGGACGGGTTTGGTGCAACTTCATCTCGGTTGCAACTGGTGCGCTTGTAGCGGTAGCAAATACTTGAACCCAGTCGGTGTGATTCAAAGCTGCTTTCTCAGTAGAGATGTCGATCGGCATTTCCTCCAGTACGCGATTAGGCTGTCTAGCACACCATGATCGTTCGCCAGAAGGTCTCGTCTTAGAGCTTTCCTGCAGTCGCAGATTGTCGTTTGAACCATCGGCTTTCTGTACGGCTTGAATGTTTCTCGAACCTGTAGAAGTATTCCTACTCTTCATGGCCCAAATTTCCTGGCTCACGTAGCTTGTCCTTTCTGATCTTGGAGTGGATATCGTGGGGGTATACAGCTGGACAACATTTAGATTGATTGCACTCTGCAACGGGAAAGAAACCCAGGGATGGATTTTCCGCGATTTGGAATGTTCCGCCCTCACATCCACAAAAACCTGTGACAGAGAATACCGGAAGTGTTGAAGTGATTCTGGACTTAATTCCTTCAGATCTGGGACTGCCCATTGGGGAAACATCTGTCGATGTGCTCCAGTCACAGAGAATCGTCCATGCGCGCGAATGAAGGAATCACAAAGATAGCACGCCTCCTTGGAAACTCCTATTGCGCGTGGCATCAGTTTCGAGGGCTCCAGCTCATAATGTACCAAGAGCTGTATCTCGGCGTGAACAAATTGCTTGCTCTGGACTCTAGATGTCACCGAGGGCCGGTAGCTACGCATAGCAAGCCAATCTATATTCCTAAAATGGCTACGAAAGCGCTGAGAACAGACGGCAAGGTGTCGAGAGATACGCCAATAGTTGGAGACTTTGCCCACTTCCCGTATATCCCTGCCATCAAGATGCGAATCCGGAAACCCTATGGATCTCAGGCGCTCTGGGAGCTCTACTCCGTTGTTTGTCAGATGGAAGGCCTTTTTGATGACGTGTTTCACGTTGTTCACAATACTGTCTTTTGTCCCGTCTTCCAGTTGCTTAAAAGCTGATTCAAAATCAGCAATCTGCCTATCCAGCTTCTCGAATTCACAAGATCCTTTGTGTCTGGAAACTCTTTTCATGTTTTCGCGAAAAATATTCCGAAGGCGTTCAGGCAATGGTGTGCGAGCTTTGGTCAAGTGTGGAGGGCGCTGGAACCAAGACGACTCCAGCCGTCCAAGAATTCTGTTGCTGTTCAATTCAACGACCAAATCAAAGATCCTTTCTTGGCAACAAACTCGCGTGATACCTTGAAGTTGGAGTCAGCGTCATCTTACTGTGATCATCGAGTAAGAGAAAGCGTACTTCTACTTGCGTGACCTTTGAGCACGCTGAAGAGTTCGTTGAGGCTGCTTTGAACGTCTGGCGAGACACCTTCGTTTGCGGCAAGCCTGACCAGTATAGAGGGCTCATCTTTGGTCAACTCTATGGTGACTGCTGTCACATACTCCACTTTGGGCTGACAAGCGGCAATGAACGCGAAGTCGTCCGCAAGACTTCTCTCCACCTCGAATGAAAGTGGGTATGACTTGTCGTATCTGGAGGACGGGAAGGTCTTGGCATATGATCGACAGCCAGCAACATGTTGCTTTTGGTAGATCGCTTGTGTTTGACGCTCAAAGCTCTCGCGGTTGAAGTCGTTCCAGATGGACTGATCTCTAGTAGCCGTGTCAGGGTCTAGAACGCTCTCTTTGGCTGTCTCCATAATTGATAAGACTATTCAAGCATCAGATTGAGGGTTGCACATCGTATCTTGGTTTGTTCGATGAGGTTATCAGGCCTTCAGAACAGACTGACACGATGTAAATGTAGTGACGACGAATTATGCACCTCCAGATCTCACGCAACTGATAGGCCGCCTCCTTCTCGGCGTTGCAGATATAACCTGCAAGACCTTCTACCGCACAGATCCAGCACAGCAATGGCCACCTTCTGTATAACTTCTTGAGCACCAGCTTGCTCGCGAATCTGAGCACATCTGGTCAGACGTTCAGTATGGGCAATCAATGATCATTCAGCCAATCCTTCCGACATTCGCCGACGAGTCCACCACCGTCAATATTGGCGCAGCTCATAGTACAATCGGAGTGGTGCGTCATGGATATGCATGCAACGCAACGCGCGCATGCAGCGCTAGATGTTGCGAAATTTGCACAACCTGTGAAGGTATCAGCGAATCACAAAGATGGATGGTATAAGAATACTTGCACACGTGGGTCTCATAGCAGCACCTTTCCTTAGGTGCAAGCCGTAGTCGCATTTGTCAACATAGCGGTCGCGATATGTGTTGTCGCAAGCTCCTGACCACTGCAACATCCTAATCAACTCATCGGCTGAAGAGACTACTGAGAAGACCTTCCCCATCATTATATCTTAACATGACCCTCCCAAAACAGCAGATGATTGATAGCTATATTTTGTGCCAAATGCGATGTGTGTCGTCTCTCGGGGTCTCGAGCATTTCATTGACAGAGAGAAGTCGACCCGTGCCGTGGACGCTGCATGTGGGGTGGCAGCGGGTAAAGAAAGCGCTCTTCACCGGTCCAAGCTGTTGACAAATAGGAACGTGGTACGTGGTCAATTCTCACTATTCTTCCAGATGGAGGGTCACGATGGAATTGCTTGGGGTTAGGGCAGGACTGGTGGTGCGACCAGACAGAGAAGCTTCGTTTTTTTCGAGACATGGCGTCCGGGAGAAGCCGACGTTCGCAGAAACAATAGTGCCGTAACATTGGTGTGAAGATGTTAGACAAAGCAAAGCCTCACCACACTCATCCCGTCGAATAGGCCTCTCGCAAGCCATCGTACTAAGCCGTGTACGCAAAAATCTAACCGGGATGGGAGTTCGTACAGCCTATTCGACATGACTCTGTGTCCCGCCCTAACTTACATTGGTAGAGAAGCCATCCAAGGAACGTCGATCGCCAGCTTCGGTGTGGGTGTAACCGGTGAAGACACCAGCCAATCAGATCTGTTCGCGCAGCATAGCATAGCAAATCTGATACAACCAAGCTGGTACTTTCCTGAATGCCACGCGTATTCAGCTCCAGGGCGGCGCAGGCAACCGATAGTACTAGGATAGTCCTTTCAAGTTCATAATCACTACCATTAGTCTATTTCACATGAAGTACCGGCGATCATCTGCTTTCCCACGTCAGGACACAAAGATACTAGCGATATGGCAGACCAGGTATTCAATAAGTGGCCGACATGGTACGTAAGACTGTGTTAACGCATTTTAGGGCCTGTATAAGGATGAAGCGTTCTCGCAGTACGTCACAGTATGATCAAGCTCATCAGTTCAGAATATGGACGCCTAAATACCAGACAGCAACAAGGCAGTCAAGGAAGGATGGAGCGACTGGCCGAACTTCCTGGCGTCGTACGGACTTAAGCCAACAGCGGAGGGATATGAGGCAGGCAAACAGATTATAAAGACCATGTTAGAAGCTGAACAAGATACGAAAAAGAGTCAACCGAAAGAGTACAGCGGAGTCATGGAACGCAAGTGAAGTTGGATAGTAGGCATTTGCTGAACAGAACAGGTAGCTAAATAGTCGGCAAGACATCGACAAGATGGTTTAGGTCTTCAAGGGCAGTCAGTCGACGTTGAATGTTTTCCCACTATTTGAGTGAACAGCTCCGCTTGCCTATCACTCTGCTTAAAGTGAGCTATGAAGTACCGAGGACGTGAAAACAGTAGACTTACTTGCTCTTCTCTTGTCGCCATTATCTTCTCCCACACCCATCTGAACTCTGGTGTCGCTTTGGAAGAGAGGTAAACCCCTTGGAAACGACGATCCAACGAGCGGTCGAGGTTGCCATTCTGCAAAAGAAGATGTGGCGTTTGGGAAGCTCCATACAGAGCGCTCTGTAGCTTCCTGACTCCAGGGCCTCGGATGATACGACCATTAAGAATGTTAGCAGCCTGAAGGAAAGCGAAGTGTAAAGCTGCACTTCGTACACGCTTCACCATTTGGTCCCCATTAGAGACATACCTCGCATACATTGGATGGAAGGCATTTACGACGATCATGTCTGAGGAATCAGGTCGGCGGTGAAGTGAGACATTCCCGAACTTTTGGATGGACGAAGAAAAGAAGCGCGCGAATGGATTATCGCTCGATTGAGTTTCGCTCTGGCACACGAGTAGTACGTCCGGACGAAGAATCTGAAGAGTCCTTTGAGTCGCATCGTACGCGTACTCGTCTTGTACCTGCGGCTCTTGTTCCAAACGTCGGATGTAAGCGCTGCGAAACGGGCGTAGGTCGAGGATACTAGTATTGCGCCAATCCCTTGTCCTGCAAACCGTTCGAAGTTCATGATCGACGTCCTGTATTGTAGCTGGTAGCTGCACGGAATGTAGCTCCGCGGTCTCGCAGTCGGCAGGTTCGAGAAGAAGGATGGCAAGATCCCTGTGGCCCTGTGCGAGTTCGACAGCATTGGAAACAGCCATTGTTGTTGCTGAAAGTGTCCGTCCCAAACTGCGCAATTCGTTGCAACGAGCTGAAAACTGCTTTGCCGTTGGTCATCCAACAATTTCAAGATCTCTGAGTGACGACTCCAAATCGTTTATGTTGTTCCAGTCAAAAGACATCGAGATGGAGTCGATTTTTTGAGCCATGATCTCAGAGATTTCTGCAACTGTCAGCGAACATGTGGTGACGCCAACGCCTCCAGATACCTACCTACCATAAAGGTATGGCAGAAGGTGATGTGGTTCTGTACTAATAGCTCAGAATGATTACGTCTCCAATGTCATAGATTAGACTACTAGCCTTAGTACTTCTTATTGCGAAGGGCATGCTTGACAGAATGTTCTCCAGATTGGTACAGTGATCAGCGAGTCACAGTACCGAGCGTAAGTTTGCTGCAATACGGCTGGGGCCGGGGACTCGTGGTCCTTGTGCTCGATATCGTTTGCCGTGGCGTGATGTGCACTGCTAGACTTCTTCATGCTTACATAGTCATATGCCTTACATGCCTCACCAATGGACGCCTTCGGCACGTAGGCGTGGACTAATGCTGCAAGAGCTGACATCTTAATACGATAGCTGGAAGCTTACAGTATCATGTTCTTTGATTTGCGAAGAGGCTCACCGGTCTGAGAAAACGCAGCGGCATCAGTCTCTCAGCACCGTATGCGGATCTCCAGATGACCACAACTGCTTCGGCAGTATCTTGCATTTGGTGAAAACTGAGACTGGTGATGTTCCGCGCTATCTTGCTCATCGGAACTTTTGGCTCATCTATGCAACAGGTGTCAATCGATCCCGAGCGACTGGCTTGGCACTGCAACCGAAGAGAAGGCGCCAGATCCAGTATTCGACGACTCTCCGGATATTCTCCACTGTGGTTGTCTGTTACAGCAGCATGTCCATCACCGCTACAGATCGGACGCACACCTACACGGAGCAGCGTCGCCGAGCTGCTGGACCATGCGGAAAAGCCCTGCTGGGATACTACCACATCCGCCGAACCCGGTCTCTTGTCTCGCATCGAAGGCACAGATGACAATTCTGCAATGTCTTCCACTGGCGGAGTGTCTGCTCGCGAACTATCTACCGAACAGCCTTCTGCTCGCTTTATAAGCCGGCCGAGCCCATCGAGGTGCCTTGGACTCGAGAGACGTTCTGATGGAACGTCCCCCTTGACTTCGATCCCATCGGCCGGTTCTGACGGCAGTGATTGTGACACGGCCTGGCGCCTACAGAAGTCTTTGGCATTCAGTGCACATTTCCAGTCGAGATGCTTGGCTACCGCTCCAACTGATGACAGCGAAAGCGAAAGCGAAGCTCCGCGGAAGCCTTACCGGGGACTTCGTACGGAAAGGAGCTCGTGCCCGGGTAGCAGCAGCGCGAAATCGCTATCCCGCCCTAGGCATAGCGCAAGACCCAAAGTCGTGAGTCGTCCATTCCGACCGACATGGGCTGTAGCCCGGATTACAAGTAGCAGGTGTCGTAGATCAAAGCTGTACTACCGAGTACGTTGGCGAGACACGTAGGAGCCCGCCGACTGTCTGCAGGGTAGCGCGGACACCGCGATTCAAGAGTATAAATACGCTGCCCAGTAGGAAAGCGCGTGTTAGAGGCAAGGTCGAAGAGGCATTTGTGCTTGTACATCGGCGTCCTCAAGATACGATCAGAACTGGGTAGGGATATATCAGCGCACGACCTGAGCTAGGTCACATAGGGTGGATGCACCCTCAATCTGCCTGTGCAATCACACACTCTCCTTCTTGTCAATCATCTTTCGAACCTCCGTCATCCTTCACGGCCTGGACGTTAAGCATGGTGGGAGACATGGACTCAAAGAAGGTGGACTCAAAGAAGGTCGGAAGACAATGTTGACTGAGCTGTGGTACTGGGTGCACACCGAACATTGTCTCCGCTTTGGAGTGCGAGCGCCGAGCGTCATCGCATCCCGCTCACGGGTCGAATTGGATCAGCAAGACGACGATTCCAATCTGTCACAGCATTCCAAAAGGTAGTTGTCTCACCCACTGCTTATTGTTGCACTAGGTCAGACAGAGTCCAAGACTTTTATCGTCATTGATCCCTTGACAGGCGTCTGGTTGTGCGTTGGATTTGTCAATGCTAGTGTCCAGTATGGTAAACAATTCAAGCTACAACGGTTCTGGCTGACATTTGCATGCTATGTGCCATCAAGTCCAAGGCATGACAGATCGCCAGCATGGATCTATCAGTGCAAATGGTAAGTCTGACCAGTGTAGCCTTGCTCGTTTGCCTATCCGCCTTGACGCTGAGTTGCCTATCCGCCTTGAAGCTGATTTGCCTGTCCGCCTGTCCTCCCATTTACTCATTGCCCTTCACTCAAGCTTTCGCGAGCAGCTGGATTCCGAGCGGCCGCACGCTCAACATATAAGGGAATCTCTTCTGTAGGCACTGCTTTCAATCATTCCAATCATCCCTTTCGCCAAGACACAAACTGGAAGTCGATCGAACGAAGATGTGCGAGAACACCTTCGCCAGATTCAGATGTCGGCAAAGACACGTCCAACGAAACGAACCGGAAGAACCATTGATGGAGATTAGGACATGCGCCGCTGCCCGACAGAGGAAAGAAGCCTACCCGGAAGCCCAGCGCAATAACAATCACGATATCGGGAGTGACACGATGAACGAAGATTGCCCTGAGTGTAGAGGTGAGACCCCGCCGGAGTCTCCATGAGAACGCTTGTTGGACGGCAGAAAGCACAGTAATATCTTCTCCCTAACCTTCAAAATTCGACTTCATACTGATTGCCAAGGTCATACAGATCCTTCAGCTCTGAGCTTCCCCAAGCATGCATCGCGGCATACGATCTCATTTTGTCGGTGCAGGGTCGAGAAACGAATCGCCTTCAACAGGTGTTAGAGCCCACGTCGGCGATAGTGAAATGAAAGTACCATTCAGAAGCGGCTAGATCCAGGGACGCCGAATATACCTCGTGCGCTATGTTCCTCAGTACGGCTTGATCCTTCGGTTGTTTGACACCAATGTCAAAACAAAACCAAATCCCCTGATCTTTATCAGTGTCAAATGAAGGTGGGACATGTATTGCGTCGAATCCCTCTGCTCCTGGACTTGGTCTGTAGTGAGGCTCCCGCTGAAGTTGTTTCATACAAAAGAGCTTCCACAGGGTCCACGGGCGTTTCGAAGTCGGACCAGGTATAGTAATAGCACGCACTCGAATAAGTATGCGCAACTCGTGTGTCCTGTCGGTCTCCATTCCTCCGAATGCTACTGGACTGTAAAAGTAGGTATTGTAAACCAGCCACGACATGACCCATTGTCGAACTTTGTGAAGATATTAGTCTTCCCTGACTGCTTGCCCCGCTCGATGGTTGTCGAGGATGTTCGTCCGTCCGCCCGCCCGCCCGTCCGCCCGTGCGCCCATTGGCCCGATTGCTGGTCTGCCATTTCGCCCTGCCGCCCGATCGCCCGATCGCCCGCTTGTTTCCACCTGCCAGTTCCCCAACATACAGTACATCAATTTTTGTCTTTTGGGTATTACAACTTCCGTGCGCAGCTCTCTGACTTCGTTCCCACGCCGTCAACATGACGAAAATCTCCAAACTTCGGCAGAAGATTCGAGGGCGATTGGATCGGGCACTCAAATCTCTCGGGTCTGCCGGCGATCTATTACCAAGTCAACAGGGCAAGCTCGCCCAGATCTATTGTTCCACCATGGGATATGACAAAAAGCATTCCGTCTCTTCTCGTTCTAGACAGGTACGACGCAAAACCCTCCTCCACAAGATCGCCTCCAATGTAGGCACTGAGGCTTGGCTTGTCTACGTTCAAGCGCTGTCGCGAACGGCACTGTCCGATGAAGATCCTGAGGACATCCAAGAGATAGTGTCACAGTGGTCGACACAAAATCATCTCTTGTGGCTCTCAGAGCTTAGCAGAAGGCTCTGGTCTACCCATTCCTTTGAGCTTGCTGTAGCACCGTGCGGGCGACGTGGCCTAAATGCACAGGGTATGTAGCAGGGACTTTGACTGTGTATAATGGAGGTCCGCTTGTACCCGGCTTCTAATACAAGTCCTCACTAGATAACACAATTCTGGGACGCATTGACGAAGCAGCGCCTACACAGGCCGAAGAAACATTATGCGGTGTGTATCTTCCCGATCTCTGCCTTACGACTTCGGTTGAGATGGTACGTCGCTAACGCAGGCAGACTCGTCAAGGGACACAAGTCAGCACATGATTCCACTGCAAACATCAGAGCCAATACTGGATTTGAATGTGTATCAATTGGCCGAGTTTTTGCTCTCAGCAGCGAATGGGAAAAGCCATTTGAAGATGATCTGTCCTTATCCCGGACAGCATCTACCCTACGTGGAGGTTGGAGGTAGCAGAGAAAGGATAACTTTCTCCTACGTTTTGAGTGCACGTATAATCTAATACGTGATGACCTTAAGGCTTGCGGCGGAAAAGCCTTAGAGTAAGTCTATTTAAATATATACCGCTCTATGCTGCCTTAATAGGAATTAGGCGCTATCCTAATTTCTCTAAGCCTATAATAATATTTAGAATTCTATCCTAGGACTTCTCTCTAGTTACTCTAAAAGCCCCTCTCTCCAATCGTAGCGAGAGAAGAACCGTACTAATATCTTCTCCTATAACTTGAAATTAATACCTAGCTATCTCTGCGTCGTCTAAGACAAGATCCTCGTAGGTCTAAATTGTATTAGATTATAGGTGTCTAAGTAAATAAGAGCTTAAATCTTACGATCTCTAGAGCTAGCTTCTTAAGGTCTTCTTTAGTATAGGTAGATAGATATATAATAAACGTAGTTTGTTCTAGTCTAGTCTCGTCTCCGTCTATCTATAGCGTAGTCGATATACGATGTCGTGTACTAAGCTCTAGAAACCTAATTTGTATTAATCGGAGAGTTTGGATTTACTGCTAGCTAAACTTTTAGATACTATAAGGACTTTTACTAGTCTCTACTATAGATTAGCGTAAACAAGTTAACGAACGAGGTGATATATCGTTAGTTAGATTCTAAGAAACTAAAGTTAATAAATAATAAACCCTACGGAAAATCTAGCAGGAAGCTAATTACGTAATCACTCAATAGCAAAAAAGGTCGCGTTCCCGCCGGGATATTGAGCCACGTATTTAAAATAGCAGCTTCACGGTCTAGATTAACTAATGCGTGTATATCCTACTTATAGCACAATATCGTCGTGCTGCCTCTACTACGGAGGACGCGATAGATATATATTAGCCAATGTCGCTTAGCTAATCGGAAGACAGATATAAAGACACGTAACTATTCTCCGCACATGTTAGGAGCCTAAGCGCTTGCCGAAACAGCTCTTATCCTTGCAACCCCTTCTTATAATATCGGCATCTACTAATACTATCGCCTAGCAATAGCACCCTCCGAATACAAAGCACTAGTAAGCTTTAGTCTTTAAACGACCTTCTTCTATCTATATAATATGCGCCCGAATCGCTCGAAAGGGTATAAGCAAATTCCTACTAAAGCAAAACGGCACAGCACGAGGCTCGTATAAGTATTTAAAACCCGCCTTCCCTCTCCCTCAAGTAAAGGTCTACCGGTTACTTAAAAGCGAAAACGGTAGGAAAGAGACGACGACGATCTCGAGTTAGGCGCGAAAGAGACGCACAAACTTAGACGTGTTAACGACGCACCTACTCCGTCGAGAAGCTAGAATGCGAATACCCTATCCTACGGTTTACTAGTTCTCTAGAAGGATTACTTTTAGTAGTAGCTACTTTCTATAATTATAGATAAATCATTATCTAAGAAGAGAAGCCGGACCTCAACCTTTACTCCGTCTAGTATTTATAGTAACAGCGTCCGAGATAGCGAGGCTCTAGCGGCCTAGATACGGTAGCACGAAGAGAAAATATAGGAAGCTAGACTCTCTATAATAGACTCCCGCCTTAATAGCGCTAACATCTAGCAAGAAGCTAGGTGTTTAAATTATTTGTACGTATAAAACAACGTTTATATCTGTTAAGTATTACTATAGCCCCGCAAATCCGATGTAGGCCGCTACGAAATGATTTTGAGAAGGTCGTAGCTATCGCGACCTTTTGGACGAGGCGATAGGCTTTGAAAAGGAACTTTGTCGAGTGTATAGAAGAGCCTAGTACAAACTACTTTAGCGTCTGTCTCAGAAATCCGCTTTTAGTATCCGTATAGCAGCTATAAAATACGTCGAATAACTAGCTTGCCGGCATTTGGCTGCATTAAGCAGACGCCCGTAATAGGCGCTTATATTACTAAGACTTCCTCGCGTAAAACTATAGGCTCTAAACATATAGTATAACGTTGCTCCGGGCGACGTAGTAAGAACAGATTCGATCTCTACTCGATATAAATAAGGAATCGAAGAAGCGGTATAAGAGCAAGTCTATAATCTTAAGAAGTTAGTAACTTACTTCGAAGTTATAAATGTTTGTTTCCTCTCTATATATATAGTATAATAAAGCGTTATAGGGGAGTAGTAATTATTTAAAACATTAGAATCGTAACGCACGGGGCAAGGTTTAATAGCGCTAGTCCGACTAGCGTTAGCAAAACTTGCCCCGTGCGTTTAACGCGAAAGTAGGCAATTACTAGTAGCAAAGCTTACAAGCGATCGCTCTAGTATCGATTAGTATAGGGCTATCTATATAGCGACACGTCTACGATAGCATCGTCCTAAGTAGGTAATCATCTCTAATAATGCGTATGTCTTAGTATCTCCTTAATTAATCTTTATCGACTAAGTGGCGTGATAGTAGGAGTTGTACTAATAGGAAGGCGCTTAGAATTATTATATCGATAGGAAGTCCGAGTATAGTAGGACCTACTACTTGTCCTTTATCGTTTAATACCCGGCTAACAGCCTTTACGAGCGTCTAGAAGGCTTCGTAGCTGTCGTCGCTAGGGTAGAATATATTCTAGAGCTCGAAAGCAATCAGTAGGCTGTTATAGTTAACGCTTATATACTAAGTTATTGTTATAGATTAAGAGGGCATATATATATAAATACCGTTTCCCGTAACGCCGTCTAACTAGAGGTTGGTCTAAAAATAGCTCTTTGCGATTAGAGCACGAAATACGTCGTAGACTATAACGCAGCGGTAAGTTCTCTAAAGCTATTTAACTTTAATTTCGAGAGCTCCGTAACGGAAGTCGATACGTGCCCGGGACGGCGAACCGACCTTTGACGGGACCTACCGGTAGCTTACAACGACGTTATTATAATCGAGGTTAAGCTGCTAGATATCTTCTAGGCTACGACTCTCGGCGAGTAATATCGTTATTTTCGCGACCTTATAGTCCTACAGCGGTATCGGGAATCCTAGAAATTGTAAGTCGAGCGGCACTAGGAAGGGTTTAAGGGGCGAGCGTAATACCGACCCGCGGGTTGTATAAGTATAGTCTCCGTTCCGGTATATATTATAGGTTACTTCTTCGGTCCTCCTTATATATTCTAGGTATCGGTCCTAGCAATAGTCGCATTTTTGTTGCTAGAAGGTCTTAATAACTAGAGAGAAATGCTATAAGTCGTAGATAGTAGACTACTCGAGGACCTTGTAGGTTAATAGAGTCTTATATTCTCGTAATCTATTCGACCTAGATATATATTGGACTTGCGATCTATGTCGAACCCGGTCTTCGCGTTGCTGATTTTGAAGGTCTGCTTTATTAAGATATGTTTCCGAGATTATAAGCTTAAGACTTCGTTATCATCCTTAGTAAAAGCTTCGTATAGAGGCTATAAATTATGTATAGCTAGCGATTGCGATATTTTAGCTTCCATTCTCTTAAGAGGTAAGTCGCAGACGGGATTGCGTAGTATTTCTCGTTCTAATAGCGATAGTAGATATAATGTTGTTAGTTGTTATTAATTAGAGAATTGGCGATAGTAGGGTTGCCTTATTAGCTGCTTAGCTTAGCGGCTTAGAAACACTAGCACGCGCCGTTAGGTTCGACCGTGACTTCTAACCGAACTCTTAACGTTATCGCTACTCCTACGCTCGTAACTCTATAGCAGGAGATACTAGACAACCGCCCGACTAACCTTCTTATACGCGGATATATACGAGCATATCTAACAAAGAGTGCACAAAACGCGCATGTTATGTTGTACTACTAGACGCTGTCTAAAGTCTTAAAATAGTCGTTTCGAAGTAATCGGTCTTGACGTAGCGCAAGTAGACTTATAAGCCAGCTTAGCAGTCGGCGGCGCTTCTTCTTACGCATTCCTACACTTGCTCTAGCACGTATTTAGACTATATCAACCTATAAAAATTATTACTATATAGCAAGAAGACAGCCTAGACGAGCAAGCGGGCTTATAGTATCGTATATTAGCCTACGTAGAAGCGCTCGCATTGCCTAGATATTAGATCCGTAGGCGCTACTATATATATACATACTTAAGATTGCACTCTTATCTCTACGCTTAGAAAGAAGGTAGACGTTTGTCGGATCCTTTATTAAGTTTAATCTAGCTATTAGTTGCTAGCCCAAATATAATAAGGCCGCTCTAGAACAGCACTTTATAGTGTAGATTAGTCGTGCACTTGTAGTCGCGGCTTTTCTTAAATATCTATATGTGCTCTTATACGGCGCCTAATATGTCTTCTCCGCTAATCTAGGTATAATAGAGATAGTCTACGAAGATAGGTCTTTGTAGCTCCTAGACTATATCGTAATCGAGATAGAAATGCTTGTAGCTAGGTGTCCTACTAAGTAGCGGCTGTAATGCCGCAATACTTACTATAAGGTACTTCTCTCTATATAGCCCTTATATAGAGACTTTAGGCTCGGTAGCAATAACCTTGCCTAAATCTTACGCGAAATACACGGGAATTTAATTCGAAAGTAGCAACTAGGACGGGTATTATGCAATAACCCTGCTCGTTGTCTTATATATAGCAAACTCCCGCCGAGTGGACTATATAGGTGCGTCTGCAAGTTCGAGCAGGTCCTAACCTTTTAGATACTCTCGGGGTAATCTCTATATAATACTTGCCGGTAACTCCTAGAGAAGCTGCCGCTTGCTTATAGTATAATAAATATCTTTTACGAGATAGAGGACTATAAAGTTACTTCTATCTTCGTAACGATTAAAGAGCTTATATTTATATATACTAACTTCCTTTAAAACCTTAGCTACTACAGCTCCGCTATCCGCCTTCGGAGTAGTATAGAGTAGTAAAGGGGTCTAGCTATGCTTCTATACGTAGTAATATACTAGATTAAGGATAACACTTAATTAAGACACGAGCTATACGGTCTTCTCTAATCTACAATCGAATAGTATAGCTGCCTAGCTCTATGCTACGCGTAGGATCTAATCGTATCTACGCTTTTCTAGGTCTTTAGTTACTCTAAGCGCTTAACTAAATTAGAGCCTTCTACTAACTAATGCTGTTATAGGTGCCTTTCTAAATTGGGCCGTGATAGTTTTAACTATAAGCTCCGGTCTTGCAGACTCGACATACCCGTCGAGAGAGCTTATAGAACGGTAATCCTAGGTGCGAAGGGAAGTTCCGAGTCGTACTTCGCTATACGGTGCGAAGCCGAGAACATGTTTTAAGCGTTAAATATCTTCCTTACTATACACTTACGAAGCGTAAGCAGGCGGCAATACAGTCTTATTAGAAACATTATAGTGCTAGTAGATTACATCTCTACTATCGAATGTCTTTCTAACTGCATATAATAGAGTTCCTACCCCCGAGTAGAAGATTCCAGATCTCGGTACCGGTTGCTGCTTAATCTACGATAAGTCCGTAGAATAGATAACATCCGCGAGGTCAATTATAGTATCCCATTCTAGGTCAAGACCGCTCTGCCTTAGTAATCTAACTAGAAAGCTATATACGATTGTCGTATTAGGTAGTAAAGCGTGCTAACATAACCTAGAGATCTCTTCTCTAGCACCCTTTAAAGTGCCTAGTTCGATAGCAAAATCGTCTCGGTACTACATAAAGTTAAGAGATAAGCAATAAGGTGCGCCAACTATTGGTATTCTAAATACGCTAGCTAGCTATCCTAGAATCTAGACAACACGGGTAGCCGTATCTGTCTTATTAGCTTCTATATAGATATAACATTTAGTTAAGGATAATGTTAGGCGAAAACGTACTAATTCGAGGAGAGTTTCTATTATATTGTTATATAATAGGTGCGGGATTAAATCGAGAACCTATAACCCTAAATTTCCCTATTTCTAGCTAATATACTCTTTATACGTTGTTGCAAAGGCTGTTACGCTCGTACCTATAACTATAAGGGCTGTACGTAGATTTGTATCCTTATTAAGGTATAACCTAATAAAATTAGGGAGTTCCTATCGGATAGGGATAGTAATATTATTAGTCGCATAACAAGTAGTAGCCTTAACGAGGCGAGATATTGCGTTATAGTAGTCTGCACAAAACCCTCTTACTTTTATCTCCCGCAGCAATCGCAATACGGGTCGATAGTTAAGAAGGATCTATATTACCTCCTTACCGCACTATATATTTAATTTAGCAGCCTTCGCAATCTCTTCTATAGTAACTAGATCCGATTAGTGTTTGAGGAGGATCTCTATTACTACCTTACTACTACCTATATTCGACGTAGTAGCCTTAGTAATCTTCTCTATAACGATTAGGTCTAGCTAATACTTAAGGAGGATCTCTATTACCGCCTTACCGTCGCCTATATTCGACGTAGTAGCCCTAGTAACCTTCTCTATAACGATTAGGTCTAGCTAATACTTAAGGAGGATCTATATTACCTCCGTACTACTGCCTATATTTAACGTAGTAGCTTTAGCAACCTTCTCTATAACGATTAGGTCTAGTTATTACTTAAGGAGGATCTATATTACCTCCGTACCGCTGCCTATATTCGACGTAGTAGCCTTAGTAATCTCCTCTATAACGATTAGGTCCGGTTAGTATTTAAGGAGGATCTCTATAACCGCCTTACCGCTACCTATATTCGATATAGCAGCTCTAGCAATATTCTCTATAATAAATAGATTCGTTACTTTTTTAAGAAGCAATCGACCGACCTCGCCGTTATACTCCTTAATTACTTACGCTACTGCTTCTTTAGTAATAGGCGGGTTAGGCCGGTTTAGTAAGAGAAGAATTAGCTCTCTTCCGTAGCGCCTATTTAAGGTAGTAGCCTTCGTAATCTCCTCCGTAACGATTAGATCCTGCTAATACTTAAGGAGGATCTATATTACCTCCGCACCGCTGCCTATATTCGACGTAGTAGCCTTAGCAATCTCCTCTATAACGATTAGGTCTAGCTAATGCTTAAGGAGGATCTATATTACCTCCTTACCGCCGCGCGTATTCGACGCAGCAGTCCTAGCAATTTCCTCCGTAACTAGCAGGTTAGGATATAGTATAAGTATAGCCTAAATCTTCTTAGCTCTATCGAATCTATACGACGCGGCAACCGCTGCTAACTCTCTTTCTATTATTATATAATGCTATAGTGCTTAAGCGCAAGCTGCTAACTTTAAAGGGTATATACTTCTGTAAAATAGTGTCTAGCGACTATAAATACGATAATCTCCGACGCTGTTCGATTCTTAATTAAATGCTAGCTTAAGCCCCGCGTTAGATGTTGCTAGCCTTAAGTCAAATGCGAGTTTTGCGTAAAAGACCTGTTGGCGTATCGCGTATATATATAAGATAACGTGTTGTGTCCTAATTTAATGCTTTATAGCCTAACCGCGTTAGCCGAATCCCTCTATTCTTCCTTCGCACTTAAAATTTAATCTTTCTAATTATACTAAAAAGACTTGTTAGCTAAAGCTAGGATCTATAATTATAAGCTTATAGAAGCTAGTAAAATGTCTAAAGCATACGATTAGTAAGCAAAATAGTCGAAGACATCGGGAGGAGTACTTTGCTGTCTTTTATATAGACAATATACGAATCCGTAGCCGGAAACAATTAGCCGCTTTCTTGATGCACAGCGGATGTGTAAGCTAATCCCGCGGCCTTGCTGCATTTCGGTACGCGGATAAACGAACGATATAAGTTCCTAAGAGATTGCGGCCTCAGACTAGCGCACGCTACTAACGCAAGATCGCTGGCCCGCTTCCTATCAGCCCGGCCATTCACCGGTCTGCTGACTCCGGCTTTCATTAGTCGGGACAGTGATTCCGGTAATTTCATTCCAGATATTTACTGGCGTCAATTGACCCCAGATGCGTGAAGAAGTGTATAACAAGTAATAGTTGAAGTCTGCCGGGACTCTTTTGCCTCTGTACATTTACCCTCTTCATGCCGCATATCTCTTACTCGGAGTAGGAATGAAGCGCTATATGCGGGCTAAAGCAAAGACAATAGAGAATGCGAGTGTTTTGTGGTCGGCTCGAGAGGTTATAGAGAAACCATCAGAGAACGTGTTTGTACCAGATGATGGCACGCGGAAGTTACCAGTCCATCGTGAGACACACCTAGCAGATGACCTTGCATTTATTGCCGCCAACAGAGATGACCCTAACCAGATAATGGCCGTCTGTATCGAAGAAGCAGCACATAATGACAGTACGATTGTGCGCGTGGCTTCTAACACCGGAGACCTCCAGGACATTGTACAAAATCTCCAAACAATTGCCCATTTGATGGCTAGAGCAGCCTCCAGAGGTCAGAACGTTACCCAACCAAATTCCGACCTTTGCTTATGAGATATACAGACATGGCAAGACTTGAGATGAAGCAGCTTATAATTACACAAATCGTAACGATGGACAAGAGTCGAATACTCTCACGTTTGAGATCTCAACATGCCGCAAGAACGAGGAAAACCAACGGCAAGAAAAGCCTCCTATTGATGCTTCTACAGACGATCAATGAGTATCAGTCTACTCCAGGTGCTAAAGGAGTCAAGGCATGCACATCTCGCATACGGTCGGAAAGCTCGAAATTATGGACAAGATTTGAATCGTTTGAGATTGCAGAAGCCAGAGGTGATATATCTGTCTCTCTAGAGATGCTGAAGGATCTTCTCGTGGCAATTTATCAATTCGACATCGATGGACTGGAAGAAGCGCTAAGTTATTTTCGCAATCTCGATCCTTCAACGAAAGACTACTTGTCAAAGGCACTTCGCAAGCTTAGTCGATACTACGACGTCGCTCTAACTCTTACGAACGCTGCAAGAGATACAAGATACCCTATTTTCAACAGTGTTACGGTCGCTCCGGTAGTCTGCAATAACATGGACTACCTGACGCCGGAATCTAAACTGGAAGACTTTGACCAAATACTTTCGAGAATAACGAATTCGCCAGAGAACAAGCTGCTGCTTGGCTCGATACCTCGAGCAGATCTACGGAACAGGTATGCGGATCGCATGTCCAACTCCAAGACGAAGTGGAAAGTACACGCCGAAGTGCAGATCCTTCTGTTTTACGAGCTCAATCCTGCGCTACTACGGCCACGCATCATATGTTCAAGCAAAAGTGCTTGCTACCTCTGTAATCTGTTCTTTCAGATTCATGGTCAGTTTCACATTCCTCGAACGCATGGAAGACTCTATGAAAGGTGGACCCTACCATGTTGGACTTCTGAGCAGTCTCGCATGCTCGAGACGATTACACCATTGGTCGAGAGGTTCAACATAGCATTAGAGACGAGAATCCTCGAAGTGCTACGACAACAGACGCTTCGACTCAACTACCCAAACGAGAGTGTCGTCGTTCAAGCAAATCCGTGGTCTTCGAATTCTACTGTGGTACCGTTTGGAGCGGAGGTGGCCGCCGGGCTTGACTCGCAGGGACTTGATGTTGTGATTGTTAAGGACGGGCGTGACGAGGCCATCAGCGCTTCATCCTCACTCAGGACTGATTCGGAGTCTGCCAAGGTAGGTAACTCTTCTGCGAGTGCTGCAGTGAGAGCCGTGTTGGAGCACGGAGTGGAGAGCTGGCACGTGGCCGAAGATAGCGACACAACGATCAGACTGGCTTCTGGCACACATTTCATAAGATCCTTAAAAGAGGGAACGCCAATCCGCGTAAAGACGAGTGGTATCGAAATTTTACTTTCAGCGGGCGCAGAACAGCTTGATGCAAGGACGGGAGGAGAGCAAACGTCCTGCTGTATGACGGTAAAGACCATGTCCTATCTGTATGGTGAGACGCAAGATACGGGAGAAACACAAACAGTGGATATTGAGGCTCTTCAGCCAGGTTGTGATGCGGTCGTGCCTGTTGGTGCATCGCTTGTACGTAACAAACTAGTCTTGAAGAGAGACATTCGTAAAGTGTCACTAGAGTTTGGATTCATGGAGGAACCTTAGCGGAGTTACATCTGCTTCCAGCATGCTTCAAAATTTATAGCAATCCACAATCTTCCGTGACAGACATGGGTATTATTATTGGATAGCGCACTTGCTCTGATCACTAACACCTTCCGCACCAAATCTCAACACCACCTTGCGCGCCGTCTTTGAACTCTACAGTGCTGCAGATACCAGCGCGTTACAGCATCATACCTGGGGGACCTCAAATATCCATCGTCAAATATCCATTGTTCATCTGTAGGCAATCTCCACCAGAAACTAAATTCCTCACTTAGCTGCATGCCAGAATGAGAGGTTCAATGGTGGCTAATCGATGCAACGAAGATAGAATACCCGCTTCCTCGCGCGTCAGTGCTCCACATGATCGCAGCGTGAGTCGTCCTCTTGGCAGACCGCTGTCGATTGAGTATATATATCTTCCCATTTGTACGGCATTGTGGGGACCTCTGCTTGTACAGTGCTGTGAAGCAGCTTCTCCGCCTCTGAGCGCTCTCGTATTTGTCGTTTCGGATGTAAGGATGCAGTGTACTCCATCTCTAGTTTTTCCTGCGCAGCACAATGGGCGCTCATTGCCGGGATTCCCTCTATGCCCAGGCACCCAAACCAGCCTCACCAGGATACTCGTCACCACTGATAGCAATCCTCCTTACCACAACGTCTCCTGTCGCCCCGTACGGACCCGAAGTACCCAGCTGCATGTTCAAGACGCAATCCTTCCCAAATGTCAGGAGTGTGATCTTGTGGTCTTTGCTCCATTGGAAGCAGCGTACCACGACTTCAAATGAAATCGTGTTGCATTCCACACGTGTATACTCCTGCAGCTAGTGAGGTTCCGAGAGGCGAAGGAGGATATAAGCCCTAATTGACAGCAGCTTCATATATAGTATGCGTGCCCGCTAGCGACATTGCAACCGAATCCCGTGCTCCTTTAGCGCGTAGTTCTTAAGATGCTAGATATGATATAGCACTACGTCTAGCTTGCGATACTTCGGATACGGGTAGAAGATCTTCTCGCGCTCGTTAATAGCGTTAAGATATTTCTTCGCGTACTTCTATAGAGCCTATTAACGGTTAAAGCTATACGTATAGTCTACTAAAATAAGTCGCTCGTCTCTAAGGTAGAATAGGTATTAAAATAGGAGATATCGTATAGAGATTAGATCTATATCTAGGACTTTATTAGGCTTATTTAATAAGGACCTAGGGCTTATTTCGCGAGCTAGTATAATCTTAGGACCTTATTAATACTAAGATAATTCGACCTAGCGGTAGAGATCTACTATAGCTTAGATAGTACTCGATCGATCTAATCGTAAAGTTAGAGACAATAAGTTACCTACTATAGCTAGCGCTACTAAGGTCGCTCTTTTAGGAATAGAGAGGTTATATACTCTTTATTTTAATAGTACTAAGTTAGACGAGCCCCTATTATTAAGCTATATCTTAATTAGCTCTATATCTTTATAGGTAAAGAAATCTCGTATAAGGTTTCCGGCGTAGTTATATAGGGGATACGGCTACGACGAAGGGGTTATAGTAAGGAAGAGAGTAGGGATAAATCGAAGAGCGTACTCGCTATACGTGCCCTAGCTACGCTAGGGGTACGTACGCAATATCTAGTACGATAGTAACGATAGTAAACTTAAGGAGTAGAAGAGAAGGAAGTCTACTTCCTTTTCTTCTATCTCCTCTTCTTAGCCCTCTCGCTTAATATAGGAGCTAATATATTCTATTAGGTGTCCGTCTTAGATACCCTACGGACCCCCTATAGGGAGCTAGAATATATTATATAACCTAGGCTAACTATAGATAGCCTACGGTCCCCCTACGGTTACGTATAGGATACTATAGATATAGTACGATACCTTATAGAGATCTACTATAGCTTAGACGGTACTTAATCGATCTACTTATAAAGTTAGAGACGATAAGTTACCTACTATAGCTAGCGCTACTAAGGTCGCTTTTTTAGGAACAAAGAGGTTATATACCCTTTATTTTAGTTATACTAAGTCGGATAAGCCCCTATTACTAAGCTATATCTTAATTAGCTATATATCTTTAAGAGTAAAGAAGTCTCGCTACTACTAGATTAGTAGCTAGGATCGGTAGAATTACTTCCTCGCCTAGTATTAGCGTTAGGTTTAGGTATATTAAGCGACTAGGCTATTAGAAGACGGAGCGGCTAAGATAGTACTATATTAGTCTTATAGAGTTTACGTAAGTTAGTAATATTCGGTTTCGAGAGCGAAAACGTCCGGGAGGGTCGCGATCTACTAAAGGGTTTCGGGCGTAAGCGGGAGGTTGTAGTTGGGATCGATATCGGCCGCAGCATAGTTCAGCTTCTGCATGAGGGCGTCCTCCGTCTGCCGACCGCGAACGAGGCTCGCAACATCGAGGGAGATATGCTGATCCTAATAATTGTTTCGATAGGTCCGACTGTCAAGGTGGCCTGCGACCTAATTGCGCACTTCTTCAGATCCAGCACCTGTGTATGGCTTAGCAACAACGAGACCGTGATTACAATCGATAAACATACCGTCCACGGCGTTCAGAACCAGTCGACGAAGCCAATACCATGTGACTGGCTCGCGATAACCCATCTTCTCTCCTAAGCTCCTCAACCGCTTTGACGCTACACTACTGGGCAATTCGGCTTCAGTCGACCCGCCGTCTGAGGTTCGCAGGATGGGCTTGTTAAGAACGTCGTCGCGCTAATGGAGCGTGATCTTTTTTTGTCCAGTGGGGAGGGTGACATCGAAAATGCTCTGTGCACGGTGCAAATCCGGTAGTCGAAAAGCTTCGTCGTAAAGAGCGAGCGAGACTAAGTGGGCGACGGGACAGGTGAGGACGTCCGGCTGGTCGAACTAGGTAAAGGTCTTTCTAGACGGGCTCAATTAGTATGGCTATATAGGAGGCATTGCATGAGCGTGGTACGAACTGTTGCGGTCGACGATTCCCGCCCTTGAAGTACTTAAATGTGGGCCGTACCGCGAAGCGGGTTTGTCCACGGTCGTCCTCCGTGAGGATGAGGGCTACATCGCCGTATCGGAGCTTCGCAGCAAGACTTTCTTCCTTGTCCATACTCGCCGCCTTGGCCCTGCGTCTCTTTCCCGACTGAGTTGTAGAGCTAGGTCGTAGACCACTATAAGCATGGATGATTATGAGGAAGCCCTACTGCACACGCTGTCGCTCATCGGGGTACAGCGTCCAGTCGGAGGAGTAGAGGAAGTGAAGCATGTTAACGAAATCCGCACCGGAAGGGACAGGTTTCGGGCGGTGAGATGTCTTCGTTTTACCCTCTGCGTAGTACTGGATAAACTGAGGCCAGATAAGTCAGTCCAAGCACGGCGCAGCATTTTGAATGGGAGAAATCCCACGGCGTTCACATCCGATACCACCACATCATCTAGGAGGGCACCGGTGGCTTGTTTGTATAGCATCTTCAACACACGGAAGTACTGCTTGAGGGTCGGACCCTGCTGTGCTGACCGTTCTGCATTAATAATGACCTATTGAAAGAACGCTTTGAGCTGAGGTGGACCGGCAGCACAGAGGGCTTCGTGAGGGTCGCCCAATCGCGCGGCAGAGCAGAAGCTGTCCAGCTAAAGCTGTCAGCTCTGTGCAACACACGCCACGCGAGATTGGGTGGCCAAGAGGACACTTACGACGACCATCTGTTTCGCATGTGCCGGATGCTGTCTTCTGTGGTATTGGAGTATGGTTCGTGATGACGGCCACGGAGGGTGAAGTCTTCAATGATGGCGCGCCAATCTGCGCCGTCCTCGCGTGCCTTCGCCATATCGACGTGACATGACAGGCGAGAGATGGATACGGAGGTTATATACGTGCACGAAATGACCACGAGTGAGAGTGATTGACACCTGGCCCATCTGCGCCGAGAGAACTGCAACGCCGCATCGGCGCATCGCCCCCACGGTTCAGGTTGGCGCTAGTGCTGTGAAACGAGTGCTGTATTCGCGGCAGCTTTACACGAGGCTGCGCGAGTTGTGCAAGTTATGCAGGGACTTCTGTTGCCCAAACGGGGCGCAGATGTTGCCCGTTCGGGCAGCAGAAGGCTCGTTAGTCTGTCTTTTGCCGTTTAAAATAAGTAAATTAAGGCTTTAATATAAAGTAATTATAAGTAAAGTAAACTACTTTATAATAAGTAAAGTAGACTATAAAGTAAACTATAGAAGTAAATAATAGTTAAAGCGTAAATCTATATAGTATATTATTATATACCTATAGTATAAGGAGATTAGAGCTTATTAGATAAGTAAGTTCTAAGCAATAGGTTAGGTAAGTAACTACTCTAAGGTTTAACCTTTTAGTAGATTAGTAACTTAGGTTAAATATGAACTACCTATATAAGAAACGTCTATTCTATATATATAGGAGATTTATATAATAGTCGCGATTACCTATAGTAGTCGTAACTAGGTCGTAGTTACTAGAGTATTTATATCCCTAATTACTTAGTTATCTAGTAATAAAGTAATCTCTTATACGATTGTAGATTCCTACTAAGTTAGGGATAAGGCGTATAGCCGCTATTCCCGCCTTTATAGAATATAGGCCGCTAGCGGCAAAACTACGCCCGATCCTATATACGTGTTTATAATATATATAATAGATACTAAATTAAAAACGCTAGATATAAAGATATATATTATTATTATTACTTTATTATAGCTTATTATAAATAATATTATATTTACTTTTATAAAAATATAAAGAAAGTATAAATAAAGGTAATATTTAAAGAAAATAAAGTAAAATATATAACGCTATTATCTAATAATAAAGTAAAGTATATATATATTAAAGTAAAGAAAAGGTATTATAAAAAATAAAAAAGATTTAAAGTTAAAGTAGAGTCTAATTAAAAGCTATAAAAGTTAATTAATAGCTCTAGTAGACGGTTTCTACTTAAGAAAAGATAAAAGAAGGGAGTAATATAAAAAGCGAGCTTTTCAAGTAAGTACTAGCGTACTAGTACTAGTAGCTACTTCTATAGTAGTTACTTTCCTTCTTCTTTTACGTAGACTTAGACTAGATTCTTACTCTCTTATCGAACTTACTAAATACTATATAAGCTCCTATATATACGTTACTTCTCTATAATAAATATCTTTAATTTAACTATTATTATAATTCTTACTAAATTTAAGGCTTTATTAGAACGATAATTAGATATAATAGTAGCTAATACGCGTACGCCTATATCGCTTACTAACAACTAGTAAGAACCCTAGGTCTTAGCGTGCGATAACCGTTATATGTTTAGTTATATAATTTTGAGCCCTGTAATTTTGGACGAAAAAGTATGCTAACATTAGGGCTAGCATCGTTTATGAAGGATTCAGCAACACACCACGATCTCTAACAATCTATATACTCTTCAGTATTCGACCCATAGATGCTAATTCCGCCATCCGATCTCTCAGTGTACACCACTCGTCTTCCCGCCCACCTCCCGCTCCTTGCTGAAAACCTCCCTCACAGGTCGATAACACTCATCCGCCCAGGACTTCATCTCTGGTGGTGAATGCTCGTCCAGCTTATACGCCTCCCGACTCTCCAACATATTCCTAGGCTTCGCCTTTGACGTCTCCATCAAGCTGCCGCCGCCATACTTTGCCTCGGTTATCATTTCCATCATAGCTTCCGCAACGTCCGCCGGAGTAATGCACACGTCCTCTGTGAAGGAGTACTGCTTATTTACTGCCTTCGCCGCTTCCCCAGTCCAGAGAGGTGTGGACACCATACCGGGCAAGATACATACGATTTTGAAATTCTCGTCATAGTCTGCTTGGGCCATAGACTTCGTGAAGCCGACGACTGCGTGTTTGCTGGCGCAGTATAAGGCGCAGCCGTACTGTCCTGTGATGCCCGCGCCACTGGAGATGATGAGACATACACCTGGCTTCTTCGAACCCAGACAGCTTCGCATTGCGATTCGGGTGAGCTTCATAGGATGCTCGGCGTTGACGGACATAGCCTTATAATGGTCCTTCTCGGTGTCGTAGAGCCAGGAAGACCACTTGGGCTCGAATACGCCGGCGCCAGCTATCCAGACATCTGCTACTGCATCTGAGCCGAACGCTTTGCTGACTTCGGAAGGGATCGATTCGAGGTTGGACCAGTCAGTAACATCGCATTTCATGAAAGCCACGTTGCCACTGGAAGATTTGACGAGCTTGTCGGCTTCTGGCGTAAGCTGTAGATCCGCTATGAGTGCCTTTGCACCTGATTTCTGAGCCTGATCGACGAATGCAAGACCGATTCCTAATGGTACGTCAGCTACTTCGTAACGAGGGCAGGATGGCACCGCTTACCAGAGCCGCCTCCAGTGACTACAGCAACCTTATCCTTGATAGGGAAGGCTCCGACAACCATGGTAGTGGAAATACGTTGCAGGCTGATATGTCTGTATCTTTGGGGTTATCCGGGAGCTCTGAGCTTTTAGTTGCTTGATCGTTCGTCCCGCTGTTGAGGGCACAACAATCAAGATCGTAAGCTTAAGTTGGTTGCACTGGCGGGTATGCTGAAGACGTGTTCTGATAGATAGGTGAAGTGCATTTATGAATCAGCATAAGGTTATGTCACAAGTCTCGCCTCACACCAGAATGAGGTTCATGAGAGTGGGGTCGCATAACATTATCCCCTCGGTCACGTTGTAGGCTAGGTATCTTTACGAGTCATGTGAAATACCAAGGCAGGCGATAGCACTTAGATATTCAGACACACAGGTTCTGATGTGAGACTGGAAGTAGACGTCGAAAAGCACGTCGAGATGCGACACAGATATGCATGCGGCCAGTGAGAGGGTTGTTGAAAGCGACTTCAGGGCTAGAGACCTTGAAGGATCGAGCTTGTCGTCCTTGCGCAAGAGGTGAGAATGACCCTCTGAATCGGTGTGAAGAGTGCAGCCTATGAAGACCTGAGGAAATCGTTGCATGCTCTCCAAAATCTCGAGGCTGTATTGACATCTTGGATACCTGGCTGAGACAATGGAGCGGGTATAGCCGCTAGTGGGCAGCACTGCTCAACAACGAATCTTTACGAGCTTGTTCCGGCTTTTGGAAGGCCGAGTCGCTGCCACCCGATGTTCTTCGATATGAGCAAGTCTTTCTTTTCCGTCCTCCGATTCTGCTCACCTGCTTGGACATACAAGGTCAGACATACCGAGTCGTGATTTGAATTTTTTGGGTGCTCTGTGCTCTGAATACGCGATGCTCGTCTGACAGCCTTTGTCCATGTGCTCGGGCCTGAAGGATTGCATGTGATAAGGTGTATCACTACTGTGCTCTCGACTATATCCAGTACACGAGGTCCTACCTCGCTGAGTTGTCTGAGTTCGGTGGTCAACAACCATGAGTGACAGTCTTAAGCCGAGTGGTGCAGAGCGAGGCCGACCAGTGCCGTCCGGTTCTTTCGGACACCGGCGCACTGAATCAGAGGTATCTGCTTCGCCTTCGAGAGCCTCTGCGACTGCAAAGCTAGCCACACCCGTCGCTGGATCTCCATCTGGCAGTTCGAAACTCTTGCCAGCTGGGCATTTCCAAGGCACGGACATACCACTAGCAGGCGCAACTGGAAGTTCTGTCCCGGGACCGGGAACTTCTTCATTATCACAGGCACTACGAGGACAATACGGCCAGTCTCCTCCACGATTTGGTACCAGTAGCCGAGGACAAGAACGGCACACCAGTCCGAGCGGTAGGAATACGCCCAGCTCGTACAATGCTCAACTCGGACGAAGTCCAAGAGGCAGAGAGGATATAGATGTGCTGAAAAGGCATTTGGCAGGCCTACAGGGCGACTCTGAGCCGGGATCATTCACGCGCGGTGGCCAGTGGCCTGGCGAAACGCAAGAGACCGGACCAAGCACCGCAGGAGAAGGTGAATTTTCGAGTCTACAACTGCAAGGTGGTGATACTACACGACATATCTACCGCTATGCTGAAAGACGCGAAAGGGAGCAAGCTGAGGTCGAACAGCGAGAGACGGGCCGCATGACGAGGAGTTTGAGTGTGACTGCTCTGCCTACACGTGATGCAGATGAGGAGAGCATACATCAGGTCAAAGTGCCGGGTGGTTTTCGTCGAGACCACCTGCGCCGCACAGCACTTTCTCCTGCACCATCAAATACACGCCGACCAAACTACGGTACGAATGGTCGTGCTTTCACCGAGCCTGCGAGACCACAAAAGCAGTTCGTGGCCAGCGATTTTATCGAGTTTCTCACACTGTACGGCCACTTCGCTGGTGAGTCGCTGGATGAGGATGATGAGGCACTCGGTCCAGACGAGTACTTTTCTTCGGACAACTACGACACTGCTACGGAAGCAGAGGAAGGCCGCTCGGATGATGACTGGGGCGAAGACTCGGCGCTATTGACACCTGGCAAGCGGAAGAGGAGGAGAAAGGCTCGTGAAGCTGGTAAAGGCACACCTTTCGGCGCAGCCATGCTTCTACTGAAATCGTTCGTCGGGACTGGTGTGCTCTTCTTACCACGCGCATACTTGAACGGTGGCATGCTCTTCTCCAACCTTGTCCTTCTCGCGATCGCCTTACTAAGCTACTACTGCTTCATTTTGCTCGTCTCCGTCCGTCTAAAGGTCCACGCCTCCTTCGGCGACATGGGCGCTCAGATCTACGGCAACTACTTCCGGAACCTAATCAACTTCTCTCTCGTTCTGAGTCAGGTCGGTTTCGCATCAGCCTACATTGTGTTCGTTGGCGAGAACCTGCAGGCTTTCGTCCTCGCGGTCACAAGATGTGCCACCAGCATACCCACTACCCTACTCATTTTGATCCAGATGGTCATTTTCCTGCCATTGAGCTTGTACCGCAATATCAACAACATACAGAAGATGGCTCTCATCGCCGACCTATTCATCGTGCTTGGACTGATATACATTTACTACTACGACGTCAAAACTATGGTCGACCGTGGCGGCATCGCAGACATTAAACAGTTCAACCCCCAAGACTGGCCACTGCTCATCGGCACGGCGGTCTTCACGTTTGAGGGCGTAGGACTCGTCATACCCATCCAGTCCGGCATGAAGGATCCTAGAAAGTTCCCAAAAGTGCTAGGCTTGGTGATGATCATCATATCAGTGATCTTCATCTCAGCTGGCGCTGTCTCTTACGCTGCTTACGGCTCCAAGACCAAGACGGTCATCATCTCCAACTTGCCGCAAGACGACAAGCTCGTGAACGTGGTGCAATTCATCTACAGCTTGGCTATCCTGCTTAGCACGCCACTGCAGATATATCCTGCGATCGAGATTACGAGTCAGCAATTGTTTAGCAGGACCGGCAAGTACAATCCGTGGATTAAATGGAAGAAGAATGTTTTTCGCTTCTTTATGGTCATGCTCTGCGCAGCTATCGCATGGTTTGGCGCGAATAATCTCGATAAGTTTGTCAGTTTGGTCGGAAGCTTCGCTTGTATACCATTGGTATATATCTATCCGGTAAGCCATGCTGTGCACGCGAGTCTCATGTATTGTTTGAGATGGTATGGCTGACTTCTACGCTGTAGCCACTGATGCACTACCGTGTCGTTTCCACCCGGACCTGGCAGAAAGTCGTCAATGTATTCCTGGTCATCTTCGGCTTTGCGATCATGGCGTACACAACGACTTTGACCGCTGTTAGCTGGGCACATGGATCACAAGCGAAGCCGCCGGGCTACTGTGACGAGCTGTGAGGGCAGATCCGGCAAGAGCCATTGTATCAAGCATCGTGGTTGCTCATGAGCCGTTTGTGCGTCCGAGCAATTGTGCCGCCCTGAAGTACTGCACGAGAACACCAGATAGATCTAGAAAACACCCTAGAATAGATGAAGCCACTTTATGCTTCGCTATCATGTTTCTTCATGTTCAGAAAGTGCACAGCCAGTCCGTGAATCTCCCACAGCCTGATTGGAGTCGTACTACTGTCGTCCAGACTGTAGATTCCACACTAGATGTCGAGAGCCGACTTTCCGGTACCAACTCGTCAAGCAGTGGTCTAATGCTATTTGATAAGTTGTTGGTCTCTAATAGCCTTCACCGTGGCTTCGATCTGCCGTATTCGTGCACAATTTCGTCAAGACTTCCCTTCAAAACAAGTGCTCTCTGCTCTGCAGCTCTAGCTGGGTCGAATCACACCGTTGACAACCCCAATTCATCTTGCAAACAAGAACTACAACCGTCAGCGTCAACATATTCACGTTCCATCGCGCTCGAGTACCAGGACTCCAATCTACGTGAACGGAGCAGGTTGATCTCCGCGTCTCGTGCTCAGTCTGTGTGTGAGATGACGTCTCTATTACGAGATCGACGACAGCATATTGAATCAGCGTTGAAAGGTGGGTCTTGACTCTAAAATGCCAATGTTTGGGACATAGGAACACACGAAAAGGAGTCACAATGTCAAACGACCAAGCGATCAAGTACAGCCTGACCTTGGACCCGTCCATATCGAAATCGGCCACGCGAGACCACCCTCAACCTGCAGCATCACTTCCAGAGGCCAAAAAGACCAATATCACACCTCGTGGTAGTAACGGCGACGAGAACGCAAGCATCTACTTCATTGGCACCGCGACCACAATCCTGGAATGGGAAGGCATCCGCATCCTCACGGACCCCAACTTCCTTCACGCAGGCGACCATGTCCATCTCGGACCTGGTGTGACAGCAACAAGGCAAACGAACCCAGCGATAGACCTCCATGAACTACCACGTATCGATGCCGTACTGCTGAGCCACTACCATGCCGACCATTTCGACCAAGAAGTCGAGGCAAGCTTGCGTCGAGATCTGCCAATTATTAGTACACCTCATGCCAAGGAATGCCTCGTTGATAAAAAGGGCGACGACAAGTTCACCGATGTCTATGACATCGACTTCTTTCAGAACATGATGCTGGATATCAAGACTCCCGGCGGAGGTGAGAAAGCACCAGCTATCAAGGTTACCGGTATGCCTGGCAAGCACGTCCCTGATGGACCATTGAGCGTGGCGAATGATCTCGTTGGTGCTGTGCCCCCAACGAACGGATGGATGGTTGAGCTTGGCTACAAGGTTTCGGACGACTCGAGCTTCCAGTCGGGATACAGGATCTACATTTCTGGCGACACACTTTACGTCAACGAGCTCGAGGAGATTCCCAAACGATATGCTGGGAAGAACATTGATCTCATGCTCATACATCTTGGTGGGACGACCATACCTAGCCCGAAGATGCCCTTGCTCATGGTGACTATGGATGCCGAGCAAGGTATCAAGCTCATGCAGCTGATCAACCCCGATGTGACGATACCGATCCATTATGATGATTATGATGCATTCTTGAGCCCGCTGGAGGACTTCAAGAAAGCTGTGAGCAGTGCAGGCTGGGATGACAAGGTCGTATATCTTGATCGTGCGGACATGTACAAGTTTGCTGTCAAGCAGTAGCGCGCGTTCTTCAAATGCAGGAATATCGAATAGAGTGGGCTAAATGATAGCTGGAAGAAGTTGAGATCGAGTCGTTGAGTCTCAGGCTATCACGCCAGGGAATGCTTTCGTGCCGATGTAGTTCTCGAATGGTAGCTTGACAGGCAGCCGCTCAGCCACATGCCGCCACTCATGCCATTGATCTCCATAACGCCGTGTTCGCTAATCCATTGCACAACCATCTATGACTTTGCAACACGCTTGCCCTTGGCGTTCTTCTTCGGTGTGTCGTTGATGGTAAGACCTGCAACATCCGTATGTCAGCCTCGATGTTCCAAAAAACGTCTTTGCCAAGATTCGGCGTACCTGGAGGAAGTGATTGCCTAAGCTTGTCGGCCTTGTCGGAGTCCTTGAGTACGAGGGTGTAGAGATAGCGCTTGCAGCGGACCTTGAACTTGGTCTGGCTGACGTTCTTCTTTATCCGCGCCGCTGTAAGACATATTAGTCAATGTTATACTTCGCCATTCCGTCTCGTCTCGTTGCCGAGTATGCCATATTCAATACATCTGTCGTGCTCTTTCTGATCGCATTCGTTCGGGGTGGAGGTTCACGTACAGGAGGCATCCTTGCGGCGGCAGATCTCGATGAAGGACTTGATATCGCTGACTTCCTGAGGCATGGTGGGCGAATAGTGGATGGACGTATAGTGGAGGAAGTTGTGATATCGTCGTCGCTGCTGTCCTACTTCAATGTCCTTCGATCTCGAATTCTTGGTGCGGCCCGAACGCCAAGATTTGGAAGCTCGGGCCTCCAGAGGTTCAAACAACACTCCATCGCGACTTCACTTCCTGTCACCAGCATCAACATCCACTGAAATGGCAACACTGACGGAGACAGATTACACGAAAGTGTCTACAGAGGCTGCCGAGCACCTCGTTGACACATACTTCTCTGCTCTTGGAGGCGCCCGTGGTACTATCAGCAGTTTCTACGTGCCCACCATCGTCCAGGAGAATGGCCGTGGCTTGCCGAGCATCACTTATAACGGCGAGATGCTGACCGATGCTACTGTCTTCCAGAAGCAGTGGGAGGACCACATGCCTCGGACTCATTTCCAGGTGCAATCACTGAATACGCATGTCATGAATCCAGCCCTGGTACCGACGGATAGCAAGACCAAGAAGGACGCAGAGCGCAACATGAGCCTTATTGTGCAGGTCAGTGGCTCAGTCAGACTTGGCGAGGCACGGGAAGGTCCTCTTCGTGGATTTAGTGACAGTCTGGTCCTGGTCCCAAATACTGAACAGGCTGGCGGCCGTGGTACTGGCAAGCAGGATTATGGCAAGCGATGGTTAATTCAGAGCCAGACGTTTCGATTCGTTGTTTGACCCTTCTGTGGGTTACATCGGTGGAAAGTGATCACCAGATTGTCTGACAACGGCACGTACAGCGCCACCGGGTGTAGTAGGTACTGGCAGTATCGATCAATCAAGCCAAGCGCCTCCTGAGTCCCATGTCATATTCATCTGTCTACCGGGTTGCTTTGCCACCTATGTGCGACATTGCGGGTCTGCCAGACTGTCGCGAATGGCATGGTCCGAGCTCGGCTATACCAGATCGCATGATATACCGATCACGTGCATCGGTGAAGTGAGCTTCCAGCTATAAAAGCTCGATTCTGGTATCGAAACTGTCTGCAACCTCTCACACACACTCCCCACGATCGGCTCTTTTTCGAGAACTTTTGCAAGAACGTTCTTCTGGCCTTTGCAGCATCCTCACATTCGTTCTCCGACCTTAGCAACCTTGTTTTCCGCCGTAAATACTCGAAAAGACCGCCACTTCGGTCCAAGAACGTCCCTGCAGGCCGTGCTCTATCTGGTCAAGCGCTCTTGGACGGTCTCCTTTGCGTGCTTCGACTTTCAAGAACAGTCTCGCGACTCGTACATAGCTGAAAACGACCGCTAATCTTGCTCGAGAACGTTATTCCCAGCCGGAGAGTATCTGGACATCCATATCCGAAAGTCGTTGCAGAACGAACGATACCGGGGCAACCACGATTCTGTTCAAGAGCAAGAACGACTCCAAGGCCGGACAATATCACAACATCCGCTGTTTGCTGGGAACGTTGTCCCTGTTCGTTAAACACCTCGAACGACCCCTGCTTCTCTCCACGGGGCTAACGTCCTCACAGCTCTTCCACCAGCACAACCTTCGGTGATTACTTCAAGAACGTTCTACCCGATCGTAAACCAATTAGGATCACGATGAGGTGTAATAAACCCGGCACGGACCAGGAAGTCGAGCTGAGAGTCTACGCCAATGGCAAGCTGTGCGACAAGTACGACTTGGTCAAGCCAAGCACTGTGGGTTCGGACACTGACCAATGCTTCATACCAGTGAATCCTGGCGATCAACTCACCATACGTGGCACACATCCGGGCAGTTATCTGCAGGGTTCCTTCCATGTCCTTGCCGATGGCTCGTTCTTGGGAAATAAGACGAATGACTACTCAAAGAACGGCACGATCAAGGTGCATAACAAAGCTGGTATCAAATTCGAAAGCTTGCTCAATGCGCCGAAGGAGCCTAGCCACACCAGCGAGCTGCCGCCTGAGAAAGTGGTTGAAGGCAGCCTGCATATCAAGGACATGAACGATGGCTCCGAGACGATTTCTTCGAGCCAAGAGGCAGCTGAGATTGGTGTCGGTAGCCTAGCTGTTATCGTGTCAATGAGCCAGCGAGCTGAAAGCACGTATACAAACGACTACAAGAATATCACTCGTGGCGAGCGCACCGTTGCTCGCGAGACGGTCATGACCGGTGGCATACCTCCAACTTACGAGTGCGAGTTCAAGCTCACCAACGACAACCCATCGAAGCGTACGCAAAACCTGCTCAAGAAGCACATGAGACAAGACAGATTCGGTGAAAGACCATGGGCTACATTAATCTTCTAATACAGGAGTTTGACCATGCTGGAGTCCTACGACTGTGTCAAGCGCATGACAGATACAGTCCACGAAGTCGAGCCTTACGTCGGTACTTTCATTCGTGGTATGGTAGAAGGCAAGAAATCGAAAGGCAAGAGTGGTAAGAAAGACGACGAGGATGCTTCCAGCATTTTTCTGGGAGATGCATCTTCACATCGTCTCACACCTGTGCCTACAACTTCGGCCAAGCCTTCACCAACCCATCAGTCAAGCTTTGCTACTTCGCCGCCACAGCCATCTTCCGAGCCCAACACACCCGTCAGGCATGATCGCTACGATTTCCTGACACCGTCGTCACCCAGCAAGGCGTGTCCATCTGGCAAGAAGAAGCTTATGGGCCAGTCGCTCATCCTGCCGCCAGATTCCACGCCAACCCCTGAGATACCGCTCGGAAGAGATGAGGGTGCAATTCGATCCAGCGCAGACTTCGCAAAATACAACAAGGAGCTTGCTAGGCTGCGTGCAGCCGATTCTCCGACGAAGTCACAGCTTTCGAGTGGCCGAAATATCGCTCTATCAGACAGATTAGGCAACGAGCTGATGGAGACCGTTGATGATGCGCAGACACCTCCGAGCACGCCATTCACTCATCCTCGCGCAGCTCCAGTAGCTCACATGACCAGCTCGACCACGGAAGAGCACTGCGATGACGTCGAAGAACTGGTGAATGTGCCGAATGCAGAAGGCGCGGTGAGACACGTGGAAGGTGAGCCGCTACTGCCTGTGCAAACAGCTTCTTCTCTGGAGAACCCGAACGTTCCTGACAACCGACCAACATCTCTGGAACATCGACAAGACCACAACATGAGATCATCACAGTCGTCCTCGCGAGCTCCATCGCAGTCAGCCGAAGATGAGGCAGAAGAGCTGCGTACGTGTCAGGTCACTGTTGAAGATATCCGAGCTCGACTTCCAGCAGAAGGGATCACAATCGCGGCATTGCGAGAGTCCTTCGGTCCCGAGCTCGTTCCGCAGAACAAGGTTGCCGCGAGAACGTTCTTGCACCTGATCAAGACAGCGGCCACGCCCAAGGATGGGAAATATTACTTGAAGACTACGGCATCATCTCAGAGGTCCTCTCAGCCTGCTCCTTCGCCGGTGAAGCAGTCAGAGGCGCCAAGCCGTACAGAAGGATCTGATATTGTCAGTTTGGTAGCAAACGCCGCTAGCGACAAAGCCGCATCAGGTCAGGCACAGAGCGAGCCAACAGACGAAGTGTCTCGCACGAGCAGATCACTCAAGATAGAATCTACAGCATCATCGGTCCCGGTCAAGCGGCAGGCAGATATTACTCAGCGTGAGTCTGCACGAGACTACAAAAGGCACGATTCGATGCCAATGCCACCAAGAAGGCCTAAATGCTTCGCCAGCTCGAAGAAAATTGCAAAACCAAGGCGGCGGAAGAGGAAGCCATCGAGCTAGACAGCAGGGTGCCAGAGGAACATGAATGCGTGCGAGAGGATCTTGAGGAGCGAGAGCTTGCGATGCTGCAGCAAAAATTGAATGATGACGATGAAGAGCATAAGCAAAGGATGCAGGTGCGCGAGCAGCAAGCTGAAACGCTGCGGCAGGTAAACGAGGCAATCCGAAGAGCCGAGGAGGCGATAAGAGCTGGTAGCGTTGAGTGAGCAAGAGATCAAGCTGGCGCATTGAAGCAGTACCAAAGGTTGGAGTAGTAGGAGGCTAAATATCATGGGTATCATAACTTTGTCAGGAAAGAAGCATCATATATCAGCCCCTTCACGCTCGTGGCGCACGCAGGTTGGCTTTGACTCTAGCCAACAGCTCTTCTCTCGTGGCTGTGCTTCCTGCCATTAGACCTCTCTGTCATTGAGTCAACGAATTTGTCCCCAATGATAGAGTAACTCAGGTTGCATGACTTACAGCGTTCAGCCACCGCTTCACATCCTCCTCGCTCCACGTCTCTGGTTCGCCTTTGGGATCGGGCTGTTGGGGAAACATGTCGCCACCCCAGATCGACCAGGCGGCTACGGCTGTGACGAGGCCAGCAAAGCCTAGGAACATGTTCTGATGTATTCATCAGTCTTGTGGTAAGTTAACGCGATTCATGAGAGGCACTGCATACCCTGGAGTTCATGGCTCGATCGATAGGTGTAGGCATGTCGACGGTTGTGATAATAGGTTATGTATGATGGGCGCTTTCTGGATACAACGTTGGTTGAAATCAGGCAAGAATCGACGACTGGAACGTGGACCAGGAATAAGGATATATATACCCAGCGATGACACTTTGCCTTTCATGAAGTGTAGATGCCTTGAGCATGTGCGTCTTGTGGCGGTGCATATGCACTACTGCACCTCGCCAGGTTCCGTCTCTGGGGTGCATGGGCTCTAAACTCTATCCTCCTGGAATACCAAGTGGCATGTGATGCATGTCGACTTTGCGACATGATCTGACCTTGCTACGTCTCCTGGTGGAATATGATGGACGAAGTATAGCTAGAGGAGATTCCACGAATTGGTACCGCAGAAGTGCACGATAAAGGAATTAGCGGCCTAGGATCGCAGTGCACTTAGTACTGAGGATATCCCAGAGACTGACGCGTTGCGGCCAACGAGGGCCTCCGCGTCGAGAAGCGGTCGCCTCCGAGTGAGTCTGGACGGTCGATATCCAGTTTGTTGTAGGCCACGATGGCATACATCTCGCAGACCGGGCCTACACAGCGTCACACCGACAACTGGCAGAGCTCACACTCACGATTCGACATAAATGGCCAGGGCAATGGCAGTATCACAGACAAGATTAGCGATGTCTTTGGCGGCGATCGGAAGAACTCACTACCAATGTACAAGGATAAACCATTCCAATATCCGGGCGGGAGGAGGAAGATGCCGTGGTATAGACAAAAGAGGATCATAGCAGTGGCGTTGCTTAGCCTGGCTCTGTTATCGTGGTGGTTCGGGATACTATCGCCGCTTTCGTACGTGACAGGAGGGTCAGACAAGGCACCAGCAAAGAAGAGCCAATCGTCTTGGTCATTATTCGGAGGAGGCATCGTTGACTGGGACGATCGGGCACAAAAGGTCAAGGAGGCGTTTCAGCTATCATTCTCGGACTACGAGAAGCATGCATGGGGCGATGACGAATACCATCCGGTCGCGAAAGATGGCAAGAAAATGACACAAGAAGGTCTGGGCTGGATAATAGTCGATGCGCTGGACACAATGATGCTCATGAATCTGACGACCGAGCTGGAGCATGCTCGCCAGTGGGTGCGGCATAACCTTACATACGACCAGGATCATGATGTCAGCACGTTTGAGACCACTATACGAATGCTTGGTGGGTTGTTATCAGCGCACTACCTTAGCAGTAGCTTTCCAGGCGTGTATGCGCCCGTCAATGACACACTCAGCGATGACATGTATATTGAGAAGGCCGCGGAATTGGCCGACCGTCTCATTGGCGCTTTCGATACACAATCAGGCGTGCCCCTTGCAAGTGTCAATCTGCATACACAGAAGGGTATTCCATCTCATGCTGATGGTGGCGCATCATCTACAGCAGAAGCCACCAGCGTTCAACTAGAGCTAAAGTATCTGTCCAAGCTCACAGGTGAGACGGGATACTGGGAGAAAGCCGAGCACGTCATGAAAGTCGTGGACGACAATGCCGAACCAGACGGCCTTGTGCCCATCTTCATCTACGCCGATCGTGGTGTATTTCGGGGCAATAACATCCGCCTGGGCAGTCGTGGCGACAGCTACTACGAGTATCTTATCAAGCAATACCTTCAGACCTCACAGCAGGAAGGCGTTTACAATGAGATGTGGAAGGAGAGTATGGCAGGCTTGAAGAAACACTTGTTGACGTACAGCTCGCCGTCGAACTTTACCGTACTGGCGGAGAAGCAGAATGGCCTGGAACAAGCTCTCACGCCTAAGATGGATCATCTCGTCTGCTTCATGCCCGGCACGATCGCACTGGCCACTACAGGCGGACTAACAGTAGCACAAGCGCGCAGAGAGCGTACATGGGGTTCCGAGCAGGAAGACGACATGATCCTGGCCGAAGAGCTTATGAAGACGTGCTGGGGAATGTACACGGTCACGGCGACTGGCCTCGCCGGCGAAATCACGCACTTCAAGCTCCATGATCCGCCTCTCATGTACAACGACTTCGCATCTGGTGACCGTCCCCGTGGGCCTAAGAGCTTTGAGCGGATGCCCAATCTTCCAGGCGTGGACTCTAGACCTGTTGGTACTGACGACTACAATATCAAGTCTGCAGATGCGCACAACCTCCAGCGACCCGAGACCGTGGAGAGTCTGTTCTACATGTGGCGAATTACTGGGGACGAGAAGTATCGGCAGTGGGGATGGCAGATGTTTGAGGCTTTCAGGAAGCATACCATCACTCCTGATAGTACAGGCTATAGCTCCATCAATAGCGTGCAGAACGTTCCGACTTCGCTGCGAGACAATATGGAGAGCTTCTGGCTGGTACGTTCCGCCATCGCCACCGGGGAATCACTGCTAACATATATCTCAGGCTGAAACCCTCAAATACTTCTTCCTCCTCTTTTCCTCAAACGATATACTACCCCTGACAGACGTCGTATTCAACACAGAAGCTCATGCCTTCCCGCGCTTCAAACTGGGCAAGCTCTTCAAGACTGGCTGGGAGCGCAAGCCACGGGACGAGTCAGGACATCTCTTGCCAGTCCCGGACAAAGCAATTGAAGAAAAGAAGCCAGAGGGCGACAAGCCTGATCCTCTTGCCGGTGCCGGGCCGAGAAAGATACAGACCGTGCATCTCACGTCTACCAAGGTCGTGCCTGCGACCGAAACCACATTGCTACCGCAGAGCGTAGACGTGGCGAACTCGCAGACAGAGACGGATAGTGAGGCTGCTGAGACGGCCGTTGTGCCTGTAGTCGCGGATCCGGCAGTGGAGATGGTCACGTAGACGTTTTGTACAAACACATGTATCAATCCAAGCATGGCAATCCACAGGCCCGCAGGTCACAGTTGCTGCACACTCTCATTTCTGATGGTAAGGAGCGGTCCCCCGACTTTATAGCTGCCTTGATATGTCTTGGGAAAGTCCATTATGCAAACTGCTCAATAGTCGATGTCATCCCAAGCATGCTAATCAAGCACTTGAGCGGTGGTCGTTGCAAAGGTATCATGCTGATGGTATAAGGCTATCTTCCTGCTCCTGCATTATCCTGACTCCTCTTGAAGTAACATATGCAGACCGTTCCCTTATCCTGATTAAATCGCAGCAATCAAACCAGCAAGCATAACACCCACACCCATACCACTCGCACCATACGTGGCCTTTGCTTCCGAGCTGCTTGTCGCACTAGCCGCAGCGGCGCTGTTCGCGGACGATGCGCTCGACTGCGCACTGACGGCTGACTTGCTGGCACTGGACTGTGCACTGGCAGCTGAGGCACTCGCGCTCGAAGCCGCGCTCGAGTTCACGGTCGATGTAGTGCCAGAGGAAGCGGCGGCAAGGACAGAGGAGACGGATGAGGAGACTGAAGCCGGGATAGAGGTGCTCATGGAGGACATAGACCCTGTGGCTGAGCCCGTAGAGCTCGCGGCTCCTGAAGCACCTGCTGAGCAAGTCGCGGATTGTGGGAGGTCGCTGACGCCTTGGCCGGCGCAAAGGGAGTTGGCATAGTCGATTGTGTCTATGCCAGTGTCAGCACTACCTCTATACTTGCTATATATTCTCCGCACGTACTCTGTTGATCCGCAGCACTACAAGCGGTGCTCACGCAACAGGCCAAATCCGCGAGCAGAGTGGTATCCGAGCAGATACACTTGACATCGAAAGTGCCGCAGCTACCAAAGCCGGGGCCTTGAGAGACGCAGGTTGAAGCGCATGGAGGAAGACTGACGGCGAGCGCGCTGCTCGCGGACAGGACGGCGATAGTGATGGAGGCGCGCATTGTAGGCTCCTCTTTTGGCTACCGTTTCAGCTCGAATGCGGATGCGATGAGTGGTGATTCCCCTCGTGAGCTATCGTCGTCGTCAACAACCGTGCACTACTTCAAACGTTTCCAAGAGAATACACGATAGTAGTGTTATCAATGGATCGGAAGAGGTGGGAGACGACGATGTTCCACTAGAGTACTCCGTACCCATACACGCCATCGACCCACGGTGGCTTGACACAAGGGAGCGGGCTCACGAACTCGAGGCCCTTGCGCCCACGCCATCCCGATCGGGCACCACGTTTGCGAACAGCCAATCATAAGCTGCAGCGACAAACATATCATGGCTGTGTTCGGAAGCTCGGAAGAGACAGAGAGCCAAAAGCCATGTTTTTCACGATGCCCGAGATCATAAGAAGATTATCACGATACATATCAGTATCTCCTTCGACCGATCTTTGACATCCCAGTCGATGAGTGGGGACCGAAATGCGGTGCATCGGGCGACAGATCGTCATCTCTGAGGGAAGTAGAGGAGATGTATTCGACTCATGATCAGAGGCGCGCTTCTCGCCCTGTGCCAAAGAACGTATGGGTCTAACTACGCGTCTGTTCTCCGAGACGTGCGCTCGCTGGTGATAATCTGACAGCCCTTAACGTAGCTTTTCCTCCGCCGTTGCACAAGAAAGCTGAACCATGCTACTTTCGGACCAAGTCCTCGTACAGCTTTTCAGTACAATGTCATATATGCTAATTTACAACTCTAGCCAAAGAGTACGTATCGAGAGCTACTGGTATGCGTCGACGGGTCGGACCTAGCGCAGCATGCTCTCTTGATGGGCTGTAGACGGCGGCAGCGCTGGAGCTCTTCCTGCTGGGCAAGTGCAAGCTGTATGGAGCGTCTTTCGATATGCCTCTTGCGTAACTCCGACTGCTCAATGCGGCGGCCAATGTAGAGCGTCCAGTAATAAGTTGACACTTCGTGACGGCTTTCTGACTCGTCGTCCAGCATTGAAGGCTTACGACTTAGGCCCTGTGAAACTGCACCGGCTGGCTCGCCTCCCTCGGTGTCTTCTGCTCCACCGCTGCCCAATCAATCGCATCCCACCAGTCTTTCAAGAAAGTCCTCTTCCCATTTATACCGTAATCCCTCAACCACACATGCTCCCACGTGTTTACACAAAGCACTGGTAACACATTCGTACCTCCGGGCGGCAGCTTCGCCTGCTCCTGTCCGCTCTTACTGTACGCCCCAAAAGCGCCCACAGGAGGCGTTGCGCGCATGTACTCGTCGTAGCTCTTCGCGTTCTGGTTGTTGGCGTCAATCCCTTGTTGGCGGTAGCCGGCTTCGGCATAAGGAGTTCCGGCTAGGTAGGTGGTGAGGATACGCCAGCTGCCTCGCAATTTGCTTCCGCCGCCTACGGATGAGTTGTCCAGATTGCGAGCCCAGATCAGCCAGACGAAGCCAGGGCCAAACATCGATGCAGCGGTGTCGAGCATTGTCATCTGAAGTGTGCCGATAGAGCCGAAGGTGGTGCAGAGAGACTGTTCTAAGGTCGGCAGTTTGTCCAGTTTCATGGGAGCGGTGGAAAGGGTGGAGAAGAAGAAGTGATTGTTGTGCGCCATACTGGCATGGTTGAAGAGGGAGGCGGCCATGGGGTTTCGGGCGAATTGTAGGGCGAGGTCCTTTGTCTGCGCGTTCTCCGTTGGTTCGCCGGCTGTAAGTTCATTGAGCTTCTGCACGAGAAGTGCTTGATAGTCCGTCCATGCTATTCGGAAGCCTTGATCGCTGAGCAGGCCTGGGATACCATCTTGTCTGAAGGTCTCGTCGAATGTCAAAGGTGGAACGTGATGGGCTCGCCGTTGCTGCTGTGGTAATCGTGTCTGTGATATGATGGAGGCTCGGGTCTAGGACCGGTCAGCACAGGCATAGGAGTTTGGGTTGGTGGAGACATACACAAGAAGGGCAAGTCCAAGTCGATGATGCAAAGGCGCTCGCCGGTCGTGCTAGTCTTCTGGTAATCATCGTTGTCGCGTGGGCATTGCAGTCTTCCAGGACCGTAGAATCTCAATCTAAAGCCCATCTACAGGCTCGAGTGCTCAGAGGGGCAAAGCGTGTTCGGGAGCGACCGCTTCGCCGCGGGAAAGCCACCACTCTGCCACAGCCAACCGTTGCTCTGCTCTTTGCCTGGTACCAGACAAGGCGCCAACATGTTTCGGCTGCAATTGTATCAACGCTGTCTAGATGCCATGAACCTACTAGACGCTATTCTTGCCATCGGCCGAGTCCTTTTGACGCGCTTGTACGAGCCTACAGATGCATCGCGCGCTTCGGTCTCGACACTCGACAGACTCACGTCTTTGACGCGGTAAGACTGTCTTTCATCTGCTGTCTTCGCATGTCCTAGTTGCTTGAGCTTTCTCACCTTCTTCGCATCCTTCTCTGCGACCTTGACGCGACCACTTGCCTGTTTCCTTGGTTCTCGCCACACTATTAATCCGCGCTGGTCGCAACAAGTACGCCTAAACACGATAGACACGACCACAATATAGAGCATTTCAATCTAATACATCAGCACGATGGCGGCGCGATGCTTGTGGACGGTGGCTTTCGGTGTCCCCGCGGCAGCGCGCGTCCTTTGGGTACCGGCAACCTTCGACCCGAATGAGAGAAGGAGTCTTGGTGGCAACAACCTATTCTCAAGAGACAATTCTGTATCTTCTTGCGGGGCGAGCTACCCGAGCGACTTCACCTGTCCTTCCAGCACCCAGTGTCTAGCGCTGAACACGACCTCCACAAAGGCGGTCCTATGCTGTCCTGCCGGCCAGGACTGCCAGATCATCAATCCAGTCAATTGCGATCAAAGCTTACAGAATGCGACCTTGGTACCGAACAGTCAGCTGCACGCGAACCCAACACTATCATTGAGTATGTGTGGCACCGGCTGTTGCCCTATGGGTTACTCGTGTAGTGGCGGGCAATGTACTGCACAGTCATCTGCAACAGCAGCAAGCCCTATTACTCCCACATCCTCAGCTACAGCCTCGACAAGCGCCACAGCCACTAGAAGTACTACCACGAGCTCTGCTTCTACACCTACGACATCAAACGGTGCTTCTGCTACTGCTATACCTGGCGAAGCGGTCGACGGTGGCGCTACCTCCTCGTCTTCGAATTTCTCAGGAGGCTCCTTCGCTGCTGGCTTTGTGCCAGGCGTCTTTCTGGGAGCACTTTTGATAGCGTGCCTTCTATTTATTCTGCTCCGACGAAAGAAGAGGACTACCAACGCGTACTACAACGAGAAGCAGAGCCCACGTGATACACTTACCGACTTGACAACACTCAGTCACAGACCAACGATGCATGGACGCTCCATCAGCGAGCCTACGCCAGACCCAGCAGCCGCGCGGACTGACTTCCTACGCGGTACACCACCACGTGTACCGGATGGGACGAATAGTGAGAATGGCTACAGCGTCAACATCTTTGGTCCTACATCAGCACCCAGAACTCCTGCGCGAACGCCAATGGCAGCAAAAGCACTATTTAGTCGATCGCCCTTCATGAATCAGACGCCGGCGACCCCGCTATCTACCCAGCCTCCTTTGCCAGCACATCTGAAGCGCGGCACACTCTCATTCAGCATCAGCCCGGTCAGGGCACTCAGAAAGCAAAAGAGCTCATACTCGCTTCGCCGGCACATGACCGATGCTTCACGAGGCAGCGATCGACGGATGACCCGAAATAATAGCACAGAGACCATACAGGTGCTCATGCCTAATAACGAACCATATACGCCCGACCAACGACCACCACAAATCCAGCTTCCGGCAACACTAGGTTCTAGTGTCTACAAACCTCAAAAAGTATACACTAGTGCTGCCGAGTCATGGCGGCTCTCGCATGCAGCTGATCTGGAAGACGCTGGGCCTGCACCATATGCGCCATCAGCATCCACATATCTGGACTACACGTCCATGAAGGACCGGGGCTTCACGAACAACAGCGAGAGTAATGTGGGAAGAAAGCTGGGGACGCCATACACACCTAGCAAGTATACTGGACTTGGCAATAACGGTACGGCGACGGGTGCAAGTAGCAGCGCAAATAGTCCTCTTGGGGCATCTGGACGTGCTGACAAGCGCGTCACAACTTTTAGTGCATTGATGGAGAAGGCCGGCCTGAACAAAGGCGAATGGCTACCTGAACACAGCAGTCGGAAGTGAGCCGGTTGAGGTAATGTCACATATAGCAGGATCTATATCGAGCAGCATAGAACTAATCGGACATTTTTTACATACATCCCAGCTGCATGCATCAGCGGTTTCTCATTGTGGTCGTGCAAAGATGAAAAGTGGGTCCCGCTTGTCAGCTCTTCGCCGCTAGATCATGGAAGCCCAGATCCTTCATTTCTGTTCTTACCCTGCACGTTCCAAACATGCCATGCCGCTACTGTACGCTGTGCATCCTCATGTGTAGATCGCTGGTCAGACCGATGCGTGGGCTTGGAAAGGCGGTGCAAGGTACGTGCTGGTCGTCTTGGCGAGATACGAGTAGGTAAGAGAAGTCGCTGGGGACATTCTTCCAACCATTTCATTCTCCCTTTGCTGCGTGTCGTGCTTGCGCATCTGTCAAGATGAGAAATCACCGTGGCGTGTTCGCCATTTCAATACTGGTGCGTACGGCTCTGGGACAGAACAGTACTAACACGGGTGTGGGCGATGTGATTGCTGGAGTTATCGGCGCAACATCTGTCAATGGATCTTCAGCAACACAACCTATAGCAGTCGTCAATAGCACGTCTGGAGGTGCTGCTGTTCCGGCTGGGCTTCCTGTTACAAGCTTCCCATACAGCAATCCGAGTCCGACATGGACTGTTGCGGCCAGCGGGACAGGTATTATATGAACCATGCAATGGCATTTACTCTGTCTAACGGAACCCAGGATCCGCGTATGCAGTGGCTTGCAATGTCGAGAATGTGCTCTACTCATATCTCACCGAGTCAGCATCTCAGTACGGCGAGAAGGTGGCTAGTACGAGTTACACAACTGTTACAAGCTACACTGCGACCGTGACCACCCTTTGCGATGGCCACGAGCGAGTTCTGGGTTCGCTTACAGCCGTGTCAACGGTGACTAACAGCACAGTCTTTTCTTTGCCTGTAACGACGAATATACCCTCGCCTTCCTGTGCAGTCAACCCGGACGACTACACCACATACGTCTCCAATCCTTGGCTCGACGCGTCTGTGAACAGCCCACAAATAACCTTGGTAGTGTCTCTCGATGCTTCTCTGACAGCAGTGACCGTCAACGGCTCTTCTACAGCGCTGCCTGCTGCTACCAACCCACCCAAGCTCACCATAGACGGCACAACTTTCGCCGCCAACGATGAGTCCACGTATCTCGTCCAGATCGACTGGAATTCGATGGAACCTTACAGCGCTGGAGAAGAGTTCACGATGACACAGTACGGCGATAAGTTGATCTATGACGCTCCACAGCTCATCACAGCGTCTACGACCCAGACAGCGGATCAGAGCAGTATCACACAATCAGTGTCTGGCGGCATAGGCACAGTCATCGCCGCAAACACGTCCACTTCTACGAACTGCCCTTGTACGATTGCAGGCCAGAACGTAAGGCTTCTGTACTTCCCATTCACGTCAAGTGCATCGCGAGATCAATGCCAGACAGGTCTTGCACAAGGCACTTTATGTCCCTACGCCGGCGCCACCGTTATAAATGCCCAGAACTCCCTCTCTATCGCTATTGAGGAGCAAGTCGATCAGGGATCAGTCTGCCCGTACGTGCCGCTCAACTACACCAGCACGAAGAACAGTGGACCTTATGTTGTGTCCTCTGGAACAACATTCTACGAGAACAGAGCATACCTTGCTTTCGATGTCATGTCTGCCACTCGAGGTTGCGGTTATGGTGATGCGGTTTCTGGTCGTTTGGGCACTACTGATAACCTGGCTACCACGAGGTATGTTGGTTCGACGTATACCGATGGCTATCTTGAGCTGCCATCTTCAGATCTCTATTCTGGTTGCGGATACTCGTACTTCTATGATGCTGTTGGCTATGTAAGCTATTTCCTTCGCTGATAGATTGGAACTGGACTGACTTCTCTTCAGAGCTTCAACTATGCAGACCTCAACGAACCCGTTCCCGCGAGTGCTTTCCTCTGCCAACCTGCCTGCTTCGAAGCCGTCGCGTATTCAACATCAACACTCCAGTACGGCGACTATCTCAACGGCCAGCTAGCTGACCCTGGTTTCTGCAAGATCATCCTGGAAAGCGAGTACAAACCACAACTACTAGTACCACCGCAAGCCAGGACTCTCGACCCAGAATGGTCTACATGCGTGTTAAAGCTCGAGGGACTGTACGATCCGCCTGTTGCACTTCAGCAGGTGGTATCTGAAGCAGCGCCGACCGTGCCTGCTGGTGCGACTACCACAGGAGCGTCACCGGCATCTACACCTACTTCACAAGATGCCCCTCAGACGAGTGCAGCTGCCGACAACCTTCCAACGACCACCCCGGTAGCTCAGGCGGGCAACGACAATGGTGGGAGTCAGTCTATTGCTGGCCCATCTACACCGACAGTGCAGGCTCCTGCGACTCAAGCACAAGCATCTCAAGGACAAGCTTTGTCGGGTAACGCAGACCCAGCCACTTCGCAGCCAGGCAGTCAAGCAGTTTCGAACGTAGACCCCGGCTCTTCTGCGGCGCTCAGCTTTACCTTTGCAGGCAGTATCTACGTCGTAAGTGGCGCTGGAGCTTCAGCGGTGGCCGTCGATCCGAGCACTAACGACGGTCTATCGCAGAGTCAAGCCTCAGCAGTCGTGGGAGGCCAGACTGTCCAGGCCACACAGATCTATGGTGAACAATCTGCTGTGATTGTGGCAGGATCGACGCTATCTGCTGGAGGCGCAGCTGTCACGGTGGGGAACACTGTATTCAGCTTAGCGAGTGGTGGTCTGGTTGTAGGCGGTACCACGAACGCCCTTCCAACTGCTGGTGCCGCTTCTGCAACACAAGTGGGTGGTGAGGCTGTTGTACCAACGACTCTGGCTAGCGGACAGAGTGCTGTGGTGGTGAAAGGGTCTACTCTATCAGTCGGCGGCTCACCAATCACAGTCAGCGGTACAGTGGTCAGCCTGGCCTCTGGTGGTCTAGTCGTTGGCGAGAGTACCAATGCTCTACCAGTAGCTGGTGGGGCCTCAGAGACACAGATCAATGGCCAAGACTTTCTCCCGACCAATCTAGCTGGGGGCCAGACTGCTTTAATCGTAGCTGGCACCACATTATCCGCCGGTGGTTCAGCAGTAACATTCAGCGGTACAGTGGTCAGCCTAGCATCTGGAGGGTTAGTGGTAGGGGGGACCTCAAATGTTCTGCCACCGCCTGGTGGAGCTTCTGCTACCACCATCAATGGCCAAGCCGTGGTCCCAACAACTCTGGCAGATGGCGCAAGTGCCGTAGTTGTCGACAGTACTACGCTGTCCAACGGTGGAGCAGCCCTCACTGTTAGTGGGACCGCTTTGAGTCTTGGCTCTGGTGGCCTTGTGGTTGGTGGCACACAGACAGTCCCGCTGAGCTCTGGAAGTGAATCGATGTCATCCAGGCTTCCAACGACTACTGGAAGATCATCTGGCACCGCAGGTCCTGCCGGAGCATCGAGCACAACGACCTCGGCTGGAAGTGCGAGGATTACTGTCTCAATAGTGTCAATGATAGCAGCTATCGCCGCGCTTATATATAATTCGCGGTACCAAGTGTGGAACACACACCCATGAGCCTCAGCAATGATATGGAGAACCGCCGGTATCTAGGGCATATGTGGATTTTTGTATAGACATCCTAACAAGTCTATGATCCGCCTCACCAACACGTCGTCTTACGGCTCTTCATTCCCCGACCGCATTCATGATGATCTTCTGATATCCATCCACGGCACCATATAATTCCTTCTCAGTAAGCATCTCATGATCACTATGTGCTACCAGAATACTCCCTGGCCCGTATAAGTACCTCTTCTGCCCTTTGACCGTGCTCTCAAGCCAAGGAATGTCAGTGCCATAATTCACAGTCATGGCGTCAAAACCAGGAATATCATGATCGATATCGATTGGTCCGTACCCAGCGCTCGTATACGAGACTTCAATCACATCCTCGACCTTCATATCGTCCTCGAGAAAACCTTGAACGGCTAGGGAGGTGACTTTATTGATCTCCTTGCGAATAGAACTAGGTGTTCCTTCAGCGATACGTACAGCAACCGTGGCATTGGCATCTTGCGCTACGACATTTGCGGCTACCCCTCCCGAGATCTTGCCGATGTTGAAGGTCGTGATGCCGTATTTGTCGCTCTCTGGTAAGTTCTGGCCCAGCTCCATGAGCGCAGCTAGGGCTTTGACCAGAACTTCATTCGCGGAACGACCGAGCCATGGGTAGCCGGAGTGAGCAGCTTTACCCTTTGCTTGAAGGACGAGACCGAGATTGCCTTTGTGGCCGGAGGCGAGTTTGCCTTCTGTGGGCTCGCCGAAGACGATAGTTTGGGGGTTTAGACCGAGATAGTTTGCTTTGCGCATACCGTCGCCGCCAGTCTCTTCGCCGACAACATAGAGGAGTGCTACATCTTCGACATTGATCTTGCCGGCTGAGATGAGCATGTTGACCGCGATTATCTGAGTGGCGACGCTGCCTTTGGCATCTACTGAGCCGCGGCCGGAGATGGTCTTGTCTCTGTCGTTGTCGTGCTTGTATGGGTAGAAAGGTGGTACCTACCCTCGGTTCAGCGCTGCCATTCTTAGAAATGGCTGTCGTATTGAAAGACTTACAGTGTCAATATGGCTAGTCACGAGTACTTTGACATCTTGCTTCCTTTTGCCTGGCCACGCGACCACGTTGAATCGAGCAGGATCCTTCTGAATGTACTGCTTCACGACATGATAGCCTTGCGACTTCAGGCTATCAGCTAGCCATCCTCCTACACCTTCCTCATTGCCGGTGATGGATTCGATAGACGTGAGATTAGCATGTAGGCCAATCAGATCATGCGTAAGGTGTTTCGTGCTGTCGGTATCGGCCTGAAACGACTCTTGCGGAAAGACATTGCCTCGAGCAGACACAATAACGGCGGTCGCAAACGGTAGCAACGCAGATACGAGTCTCATGTTGGCGTGATAGAAGGTAAGTGAATGGTTTCAGGAACAGGCAATTCATCATGCATGACCCCGCATCGACCGGCCAACGACGAGGGCCAATGCATCTCCATAACATTGGTAGCGCTAGACTGTTCCGTAACACCAATCCTGATGCTTATCATAATATTCTGGTAGTGTGGTGAATGTTTGCTGACTAGCATCTTAGAGAGCACTTTCTTGAATGACAAAAACACTTTCCTGAGTAGGGCTTGCTTGTTATACACTTTGGGTGAAGGCATGATCGAGTATATGAAAGTCACGAGTAGAAGGATCACAACAGCGTCGAACACATTCCGACGACCCTCACGATCGCCTGAGCAAAGAACATATACAAACAGCCAGCCATGGCAGGCACAATGTCCTCCTCCACAGCCGACCCTGAGACGCTATACACACGACAAGCATGCATAGGAGGAGGCAGCTTCGGCAAAGTCTACAAAGGTGTACACAAGCAGACCGGCCAGTCGGTAGCGATCAAGATTATCGATGTTGAGAATGCGGACGACGAGGTCGACGATATAATCCAAGAGATCAGCATCCTATCCGGCCTCAACTCGCCATATGTCACCAAGTACTATGGCTCTTACCTCAAAGGCTCGGATTTGTGGATCATCATGGAGTACTGCTCGGGAGGAAGCTGTGGAGATCTGCTGAAGCCTGGAAATATGGTGGAAGAGTATATCTGCATTGTGGTTCGAGAGCTGCTGCTGGGCCTAGAATACTTGCACAGTGATGGGAAGCTACATCGAGACATCAAGGCCGCCAATATCTTGCTCGGCGCAAATGGTCAAGTGAAGCTGGCAGACTTTGGTGTAAGTGGCCAGCTTACAGCGACTATGACGAAGAAGAACACTTTCGTCGGCACGCCTTTCTGGATGGCGCCGGAGGTTATCAAGCAATCCGGCTACGACCACAAAGCAGACATATGGTCTCTCGGCATCACAGCTTTGGAGCTGGCGCAAGGCGAACCACCGTACAGCGACATACATCCTATGAAAGTGCTGTTCCTCATACCTAAGAATCCTGCTCCAACACTAGAAGGCAACTTCAGCCGAGAGTTCAAGGACTTCGTGCATCGATGCTTACGGAAGGAGCCACGTGAGCGACCGAGTGCGCGAGAGCTGTTGAAGCATCCATTCGTACGGAAGGCGAAGAAGACTGCATATCTCACAGAGCTGATCGAGCGGCACGAGAGATGGCAAGCCACGCACAGGGAGAGCAAAGACCACGATGACGAGGACTATCGAGACTCCTCGCCGGAGCGAGACAGCGAAGAAGAAGATCTCTGGGACTTCGGCACCGTTAGACCAATTGGTCGACGAGGAAATGGTGCGGCTCCCTGCGGTCTACGAGTCATGAACAACGCCGGCATGAATTCGCGAAGTTCGCACATCTCGACCTCGCCCACGAAACGATCCTTCTCTAACAAAGAAAACTCTTATGGTGCAGAGGAAGATGATGACCCAAGTGGTACGGTCAAGGGAGCCATGCCACCTCCGCCACTTCCCAAGACACCATCACCAGCAAAGCGACCTGCGCAACCGTTGCAATCGCCTTCTGCTGCGGCGAAAGTACCTTTGCCACAGACACCGAGCCGGAAGCCTGTCGCCAGTTCACAGCAGCCTGTGTCACATACACCTGGACGAGTCGATCCTGCGACCGGTTCACCGCGTCCTCCCGCTACGCCACAGACGCCGAGGATGCTTAATGACGATTTCCTGCAGCAAAGTATTGCAAGCGATATGTCGCAGTTTATGAAAGGGCTGAATATTCAAGACGAGCCGTTGGCGCAGCCTGTATTACAACAGCCACAGCAGATCATTCCACAAAGTCAAGTCCAAGCAACGGACTTCGGCGCCATGCACGCTCAACAACAGAGACCGACCAATGGCAGTCGGACGGCAAGCACGAATGAGCTTTACCAGAAGCCGCTGCCCAGCTTCGCACCGCCCATGGATGGTAGCTCGACAACGTCACGCACTTCGACAGACGAGCAACCACTGCCGCCAAACGACAGAGCTGAAGCCACAACTTCCACATCAAGCCGCACCTCTACAGCATCACTACCTGGTCAACAAGAACATCAGCACCAACATACACCAGGATCACAAGCAGACCAACCCGTCACCGCCCTAACCTCCGTTGTGATTCCAGCCCTGGAAGCCGCCCTTCATCGCCGAAGCCACCAACTAAGCACCCTGCAAAAACGAATTTCCGCTTCTCAAGCCTCACGCACCATCTCAGAAAATATCGATCAAATACCCTCACCAGCTGCTTTAGAACACAAGCGCCAAGCGCACGATCAGATCCGCAAATGCATGGTCAAAATCGTAAGGCTGTTCAAGGAGATCGATGCCCTCGATGCTACGGCGCCGGTGGGAATGGGTGATGGGGTTGAAGGGGTGCTGGAGGGGTTTTTAGAGGAGGTGTTGTGTCGGGTTGAGGCGGAGGATGTCTGAGACGACGATTAAGTCACCACGCGCGCATTGGTGCGGAAGGGCACGAGCTACATGAGCGCATGGATTCGTGAGTATTGGGCAGCTATACAAGGGGTATCGTAGATTGTTCTGTTACTGGTTTGTTACTGCTGTTAGGGATGCCATGTGCGACCGCTTGCTTACGTAGTCTACCTAAAAGGGTGGCAGATGATGCCTCATCAGTCATACAATACTTTTCAGCATCTGGTGCTTCCTATCTCAGCTTCTGTGAACGTTCACAGGCCGCAGTTGACAATATTCAACCCTCTTTCGCGACCGATGGCGAACCAATCCACCTGCTCCATCCTCCCACCAGCATTGACAACGCGTCCCTGCTCCTCGCACACGGCCAAGAGCAGCTGTCGCGTCCGCAGCGTATTCTGTCCAATACTTCCCTTCGCTGGACTCTCCATTGCTTTGATGATATGTATGGCCTGGTTCTTACCATCGGCCTGTGTCGTTGATGTGCCTGCCATGAAGATCGGCAGTACCATATGTCTGTATGACATCGTATTGGAGTCTGAGCGTTGTTGCGATGCTGAGACGTGTTCGCTCGCAAGGGCTAGAATGCTGTAGCATCGTCTCTCTGTGTCTGTGTATACGTCTGCTTGGTTGGCAAGCGGTATAGTTCGCTGAGATGGAAACATGGAGGTCCTGGAATAGATGATGGATGCTTGGTATAGCAAGAAAGCATGCTCGAAGACGTATCGTGGTCGTGGTGGGAGTGCCCGCCCTGCTTCCCATGTATCCGGGCCAAGAAATTCCGGGTATGACACTGTCCAGAAGTTGACCAAGTCGCCCTGCAAACGTGACACGGCGGCTTGCCATCGTGCATTGGCGCCCGGTGATGGTACTGCTACTGCAGCAGCTTCACTCCGACAAGCCTGTGCCAGCTGTGCCAACTTGATCGTATTCAGTACAACTCCTTCGTTGAGTCGTTGTATCGCTGGCAAGATGCGAGCCTCGTTCTGTGAATATGGCGAGCCTATCAAGGACGCAGGAATCTGCTGGTCCAAAGTGGGCAGCATATTATTCTGTAGCATCGTGCTGACAAACTCGCCATTTCCGCTGCCTAGTAGACAAGCATTCATGTCAAGCTCGCAAATCAACCACAGCAGGTATCCATGTGGCTCCCTGCCGAAACGTTGATGGCGTTGCACGGCTATCGTGCGAAGATGGCTGAGATGTGTCGCCCACATTACATGTCCATCGTGATCGGGAGCCATGGGAACACAAATGTCGTAGATGAAGAGTAGTAGATGACGAAGGAAAACGCCATCAGAGAGCATGTGGTCGGCCGTAGTCGGCGTTAATGTGGCAGATAGCGCATGTTCGTAGTGTTGTAGAGCTTCTTCGAGCGAGATCCTTCCAGTGTAAGAAAGGTTCAGAGCACTTATCGCGCACATGGCGTGATGTAGCTGTACAGTATGTTAGCCAATGCCACTCTTTCCATTCATGACTTTCCTTACAGGTGTGAAACGTGCAGACTCGATCTGGAAAAGATCCCTAGTAGAGCCCAGGACCAAGTCTTGCGTATTGTTGTCATCTGTGGTCGGCTGCAGCAGTCTCGGTGTGATGTTCTGCCGGAAGTGTGCGATCAGATGAGCGTCCCCAGCAGGAAGTGTAGCGAGTTGATTGACAGCAGCGGGTAGCATAGAGACTGGTGTTGATGTAGATATCGAGAGCCGTTGTAACGCATCCGGCATGTTCGGCAGGCGGGGAGACGTAGCGAGCGAGTAAGCACCACCGCTTGCAGAGGTGGCATCCTCGAAGCGATCAAGGACGACCGTGGTCAAGTCATGGCTAGTGATTGAACGGCCCCCTGAGGATGTCGAGCTGGTCACAGACTCTTGAAGGGACTGGGCACTTTCGCGCCGGCCACTTGCTCGAAAGCTCGTCGCAGCATATTCTGGTAGACTGGAAAAGCTCTCGGGAGTAGCAATGACGGAGAACGTGCCTGGCCTCTGAGTCTCTGCTTTGCGTTCTCGGTCTTCGTCGGTTGTCAATGTGGTGAATGCTGGTAGATCGTCCCAACGTCGAGCAACATCTGAATTCGGAATTTGTGAGGCGCTGGCTGTACAAGAAGTCAGCATCACAGGGTCTGCTCCCAACAACCTAGTTTCACATACGATCCCATACAAAATTTCCAGTCGTCGTCACATTAGCATATTTGCCTTGCGTACTTGGCGTGGCGTCGCTGAACTGCGCGTCCAATCAGGTCAGATTGCATACACTTTGTAATTCCCGTCTAGATTGACCTACGTTCCATCGGTGATCCCAATCACATTCTCTGTTCAACCTGGTACACGGCTGTTCGATGTCAGACACATCGCACCACTCGGAAATAGGTCGTTACATACTCCGCATCGAGGATGTTGCTCATCGCATTTCACCTGCACTTCATTAGTACCCCAAGCAAATTCCAATGCCAATTCCTTCCATACCTTTCTCCCTCTGCAAGTCCAGCAGCCTGCTCTCGAACGATGTGAAAGTCGCGGCGGGCGACCAGATAAAGAAGCGGAAGTAGCAGAAGCGCGGTCTTGACCAGAATTCGATGGCGACGAGCGTGGCGCAAGAGAAGGCAATCCGCCTCGACGACTCCCGGATGAAGAGTTCTTGCCATGAGGCTGCATAGTCGGCTAGCTGCGGCTGAAGCCGATCTCATGTTCCGAAGGAAGCAGTATAGGTACAGGTTGGCGAACACATGAAGCCAATAGCAAGTCATGTATCGAGTCAGACCAGGGGAACCCCTCTCCTGTCGTACCGTCGCCAGAGCTTGTCAAAGTCTCTTTTGAATGAGCGGCGGGGATATCAGTTATTTGAGATGACCCTCGGCGACCACGACCTCCCCTTTAATGATGCGGTTGCATGTTTTCCTGGTGGGGGAGGAGACGGCGAGACATCTGGAGAAGCCATCCTTCACGGCCCGCACTAGAAGGGGCTCACTATGCAGCCAGGACTTACAGAGGCGAAGCAGAGGTGACGCAGTGGGCATTGACGGCATTTGTGCGGGCATGCGCCATGTCTACTAAGGAAGGTTGTTGTTAGCCACGAGCTGCCTAGCCAAGAGCATGTCCGGATCCGTGAGGTCTAAAACACATCAAAGCAAGGAGGCGCGACGGCGTTGGATCTAATGATCGTTACTAGCCCACTGTGGCTGCCTTGAGGTGCCGTATGCATGATGAACAACGAGTTGGCGAGGCCGCGTCACGCTAATGTACCTGCTCCACTCCCACGTGCTGTCCGCGTGTGATGTCGGCTTCTGGGCTGGCTTCTATGCAAGGAACTGCATCGAAGGCTTTGGCTTAGAACTCAAACTGTACTCACCCAGAGCAGTTGACCGCTGAGCTCAGACCATGCTACCCGGAACCCGGACCTGAGACGAGCACTAGGCCTCGGAGGCTTCTGACACATATGTTCTCATGGCGTATGCAGTTGAGCTGCGGGTGAGGTGAGGTGGCCTCAGCTGGAGGCAGAAGAATCGGCATCGGCCCATGGCAGGTAAGCTAGAAGCGACGGAATCTAATAAACTCCTTCTAGCGTCGAGCGACTCATGCGGATCGAGAGCTCGCGTGGCAGAAGATCATCCGTGAAACACTGCAGATCCGGCTGTATTGGCGGTGCGTGGACGGAGCGGCGCCCATGCCAGCCACAACGCATCTGTCGCGTGGGAAACAAGGATTTTGAAACCTTCCAGATGCACACGATTCTGCGCCGGGAACAGTGGCAACGTGGCCGCCCAACGCGTCAGCGTCTCGCTCATTCCCGAGCATGAACGAAATTGCTTCTCGATCGAAGCGGCCTGTTCGGGCTACTCGTGGAGACATAGCACCAACCGAGATTGAGCACTGAATGTCATCAACGCGATTGCTTTAAGCAGTCGATCACACAGGGCCGGATGGCGCAATTCTATATTGTCGCTACGAAGCCCGGTTGGCGTTCCTCGCTAAGAGCCGACAAGTTCTAACGACGCTGCGTCATCTGCCGATCTACTACCACGACTCGGTCTCGCTCTGACAAAGATGGTGGTACAGCATATCGATCTGCCTGGCACTGTCACGGTACGATGGGCGGCCTTGCGCCGCATGCAACCATCTACACGTTGCCATGCATGCTGTTGTACGGCAATTGAACGAAAATTGAAATGTCTAGAAAGGCGCTACATGTACCCACTTTAGTGGCTTACGCTAGGCGGTCTGAAGAAGGCCTCGAACTTTTGCGGACCTCTCTTCACTGACAAGGGTGCGAATTCGATCTTTTACTTCCCAGTGAGGCACAGCCTTGACCACGGAGATGATGGCCGCTGCTCTCGATAGGTTCAAGGCTTCTGTTCCAGGATCCGGGCCGAATAACAGCGGTCTCATCGTATCCGCTGCTTCGGTGCTGATGCATTTGCCTCGGTCGGAATCCTCGACTCTGTCGAACAGCTTTTTCAAGCCACTATAGATTGAGCGCCGGATTGACGTAGACGGAGCTGGAATCGAAACCAAGGCGCCTGCAGTCTGTGTGATGGCGTTTACCAGGGTTTCATCATCCATGACTACCACGTTGACGGATGCGAGTAGAGTCTCCGCCGCGGCTGCGGAGATCGCCTGTCTTCTACCAGACTGTCAGCAACTCGTTGACTTCACTACATGTTGGCACACTCACAGCTCGTCTGCCTCCCGCCCGGGTCGTTCTCCGTCAACGTCCATGGCTTCACCGTCTGCGTCTTTCTCAAGAAGTGGTTGCGTGATACCGAAGACTGTCTGGAACAGATCGACGTCCGTGCGAGCAAGCGCAACCTCACCTAGGACCTTGATGGCATACGGTTGATATGCTGGATTCTGTCTTTTGGCCTCGCGTACGGTAATCTATACTGTTGGTCAGCCACGTGTCATATGAAACATACATCGGATCGTTATTACCTTGACGATATTCGATGCAATCTCTGGATGCTTGCTGTAGTATGAGGCACTGTTCTGGACGAACACGCTGAATGCGGCCAGTACGACCTCCTTGCCATCCCAGGTCTTACCACCGATTGCCTTTTCGAGCGCCGCCCATACAGTGGCTGCGCGCTCAGGCGACATCTGCTTCGAATCCAGGGTGGCTACAAGCGTGGCGGCGTCTGCTATCGCACGAGCCGATGTATGCTTTAGCACCCATTGTGGTGAGTCCAAGTATTCGTTGCTCAAGCTGACAATCTCGCTAAGGTAAAGAGCCACGGCGCGTGTACCGCCCACGACTTCATCCCAAGCATTTTGGAATTGCTCTTTCACTTGTTCGTGTTGGTCATGCTTAGCGATGAACACGAATGGCATAGCCGATGATGCGAGTGCGTTAAAGCGGTCTGCAGCGTGCTTCGTGACTGCGTACGTGATCTCTCCGGACAGAATGCTACGGCGAGGCGTGACAGCCTCCCGATCGCCTTCCGAATCGAAGTACAGGCGCTTCGCGAATGCCATTAGTCTTAAGAACTGCTTGTCGGAAGCTGCTCGGGCAAGATAACCTGCAGCCACAGCGTATGAGCTGGAGACAGTGTCGTTGCGGTCAAGCGAGACTTTCTCGATAAGCCGAAGGAAGTAGTCGGCGTGCGGTCTGAACACAGCAAGCCTTCGCGTACTCAATGAGACCAGCACACGACTCGATCCCACCTTCGATGGCAAGCCCACCGCACTTTTCATTGCGCTCTCAAGCTTGGGCTGTAATTGTTGCATCGATTCTTCGTCAAGCAGATCCAGGCACCGCTCGATCGCTTCCATCAGAGGGCTTGATCTGATGCTCGATAGCCTCATGTCGTCGATCTTCTGCTCGGTCAGATTGTACTTGGAAGCGTTCAGATGAAGGTAGTTCACGGCCTCTGGCTCGAGTGTACTGAGTGATCCGACGAGCCGTTCTACGAGCTCCGGTATGAACGGCCGAAGAGTACTGCCATTGGCCTTTTTGATGATCTCGAGTAAAGTGCTCACCGAAAAGCCTTGCACTTCTTGCGCACCGGACTCCATACCAGAGGTGGAAAGCAGAAATGGCAAGACGTGTTTGAGCATAGCAGAAGCGTTCTTTGTCGCAGAATGGTCCGCCTCGAGTGCTCTGGTCAAGACGCCAGTCAACACCCTGGCCAGAGACGCAGCAGCAGCTCGCACAGACTCCTTGATGTCGTCAAGCACCTTGAAGCATTGCGTCCAGATACGTTCCAGATATTCGTCGTATTTGTCTAACGATCGACCTTGCACAAGATCTGCGACTGCCGCACAGCTAGCTTGCCTTGTTCGCCATTCCTTGCCAACAATGCTCACAAGCAAATCGTCCATGATCGCGTCGAAGTGCTGATCAATTGTAGCCGCAGAGTCTTTCACTAAAGCGTTCCAGATATCGTTCATGGATCGCTGCACACCACTGTTCGGATCGAAGCGGTAGCGGAAAAGCTTGGGGTATAGCTTTGGGTTGTTGGCAAGATATCCATCCACGCTCGAATCTGACAATACATTGCTCAAGCCAAATCTGCCGAACGCCGCTCGACTGGACCAGATGGCGTTAGATGAGGCCATGGACATGAACCTATAGACCAGACTCGAGTCGCCAACTTCAGAAGCTAGACTCATGATGTCCTTGTACGTCGAGACTGACGAGCCCTCTCCAGTGGGTAGCGCACCTGGCTCGAAGAGTTGCGTATCAGCAGAGACGTTTCCAGCAAGCTGAGACGATCTGTCGGATGAGAACGAAGACACCAGATCGCGGACAAGATCGTCCTTCAGCCGTCTGTCTCCCTTCTCGTATATCAAACCCAATCCCCTTGAGGCAGACTCTTGCACAAGCTCATCTCGATCACCTAGACAGCGCTTGAAAGCAATCTGGCACTTCCCTAATCTATCTTGTACTTCAGCCTGATGTCCACAGAACTGGACGAGGCACAGAAGCCAGATCACAGCGGCTTTCTTCAGTGCTGGTTTCGTGTTGCCGCAATCGCTCAAGACACGGTCGACAACATGGGCCAGTGTAGATGATCGCAGTGGTCTCGATGGCTTTTCGCCAATGATGTCAAGCTTCGTCGCCAAGGCACTCGATTGCCATCCTGAGGCAATGTAGCTGAAGGCTTCGCCAACCGCGAAATGTGCTTCTGCTTGCTTGATCTCATGTAGCTTATGTATAGCCTCCTCGATTTGTGACAGATCGGAGTCTTCTTTGCCCTTATCTTCAGGCAGCACCATCGACAATTGACCTAGTGCCAGAACTGCGGTTTCGTTGCCGCTCTTGGCAGTGTCATATACCTTGTCGACGAGCATTTTGAACTCTGTAAGGCCACTCAACTGCTCCAGAGTCACAGCACCAAACATACACATCTGACCAAGTACTATATGCGCAGCCTCCAGTAGGTTGCTGTCTTTGGAGGACGTGGTGATATCAACAATATTCTTGAGATAGGCCATTGGCTCGTCGCCACTGACCGCGGTCTGCGTTCGGTACGATTTTCTACTATAGTAGTAGCCGAGGCCGATTGCGCAACCATGAACTTGGTTTGCAGCAGCGCCGATGGCTGTATCCCACTTGTGAACAACGGCCTCAAGGTGATGCAATTGCAACTCTACAGTCGAGACCGGAGCTTTCAGGTGGCTAGACAATAGACCATAAACATGTGCTGCCGTCATGCGACGGGAGTGGTTGTTGCTTTGTAGAACAGGCATGAGTTCCTGTGTATGCGGTAGCAAGACCTCGATCACGGCATCTGGACAAAGGGAGAGCAGCTCGACCAGTGGTGTTCCTTGAGTAGACGGGCCAGTCGCATCTGTGAGGCTAGTGAAAAGGGCACTGGCCAAGATCTTGACAGAGCTCAGGGAAGTGCTCTCCGCAACGTATCGCCTAATGGAACTTCGTGCTGTCTCATCACTTTCAGCCGCTGCATCGATCCGTCTCTCCCACTCGCTATCCAAGTTGGCCGGAGCGCCATGTTGAGTCATGGCTTCGTTGTATAGCACATGTCGAGCAAACGCAGTCATATGGCTGAAGGATTGTGGATGTGATCGTTTCGCCTGTACAGATACTGCCATGGGTTCCTTCGCATTATTGGTTGTGTTTCCAGAAAACAGCTGTTTGACAGCGGCATCGAATGTTGGGAATTGTAGCTGCTGCGGTTGAACAGTACCTAGAGAGCCATTGAGCATACCATACCAGTATGGGCTAAGACCTCGCTCAGCTTCCTCGCGCACTTCACCTCGATCGTTCGTAGCACCCAGCCCTAGTACATCGACCCATCTTGCTTTAATCGATGAGTATGGCAGACAGCGATTGGCAAACCGTATGCTAACATATCGTGTGCTCCGCAGCCGCTGATTGCCTTCCAGGTCGGCTGACTGGTGCATTTGCTCGGTGAGAAGGTCCTCTAGAACAGCTTGCTCCTCTGCAGTCAATTCGATCCGAGACAGTGCACTCAATACTGTGGAGAGCGCTTCCTCAATGCTGACAACCAAAGAAGTCCCAGTGGAGTCTTTTGCCAGTGATTCGAACAGCCAACGGACCAAGTCGAGGGAAGCATGCTCCGTTTCTACCAGGACTTCTCGGGCTCCAGCTTTCGCAAGTAATCCAACGACTTCATATGCGTAGCCTCTTGAGACTATATCCTCGTTCGGCCCCGTTTTGGGCCACCCTTGATTCTCGATGAAGTCTCGTAGTCGTGTTATGACTCGTGGAGCTATGGCATGTAAGCTGTCGACTGAGCCGTACCGCGCCACAAAGTCGACGTATTGAAAAATTGCCGCCCGCAGCTTCGTAATCTCTCGTCCAGCGTTACTTATACTACGGATGAAAGATTAGCCCTTGAAATTCTGCATCTCAATCTGTATGCTCGAGGAGATTCTGTGCATGCTCAGTAACTCACGTTGCAGTGAGCGAGAAATGGAATTACTCACCTTGAAGAAGAATTGGACATGATTGTATCGTCGCCGTCCAAATTTGGCTGTGCGACGCCGTCATCGACTATCTGCATGATGAAGTGCGAGAATGTAGTGCTGTGAGTAGATTTGTTGAGGAGGCCAAGAATCTTCAACCTCAGCGGCGGGCGCACTCGTGGCGTACCATCGACTCCGAAATATAAGTAGAAGAATGTTCGAACCAAGGCCTCGTCTTCTAGATCTGTCACAGGCATTGCACGCTTCAATATGTCGTCGCCAACGTCACTGATCGTCGATGCCGGATCCGCAGACGCACACATTGCTGGTAAAAAGCGCTCCTGGTCATTGAATAAACCGCTAGATAAGAGTCGGGCTGCGAGTACTTTCGTTCTTAGCAGATTGAGGCCACCAGATGCCGGACTCCAGAGATCATCCTTGTTCTGCATGCTGATGAAAGCATAATCTTCAGAACTTAATCCCGGGCAATTGCTACTCGTACCCTTCTGCGGCGTGAAGAGGATGAACTTGCCGATCCACGTGGCCACGTATCCAGCGTCCGCATCCGAAACGCCAAGTTGCTGGCGGAGCTCCGAATCTTCTTTGCTTCCTCTGGGTGGTAACGTGAAGGATTCGAGAAGTCGTAATAGCAAGTTGAAGATCTGAGGTCCGTGGCTGCCACTCTTCGAAATACCAGCGAGAACGACCGGGAGCACTTGAGCCTTTTCTGATGATGATAGCCGACCAACGCCTTGCTGGATGTAAAGTAGGTCGAAGTGACGCACGAATGAGCTCTCCTGCTCTTGGAATTGCTTGACCAGAGCCGCAACCGGGAGTTGTACCGAGCTCGGTTTCGTTCTTGTAGTGATATGTTGACAGACTGAGATGACCTTGTTGCGTACGGTGACGTGTTCCGATGCGAGTTTTAGCAGTATCGGAGGCAAGTAGGTCTTGAGAATGGCCTCCAATTTGTTGTCTGTATCGGCGAGTGCTATGCGCATTTCGACTTTGCCGATCAGAGCCAGCTCACGCTGCTCTGGCGATTGGGTGGCGGAAGCCATGATTGTGGTTGTGGCAAGAGATGTGCTTTTGTCGACTGCTCAGCTCATGGTTTCTGGTCTTTTGGCAGACGTGCTAGCAGGACAATTTCGAGTGTGACTGGGTTACAGGATCTCAAAGACTTTATTGAACGAAGAAGTGAGAGGCTGAAGTTGTTTCTAGTCACCTTTAGAAGAAGTCGCAACGCAATCGATCTGATGCCGCGCCAAAAAGCCGCCACACATGACTCAGCCAATCATGTGGAAGCTGCGTGCCTGCCACTCTCTCGAGACCAACGCGCCGCACCAACAGCCTACAAAAAGCTCACAGTCCTCTAGACAGACGGTAAGGTACTATGTCCTGTCCAAGTGTCGAGTCAAATAAGCCAAGAAGTATCGGGTATGAGAGATATGGACAACTAAAATAGGAAAAGGGCATGAGAATGAAAAATGTTGAGAACCGTAGTGCTTATTCATTCGATGATTGTTCGCTACTCGCCAAATGCTAGATTCATACTCATGTATATCACGCTACGTCTACAACATGCCGTTCGTACATTCATCATCTCTCAACTCGTCTAGTCATACATCTCCCTAGAAGCAGTCTTGCTGTACTGCGCCCGCCCCACCAATGCACACTTTTCCGGTCTTTTGAGCCGATGTAGTGGTTGATGACGTAGGTGTATAACTTACAGCATCCGCTGATGAAGCAACCGTGATCGATGCTGGTGGCGCTACTATGCTCACCAGACTCGTCTGCAGTGTGGACGGTGCCGGCCCAAGTGTCGAACTCGAAGGTGATGGGAGCGTCACTTCCGTGTTACTGCTCTCAGACCTCGCTGCGAGGCTGGTGCTCCCTGCAGCGGCCAGAGCATCGATGACTGTAGTAGAAGTCACTGTAGGCCTGGGTGCGATAGTTGCACCTGACGGGTCAACCGTGATGCGGGTGACGCTGCTGACAGTGCTCCTAGGAGGAGGAATCTGAGACAGAATCTCCGTGGATGTGGCAACACCTGGTACAAGCTTTGTCGAGCTACTCGCGGTGGGTGTCGTATGGAGTATGCCGAGTAGGTCCGATGCGAGCCCAGCAGCAGCCTGCGAAGATGCATTGGCTGCTGTTGTGCTGCTGGCGGTGGATAAGGTCGTCGAAGTCTTGGGTGGAATTGTTAAATCAGAGAGTGAGCCGGCAACCGTTACAGTCTGTGTCTGCACTCCAGATGCCTGTCCGATCACGAAATTCGGTGCAATATTGACAGTTGGAATTTGGTCATGACAGACACAATTGGATCCGACAAGTCGAGCAGGAAGACTGTTGTAAAGCCCAATCACTGTAAATGCAAAGAGAGCCGTGGTCTCGAAGAGCAGAATTATGCCAACTACGACAACCACGGCCATAGGCACTCGAACACCCGACTTTGGTCGCGGTGCAGGATAGCTCTCGAATTCTCGTGCAGGCGCCGGAGCTGGGTCTGTTGTAGGCACGCCAAAGATCGTTGAGAATCTAGGCGGGTCGTCCTTCTTCTGTGCCACTTCTGCGTCCACCTCTTCCGCATCGTAGTGTGCACTTGATGGTTTAGGCTTCTTCTCGCTGCCATACTGGTCGTCTGAGTGGTCAGAGATGTCCATTTCAGCGTTGACGCGCTTCTCGAAGCTATTGGAGAAGCTAGAGGACATGATGGGAGTGTCTAGGTCGAGGGTGATCGTGGTTGACTGCTTCTTTGGAGTTTCTCAAGAGTCAGGATATACCGATGCGGCCTGCGCTGTCGATGTGTTTCGGACGTCGTGGAGCGATATGTGCCTATTACAAGAATTATGCGGCCAGCGCGTTGAAGTACTGTAGCGAAGCAGACAATCCGGTTGTTGCTAGCAGTGAAGAAGCAGAACAAAAGGACAAAGAGGAACAACAACAACCTACGCAGAACGTGGTGGTGAATAATGAGAAGTAACGCTGCCATTGTTCTTCCGGGTCACTGCCAGTATCCCGGCACCGCCATACAGTACGCGCGGTTTTCGCGACATACGGACAGATATAGACGCATCATAATGGTGAACGAGACCCCGATCGTATGGGCGGTATGAGGCTCTTGAGAGGTGAGGTTTGCGGTAGGGGTGTTTCGAGACGCGCTTCGAGAATGGAAAGCTGGGCGCTTATTGGTTAGCGATTGACCAAGAGGCCATCGCCGTGCCTTTGTGCGATGTTTCGTGAAACCGATCGTTCACGACTGAAAAAGAGATGCTACTTGTAATGAAATAGCACATAGCGTTCCCTTGATACGAGTGCAGGCAGTTGATAGATGAGAACGAAGGTGATGAGGATTCCGACTTTGCATTTAGAGGTCTGTGCTCCGTACTCTATACGAGCGAAGGAAGGAGTGGTGGGATCGTCCAAGCTCAGCTCAGCTCAAGCATCACCATCTGCAACTTCAGAACACCACGCGATAGCTAGGAACCGCGAATATGGCAGACGTTGGACGTAAGCGTAAGGCGCATACGAAGTCAAGAAGAGGCTGCGGTAATTGCAAACTCAGACGAGTCAAAGTACGCTGAACATTGCCACCATTATGCCACTCCAGCTAAGCAGCCACTATAGTGTGACGAAGGCAGACCGGCTTGTGAGAAGTGTCGTTCTTATGGAGTGTCCTGCAGCTACGAAGGCGGCGACACCTCAACCGAGCTTCAACATGATGGCGAAGGCGCCTTTGAAGTCCAGCCTGCAGAAACATCACAGCTCCCGACTTCAACAGCAGATCGCATGGAGGATTTGGTGGCAAATATAATGCCCAAGCCAAGTCGACCACTCGGCACAAATGCCAGCCTCAATCTACCACCCACACCACCTGCGGAGATTATCCTTGGCATGCTGGACTATCCTCTCAAACTCCACGATACCGATGAAGTCTACGTCTGCACGGCGCGAGACTTGGACAGACTAAGGAGGTTTCACGAACGAACGGTCCTCACCATTGGGACTGCCCAGACCATCCACATCTACAGGGATTCGATCACGCAACTGGGCATGCACCACGATTATGTTACGCATATCATATTCACGATCGTTCTAATGCACGACCGCTACCTCTCCGACGACCCCTGGCAGGGCCCAACCACAGAGGAGACTTTCCACCACTACCACGGCACGGCCATGTTCAACAAAATGCTCTCTGCACCTCTCGCGCACTCCGAAAAGGACGCGATGTGGGCAGCCGCAGCCCTGCTAGGCGCTATCACCATAGCAGCAGTCGATGCCAAGACGGCGGAGGGGTCCTGGCCTCTCAAAGCAGCCGCTCCACAGGATCTCGACTGGCTGCGTATGAGCGATGGCAAGAAGGAAGTCTGGAGGCTTGCAGATCCTCTGCGCGAAGACAGTATCTGGCGACCGGCTCTCATGTATCAGTTTGACAAAGACCCGCCAGCTTTGGCACGAAGACCGGAGCTGAAGGCTTTCGTACCTGTCCTGACAAGACTGTGTGGCTATGACAGTACATCAGATGGTACGGGCAACCCTTACCACACCGCCACTTCCATCGTCATCAGACTACTGCCGATACAATGTACCCACTCCACGATCCTTTACTTCCTTTCCTTTATCGGACATATGGAGCCCGAATTCAAGGACCGACTACATCAAAAGGACGAACGCGCCCTCCTGCTACTGGCATGGTGGTACGCGAAGATGCTGGACTATCCCTCGTGGTGGCTGCAGCGACGCGCTAATCTCGAATGCAAGAGCCTCTGCATATACTTGTCTCGCCGCTACATGATGACCACAGATGTTGGTAAGCTGCTTGAGTTTCCTAAGATGATGTGCGGTCTGGCTGTCAGCAATGAATTTGCCAATGCTGTCGACCAGGCAAGGTCTGCTCAAGTTTGAGGATCGAGTACGATCATGGTGGCCATGACTTTCAACGAACATTCAGACCATGAAAAGTTCAGAACTGGTTATAGGATGTACCGACCTATTCACGACAGAAGCTACATGTCGAATTGGGCTACGCAGATGGCATCGAGCTCAGCTATATTGCCGATACCGCCCTACCGTGCTCGGAGTGTGATCATTGAACCGGGCCCGCATACGAAGCAGCCATTGGACACCGTAAGCGTGAGCGGGGAAGAGTATGAAGACACTGGCGTCCGTTTCATAGCACGTGGACGAACGACCCCTGGCGCAGAATGTCTTCGCCCAAGCATGAACAGCGTTTGACTGTACGGAGATTGCCACGGTACCAAAGAGTGGCTACGATGGGATGGAGATACGGTCCGACTTGATAGTGTTTGTCTCCTCGCGTTGTAGTTGCAGAAGACCGTTTCTGGCGAGCCGTGCCGTATTGGGAGCTCGAGAAGAAGCTTAATGAGGAAGGCTTCATGGACATGCAGCTTGAGGTAAACATGTGAAGACCTCTGTCTTGTTACGAAACTGTAAAAGTAATACCAGCAATTCCATGGCATCTCAGCCAAGGGTTTTCATTTAGTCAACGTGAAGCGCACTCTGCCTTCCTCGCCCGACCGAACACTCAAACGAGACTCTTACTTCTGGCGGCGTAAAGGATGGAAGCTCTTATGGTCGTGCAGTGGATCGCGTGCGCAACATGCCTTAGCGGCCACAAGACGAGATAGTGTACCGAGATATCGACAGCCTACTCTAAGCGGCGAGCAAGACGCATTGCGATATCGATCTCTTGTCCGCGGTGCATGACGCGTAATAATATTGCAGAAGTGGCTTTACGATGGAGACCACAAAGCGCTGAGCTGGCGATGAGACATGTATGCTCGGACGCCCGCCATCGACTCCGATAGAGACTAGAATTATTGCAAGGGTTCTTCCCAATCGAAATCATCTTGCCTCAACGTTCAGGAACAGCGCATCATGGTGGCGAGCAGCTTGTGACTCTCTACTCTTGCCACGCCGCTATGTGGACGGCTGGCACATGCAAGACAATCGAACAGGTGACCTCGTAGCACACCCGTTCTTCTCTTGCGCACTGCAGTAGATGGAGGTAGAGTTCACGGCAGAGATGCAGGCGGAAGAGTGCTAGGAGCAGCAAGCTTAAGCCTCATTTTGCCTCTCGCTTGCAATCATTGGCCGGCTGGTGCCGTAACCCCTGCCAATGTGCCTTTACTCCTGCCGATCTGGGGAAGAGTCTTGCTGTCTTTCGCTCGTTTCGTACACAGCGTGGCGGCGGGGGGCATGTGCGCGGCAGAGATGGCCAAGGATGGGAGAGGTGAAGCTGGAAGCCAGCGTCGTGGACTCCGGGTAGGTTGGGCTAGTGCTGAAGGTATATCGAAAGCAATGCAATGCACGATCTAGACCACATATTCACTACTGTCTCTTCTTGTTCTATTGTATCTTCTCATATGATCTGGCCTGTCACTTCTGCTACATATTAACGCTCTGCTCGAACGTGGTTTCCTCGATACTATAGAACACGGTTGGACAGGGAGGTGCATTGGGCAACGACGCTTTTCCTGAGACACTTTTGATCATCAACGTCGTATAACCACCACCAGCCAACTGCCACAACGGCGAGTTACGTGTCTTGACGACATCATCACCGTCTGGTGGCACAGTGATATCGATACATCCCACTGGAGAAAGGACACGACATACCTCTTCACTAACACTCATCTGGACTACCACACCTCAAACCAATCCCATACACAACAACCGCAATGGCATCCACCAACAACCCCACCACCACATTCGGCGCCTCAATCATCCCAACCCAATCCCACACCCAATACGCCGCCGACGACGCATTACTACCCCCCCAAACCCTCGACTCCCCCGTCCTCACCCCTGCCGCTTCAAACGAAGACATAGCAAGCGAATACAACGCCAGCGGCAAACCCATCCCAATCCACTCTCCCTTCTACACCCACCTGCCCGCCTCTTTCGAACGCGTCCAAACCACCCACAGCCGCCAAACAAGCAAAGCCAACATCTCCACTAGTGAAAAAGACCTCGAAGCCGGCCTCACACCCGTGACCACGCACGCCGCCTCGCGGAATGATGAGAACAACCCCTTCACGTCCAGAGTCAGTCTGGAGCATAACAAAGAATGCAAAATGTGGCCCTCGAAACAAACCCTCATGCTGCAGAAAACTGAGGCGCGTCGGGCGAAACACGCGAGGAAGTTCTGTGGTGGTTGTGCGGCGCCGGTGAGGCAGTGGTGGGGACAGTTCGATAAGAGGCAGCGATTGATTATGAAGATCTTGATGGCTTTCTTCGTTGTTGCCGCGATTGTGGGGATCTGTGTGGGCATTTCGGTGGCGGTGCATGGGACGTATTATAGTAATTCGGGACAGCAGTCTGTTCAGCAGCAGCACGATGGGAAGGGTGGGAGCGGGAGTTCGTGAGGAACCTGCCGTGACGATGTGAGGGTTACTGGCCATTGTGTGGCACATGCCGAGTTCTTCTGCATGCCTTTTTTGATCGCCGACATTTGAGTTGTACAGAGCATTGCTGGCATTGCAAGGTGTTCATGGCGTTCTTCTGGATTACGAGCTACAATCACGCTGTTGGAAATCAGCGTCACTTGTCCGGACAGCTGATGGTTGCGAGCGTGGTCACAGAATAGTACAGTTGTATCTAGCATTAACGGCCTAACGATAGTCTCTTAGGCGAAAGTGAACGTAAATGGACCCATCTATATCTATGCACACTTCCATCATCAGTCGAATACTGTCAAATCGGCAACAGCAGATTGCAGGCAGAGCACTGATTGTATGGCGTGTCTGTCATATGAACACACACTCGTCTTCTGTTGCAACACTACACGCTATCTACCTTATCTTGTCATGATGCGTGCCGATCTCAGAAGCGGCACAGCATGGGACGGGTAGCTGAGCAAGTGGTCTAGACCACGAGCTTGATCGCACTTCCGCTGCAGCTCCAAAGCTACCTCTTAGCTTGCACAAAGCCACGATAGCCGCCTTCTAGCTGTTCTGTCGAACAACGTCTACGTCGCATCGCATGGCATGACGGCTGTTCCGTACAGTATGCTGCTGCATGGCGAGCACCGCTGCAGAGCATGTAACGAGACGTGCTGCGCAATATTCCAGACCCTCTCTCTGATAGCCTATGTAACATCGACCGTATCAGGAAAGTCAAGTCTTCGGAAGTGGCGAGTGGCCTTGACAGGATGGTGTGCGACTTCCCGCGTTCAGGGCTCTGACGGCCTGTGAAGCCTGTTGAACCGATGAAGTCGACACCAGGAGTCTGAAGGTCCAGACCGTCGAGAGATCTTTCTTGACCTCGAGATAGTCATGTCGAGATTCCTGTCACGATGCAGACAACGGATATTCCCTCCGCATGATCCCAACGCACTCATCCCTTATCTTTCTCCCTCCTCGCCTGCGCAGCCCGACTCTTGTTCTTCTGCTTCCGCCGCGTCTCCTGCCGCTCGTGCTTACTCTCATATCGGAACTTGTGCTTCTTCTGCTTGGGCTTGCCATCCGCGGCCGGTTTGTCCTTGGTCCATATGCGCTTCTTCTTTTGCGTGGCTTCGGCTTGTATGGCTGCTGCGGCGGCCGCTGCCTTTGCAGCGGCTGCCTTCTCCTCGTCTTCTTCTCCTGCAGCATCGTCGTCCATGGCTTCGACGGTCACGGTTGTGTATTTGTCTTCGTCTACGTATTCGTCTTCTTGGCCGTCTACTCCGTCTTTTACATCGTTCGCAACCGCAGCACCTGGCAAAGCTTCGTCTACCTCTGCAGTATCTAGTTCCTCGTCATCAAGATCTGGGTTCTGCTTTCTCAGCTCTGCATTGTAGTCGGCCAGATGCTGTTGAAGATCTTGCTTGCGTTGTTCTCGTAGCTGCCATGAAATTAGCATGTGTCATTCGCGACACACTACAGCCGTGCAGAGCACACCTGCTTCCTCTCCAGCACCTTCTCCTCCTTCTCCTTCTTTATAGCCGTCTCTCGCGCATTCTCTTTTCGAGCCTGCTTTCGCTTGTGGAAGCCCGTGAGGTACTCATTCCTCGCAGCCGGGTCGAAAGGGATCGCATCTACTTGCTTGGTGTCTATACGACGCCTCTTCGTGCCAAATCCCATGGCTGTTGAGCCGTCTAGATGTACGTCCAAAATGTTCTGTCTCGTGCTCGGCTCCGAAAAGTTCAAGTGAATCTGAAATGCGCCGGAGATCGGAGAAACGTTCGACCGTGACGTCAAGCGAGCGGCGACAGGTGATGCGGACGAGATAGCTCATGATCAAGCAGAAAGCAGATCTATATTACTTCACACACAACATCATGTTGCTCCCAAGATTAAGCGCCATAGTCTTGGCTGCTGCCGGTGCCGCGAATGCCTTCAAGGATGCGAGCCCATTCCTCCTCTTCTCCAGCGAGTCGTACGCCAACCTATACCAAAAAGCAAGCATGGGGAGCAACCTACTGACAGCATAGCAGTCTATCAGATGATCTTGCCAGAAGCCAGCAACTCGCACGAGTAGCCGACGTTGAGCGATCCGCATACGAATACATCTCGAGTTGCAAATGGGACCACCACATCATACAGACACGACCAGGTTTGAAGGCGGCAGATTATCAGGAGCTACCTCTGTTGCGAAGACGATTGGCAGTTCTACAGAGCACACATCGATATGAGGTCTCGGAGACAATCGGAGGAGATCTGGCCAGTCTCGCCGAGCGAGCAGCGGAGAAGTGCGCTGGAAAGCCGGGAGAAGGCGTTCAATACCAGCCAGCCGCGGAGGCGCTATCCACGGCGGCGACAAGGAGGAGAAGACAGCTAGAGGCGACAGGTGAGGGTGCTATGCGCGCTGTGTGATTTCGAGCATCACTAATAATCCGGCGCAGACTTAAGCATAGACAGCCTTCTCTCCGCGATCGAGGCCAAGGGAGAATCATACATCGTCATGCTGGCTGGCGTGCCAGAGGCACAAAGTAATGTCGAAGATAGGCAACATCCTCCTTACGAGATGGACGAGCCTTACCCAACTGGGCTGCACACAGATCTTAAGCGCGATCTCACCACCAATGCCAACGACTCGAGCAATGCGCAGGCCAGTCTGCCCCTGTTCGAGAAGTACAAGTTCTTGTCGCCCGGTAAGCAATGAGTACAAGAGTCCTTGGCGTGTAGGCTTAGCACTGACATGCATCGCAGCCATCTTCATGGGCCTCGTGGTCACAATCCTCCTTGGCTCCATCCTCTACGTCGGCATTACCGCCATCGCCGGGCTGGAAGTATCATACTTTGCCTTTAGCAAGGAGATGGGCAGCCAAGGTCAGGCGCAGCGTAACAAGCAGCAGTGAAGGGCCTTCTGCACATGTTGAGCAGGAATCTCTGGTTTGTAGCATAGTCTAGGCGTAATGGAGCATTATGTAACGAGCTGCAGCATGCAATGATAGTTGTTCTTCTCTACCCCCTTGGTCGAACGTTCGCCCGCGGTCCACAATTTGATAGCTTGGACATCTCCGGCGGTACTGGGGAGCTGGAGTCCAGATAGTTTACCAGACAGCTGTTCCCGCTTTCTCTCTGGCTATCACAGTAATCAGGAATTCCAGCACAGACGAACCTCCTGGTTCGCAAGCCTCTCTTGTCGCTCATTCAAGACTATACCACTGGCTGGTGATACAATACCTTGAAAACTCTCCCAACGATCAAGAATCACACTCCAGACTTGGGCGGAAGTCTTTGCTTTCCCGAGTCGTTCCTCACCCATGTTTGACCTTATAGTCGTACAAATAAAGCGGAGATAAGCTGACACTGAATCTACTGCTTGCGGAGTTGTACGCTTGCTCGAGGAAGGGGAAGTGGTGAAGTGAGGTCAAAATCAGGTCACGCGGACTTCGCTACTCGATACCCTATATATTCGGCTGTTCGCTACCCCTGCCACCGTGACCTTCAACACTACCCGAACGTTCCCTGGGACCCTCCACAATGGAAGAGCCCAAGCCTGCCAGCATAGCTGGAGCGATAGCGACTGCCGAACCCACGGCTCCCATGAACGAGAAGAAAGAGACAGGCAAGACTGCTCATACATTCTGGTACCACTGCAGGGCTGATCATGACGAAAACAGATAAGCGCAAGCCGCGTCGCAGGGCGGCATCTGGAGAATCAGAGGCGGTGCTTCCAGCCAAGAAAAGCGCAAAGACGGCTAAATCCTAAGGTTGAGCCAGCGAATGAGCTAGCAGTCCATCCCGAGAACACGCTCACAGACTCCCCCCCCCCATTAATGGCGCCCAAGATACTGCCATGGCAGATGCGGGTCCACTCGCCACAACACCGTCCACCAAGCCACGTCACTTCTTCCTTGCCAAAGACCATTTCTTCATCGACTTCAGCACGAAGGGCGAGCATGCCTGGCTTTTGCCATTACACAAAGGACGGGGCACCGTCGTGGAACGCATTTTGCGTGACTACATCTTCGACTCGCCCATGCACGCATTCTACTACGCCAAAGCCGTCCTCCTCATCTTCTACAAAGCCACGCAGCAGTCCCTTGACATACCACCTGAAGACGCACTCGCCAGCTTCGTGCTCCGTGAGAAGAACATGCTGGTGGTCTCTGGATGGCTGGAGAATTATGTTTCAAATCCTAGGCTCGTAACTTTCACCCGCGATTGGAAGCTGATTGTCTGGGGGTTCGGTGTGTACCATCGTCCAGGCACGTTTCGTCGATGGCGCTGAGGCACTTTACTACCAGAAGAAGCTCAACGGTGTAGGAGGACACATGCTGGTACTTACCACAAACGCCAGGCTATCATGGAGCACAAGCGGCTGGGTAGTGGGTATGGGCTCGAAACGACGAGAGAGCTGGTCGAGGATCTTGTGGTCGATGGCATGGGTCGCACCTTGTGGGGCGTTGCACTGACGTTGGTCCTGCGAAAGTTGAAGCTATGCTCTGAGGAGTTTGCGGAGGGCATGGACGTGGATGCGGAAGCTATGGATGAGTCTGCAGAGACTATGGAATGAGACTGCAGAGGCCATGGATGGATCTTGCAGTGGCCATGGATGTCGATGCTTGAAGTGAAGCATCAACTCCTGTCACTCAAAATGTACGGGTGAGGTGGGAGTGCGTGTAACATAATCCAGGAGTCCGCGGTGACATCATACCATCAAAAAGCTACGGCAGCTTGGTTTCAGCTGGCCTATCAATCTCAGACCTTTCTCACATTTGCACGTACTGTCCATATCCATCACTGAAGGCCACATGCTGACAGGACCGGCCGCTTGCAAGATCATCTTACCTCCGAGCCCCGTTTCTGGCTATAGCACGACCCAGGAATCGTTCTTCCGGTGCTTATCAAGTCTCTCTGCGCTTACCCCATCTCCTACCCGGGCCTCGCAAGCTCTGTCTGTCCTCGGGTGAATCCCCTCGTGAACAAGGTGATGCACGTTTGGGAAAAGGCTCTCTTGACCAGAGTCGTAGTCACAAAAGGGGAAGACAAGACATCTACTGCTCAGTGCTCGAGGACATCGGTAGGTTAGCCGAGAGAGCTCACAATCGGCGGTGCAATGGAACTCTCACTTCTTGAGCACACCATCGTCGCTTTTATATATCTCTACCGTTTTACCATCCAAGTACCTGGGTAAATCAGACCTTGGACACAAGCAACTGATACCAAAGACAACCACAACTGTACACATATCCATCCAAGACTCAGACCCAGACGCCCCCAGACAGAACCACAGTCCCTACGCTCTGCAATGCAATGCAGGACCAAACAAAGTGGATATCATTCCCTGACCCCCAACCCCACCAAAAATCGCCACACCCTGCAAAATTATACCATGACCACCATCACTAACCTCAAACCCAAACCCCTCAAACCCCTTCCCTCACCTCCCCTCACCCCTCAACCAACCTCCCCCACCCCCAGAACCTCCACCACCACATTTCCCACCGTACTAACCGCCCACAGTCCCGCCAACGCCCACCCAATCTTCCGATCAAAAACCCATTTATTCATCGGCACCGCCACCAACAGTCCCACGAGCGTAACCAGCAACGTCGCCCCCGAAATAATCAACGTGGTAGAAACATCGATATGATAACTTTTGAAATGCAGGTGGTCTTCCCCCGGGTGCTCGCGGTGTCGTTCATCCGCCCCCGAGATCAGGATGTAGGATCCGCTAACGCCGATTCCGAGGAGGATATTCAGCATGGGCCCGCCGAAACAGGCCGAGAGGGCCATGACGGGGTATCCGAGGCGGGCGACGGTGATATCGGCTACCAAGTCCCCGAGGGAGTTGCCGACGGCGAAGATGGTCAGGCCCATGATGGCGTGGGACATGTTCCAGAAGATTGCGAGGGCTTTGAGGGCGGAGACGACTTGGGTTGCTACTGTGGAGATCCAGGCTATGCTCACGATGAAGCCGGCCGTGCTGAGGAGGTAGATGTAGGGTCTTGGACGATAAGTTGGGGTGGTGGTAAGGAGGAGCGGGATGAGGAGGGTGGTGGAGAGGAGGAGGGAGATGAGAGAGGGTTGGAGGAGCCAGAGGGGGGTTAGGTCGTCGTCCGGGTATTGGATGTAGATTGCCAATAGGCAGAAGAGGGGGGAGGTGTAGAGATGGAGGATTGTGAGCCAGCGGTTCCAGGGTTCGGGAGTGGGCGGGTCGGGGTAGTGGGGTGTTGGGGAGGCTGTGCGCTCGATGTTGTAGTGGTGGTGGTGGTGGTTGTCTTGGTGATGGTGTGTGTCGTGGTCTCCGGCGTTGTGTCGGTAATGCCATTCTGTGTCCGCCGCAAGCCCAGCGACACCCGCACCCACTTCCAACGAAGTATGACCCGGATGTCCATTTCCATTTTCCACGACATCCTCTCTCACTCCCCCTTTCCCTCCTCCAACACCAACACCAACCCCATCACTCTGCACCCCACCCAAACTCTTCGACCTCGCACTCCCATAACTCCCATCTTTCCTCTGGCCCCCTACCACCTCCTCCGCCTCCTCCTCCTCCTCCTCCTCCTTATCACTCTCATTCTCAACCACAGGCAACGTAAGCGTCAGAACAAGCACGCTCGGCAAAGCCGAAACCCCCAAACACTTCTCCCACCACGTCTTGCCCCCCCAATGATAAATGGTTGGGAAGAAGGTCGAGATAATGACCCCTGGTGGTGGCAGGAGGGTGTAAGGCCAGTACTTCCATCTTGGTGATGGTGGGTCGACGGCGAAGAGGGTTTCTTGTTCGGCGCTTTGCGAGATGGGGAGGGATTCGGGGGAGGCGATGGAGGGTGGGGGGAGGCGGAGACTTGATGCTGAGCGGGAGATGGTTCCGGATCCTCCTGCTGTTGCCGTGGGATCGTCGTGGTAGCGTGGGAAGGGCGAGGAGGCGCGGGAGGAGTCTTGGGAGCGGTGGCTGGCGCTTCGGGGGATCATGATGCGTGGGAGGGAGCGGGCAGTGGGGACTGTACGGGGTGATTCGTGGGGGGTTTCCGTAGTGGTGTGGGGGGAGCGGAGGATGGATTTCGGGGCGAAGTGGTCGGATGTTGTGCGGAACATGTTTGGGCTTGGTTGGGGGGTGAGATGGGAGGTTGAGGCCATGGAGGTGTCGATGTGTAGATCGTTCTTGTCTTGTGGCTCCTGCGCGGCAGGCGTGATCTGCAGACTTGGCGAGGTGTGACCAGGTATCGTCAAGTGCGTCGGTGACTTCTGCTGTGTATCCGCAAAACCGATCAGGTCGCTCTGGCTATGACTTGGAGACGGCGCTCGTGTTAAAGACCTCCCAAACTCGGGATCAATCTGCAGACTCGATGCATCGTTGGCGGACACGGCACGCATCCTCCCAGGCGCAGACTTGGGCACTTCCAAATCCAGCGCAGGTCGTTCAACAACCGGTGACCCGCCCCCATCAACCGTAATTTGAAACGGTGGTCGTGCAGCCGGATCTTCAAGGCTAGACATACGTTCCTGCTGTTGCGCTGTGGTAAAAGAAGGATCGTCCGAGTAGCGTCGAGCATGCAGGGGGATGGTCTGGATATTCCGACTCTTCTGCAGACTCTTCATGACCGCCTGGAACTCCAAAGCACCGACCAGAGAAGGCCGCACGTTACTAATCGTGTTCTTTCTTGATCGGACTCCGGGGCGTGTGAGGCGCATGTTGCTGCTCAACTCACTCATCCACCGGTCGCGGGCTTCTTCTTCTTCGTCCTCGTCTAGGCCCCCGTCTACATATGGTGGTCCTGCATTTTCTAGCGCGGACCAGTCTTCGATTGACACGCCGCGATGCACGCTCGACCGTCTCGCTGCCGCGGCCTCTTCGGGGTCATCATGGTATTCGCCTTCCACATCCAACTCATCGCCTGGCGCAAGGAAGTGTCCTCGAGCAGCTGCCTCCTTCTCTCTTCTCCTCCGTCTCCTCCCAATCCACCAATGCCACGCCACCACGAATGCGACATAGATGATGTAAAACGCCACCATAGCAATGCACTCCCATAACTGTAATCTGCCATCCCACAAGAACACCATACTAAACGCCGCCGCGACGGCGAAGAATCCCACATCCCGTATGAAGCTCTTCCTTGCTACGTGAAATGGTCGCACCAGCGCCATACTCCCCGCCACAACCGCGGTAATAAAGCCAGCTGCGCCGAAGAGTTCTCCCACCGCAAGACTCCCACTATTCGAGCTCATGGCGGCGAAAGTGGAAAAGACATCGGGACTCCCATTCCCAAACGCCAAGAACGTGACCCCAGCCATACTCTCGCTCATGCCGAGGATACTCGCGATCGTGCTCAGATTTATGCAGAAGAAGTCGCTGGCGGCTATTCCGATTGTGCTGAAGAGGAGACCGAGCCATAGCCATAGCAGGATGATGGCGAGGATGTGGAGGTGGGGGAGCTGGCAGTAGTAGATGTCTAGTAGGAAGGTGAAGGCGGCGTCGTCGGTGGGGCAGCGGTGGTGGATGTAGTGGCATTGGTCCGCGGATTTGTGCACGAAGCGGCAGTCTTCGTCGGCGGATTGGGGGTGGAGGGGGGGTTGATCGCTTCGGCGGGAGATGATTTTGTCACGTGCATGATTATTTAGAGTGAATCTACTGTAGGCGAATAGACATGCGCCGAGTAGGAGGGTGAGGTAAAAGGCTCGCGCGCCTCGGTATCGCGCTCGTTTCATCCGGCGAGGTGGTGGTGATGTAGGGGGGGCTCGTTTCTGAGCTGAGGGTGGGGATGGTCTCGACGACATCGGGACTGCATGCTGTGTTGCTATTCCAACTAATATACAAGGAAAGGCACAAGCAATCTTCTACAGTTGCTTAATGGCAGTGAAGCAGGATAGACGGTAGACTTGGTTGGTAGCGTCTTGGGCTCTTGGCTCTTGGCTCTTGATAGCAGTGACGGTTGTCGACGCCACGTTACTCTATCAGCTCCAGTGTGGCGCAAGCTTGCCCGCGGAAGGAAAGCGCGATTTGGGTTGGGTCGCGTCCCGCTTTCGATTTGCGCCTTCCGTTTGTTTACGCGAGTCAACAACAACGACATCACAACTCTCTTCCGACACCAGCGCATCACAACCACAAATATGCCTCGTGTCCGGGCGAGTGCCGCGAATCCATCATATGCCGAATCACCGGTCAAACGAGTCCGAGTCCAAATCCCACTCAACGACGACGATGACGAGAAAGCGCAAAGGCTGCAGTCACGCAAACAATTGGCGGCGAAACAAGCCGATCAGCTGAAAGCTGCTGCCTCGCCCGTGCGGAAACGGAAGTCGTTGGGTGGCGATGGACCGCTCACTCCAAGTCAAGATGACGGTGGCGGACAGTATGGTGTTGGTGTTGGTGTCGTCGGCAACGCGGTCACGCCCATGAAACGCGTGCCCATCTTGGCGAACTTCGAGGAGTGGATGAAGATGGCGACGGATAACAAGATCAATGCGGCGAATAGTTGGAATTTCGCCCTAATTGACTATTTCCATGATATGAGTCTGTTGCGGGAGGGGGATGGGGTGAATTTCCAAAAGGCGAGTTGTACGCTTGATGGGTGTGTGAAGATTTATACGAGTCGCGTGGATAGTGTGGCCACGGAGACGGGGAGGTTGTTGAGTGGCTTGGCGGATAGTGGGGGGAGGAAGAAGGGGAGGGGTGCGGAGGGTGATGATGGGGAGGGAGAGGGTGAGGAGGAGGATGGGGAGGAGGATGGGGAGGGGAAGAAGAAGACGCGGAAGAAGGCTAGTAGGTCTGCTGAGGCGACGTTGGTAAACCATTTTGATCAGTTGAGGTTGAAGAAGATGGAGCTGGAGTTTTCCGTTGATCCATTGTTCAAGAAAGCGGCCGCGGATTTCGATGAAGGTGGTCCGAAGGGTTTGCTGATGAACCACTTGGCTATTGACTCTACTGGTCGCATCGTCTTCGATAGTAGCGATGATGTGCAGGAGACTGAGGAGGAGAGTAGACGGGACAGTATGGAGCCTGAGGGTGAGGAGGCAATGGCGGAGGAAGAAGTGCTGAAAGATGGGCCGGTGGATGTGACTGGGTTGGGAGCAAGATTCTTCCCTGATCTCGCACGGCTGGACGAACAGGACATCTGTCCCTCCCTCAAGACGTTCGAACTGGGCGCAGGCGATGGCTCACCGGATCTACCTTTCCTCAAAGCACCCGAGAATTGGCGAGACGAACACCCAGAGACTCTGAACAACGACAACCCTGACATGCCCATCCACGACGACGTACCCGGCTACGTGGATGACGACGATGACTTAGGCGCCGGCGAATTCGACCTCCCACCCACAACGGGCTTTGGCGAAGGCGGCGAAGCCTGGGCTCGTGATGCTGCCTTAGCACCCCAAATGCGCGTCCACGATGCCCTAGCAGGAGCAGAAGGCGGCGCCGACGACCACGGAGGCGAAGTCGGCACCTTCGACACGAACAATGCAACCTACGGCGTGACACTCCAACACCGCACGGGCACCGAAAAGGAACAAGAAAACATCCTGAATTACTTCGACACGGCTTTACATCAAAATTGGGCGGGGCCCGAACACTGGAAAATCGGCCGGATAAAGGAAGCGAGGAAAGCAGCCTCTGCTCCACCTCGAGTCCGGAAGGAAAAGGAACCGTTTGAGATTGATTTCGAGGCTGAGATGGGTGCCGAGTTGGCAAGTCTGTTGTATACGAAGGCGAGTAGCGCGAGTCAGATTACGCTGCCGAGGAATCAGTGGAGGAGTAGGGGCCAGAATTTGTTGCCGGATGATAAACATTTCCATTCGGAGGATTTGTTGCGATTATTCCTCAAGCCGAAGGCGAAGATTGGTTCACGCAGGGCCGGGGGGGTTGGGAGGAGGGATCAGGATGGCGAGGTCGATGAGGTGTATTGGGCGCAGCAGGCGGGTGGGGTTGGTGTAGGCGGGCCGGTGGCGAGACATCCTATGGATGACGATGACGTGGTGGGAGGTGTGCACGGGAATTACGATGCCGATTTCTTCGCTGACGATAATCTTCCTTTACCTGGCGGTGGAGCGGATATGGCTGACGAGGACTCCTTTGCCGATGCCCGGGAGCATTTCTCGCCTGGTCTGGACGATATGGGGATGGCTGCTGGGGATGCGGGACCGCAGGGGGCGGGGATCGATGATGTGGTTGCTGGTGGTGGGTCTGCCCCGCAAGGGGTGGATGGTGGCGGTGGTGCGTTTGGTGCGCAGCTGGTCACGCAGTCCAGGCGTTTGAGGCCGGAGTATGTGCAGTATGCGCGCGTGGCGAAGAAGGTGGATGTGCGGCGGTTGAAGGAGAATATGTGGTTGGGGATTGGGTTCGAGGGTACGTCTTCCTCATGCTCTTTACCATCACCCTTTACTCTCTTCCCCTCTCTCTCTCTCTCTCTCTATCTTGCCTTGAGAGAGCTCTGCACTGACATTTCTCCTGTCTTAGACAAATCACAGCCTATCCCCACCACCCCATCAGCCCGCCAACACCAACATCTCCCCCCCGTCCTCCCACAATCCGACTCCGGGACGTTGAATTTCACGAGTATTATGAATAACCTCCAGCATGTCTACCCGAAGCAACAAATGCAGGATATTTCGACGAGTTATGGGTTTATTTGCTTGTTGCATTTGGCGAATGAGAAGGGGTTGGTGGTGGAGAATGTAGATGGGTGGAGCGATTTGACTGTGAGGCGGGACGAGAGTGCGGTGGATTTGGAGGTTGGGGCGCATTGAGGTGGCTCTTTTTTTACTTGGGGTTTGCTTGGAGAGGCGTTCGATGGGCTGTTATGGGACTGGGCGCTTACTGGCCAGCATGTTCGCAGGGAGGCAGACAGGTAACAGGCGTTTTGTCGCGTGGTATGAGATGAGTCGACGTATGCCCTGCAAAGCCTTGACGAGGCCTCTTCTGGTTGTCTATGGGGATTCCCATCAGCCGACCACGCACAACTTTTAGTATCTTCTTCGGGCTTTCATCTTCTCTTTTCTTGTTCCTTTTTCTCTTGGAGCCTTCCCTCAAGCTGAGATACTACGGCGTGAGTACTTGCATGCCACGTCGATCAGTCCGGAGTCGAATCCCTAATACGGCCTGCTGATCAATGTCTTTACAGACCTTTGCAACATCGTAGGTACTCAGACAACGCAGGCCGTTCACTCGCTTCATCATATGCGTGTGTTAATCTATCTGACCTACTTTCCGTCTCCGGGAGCAGAACCGCCCACTCGCACTTCTCATCTCACCTTCGATCTATTCTGAGCTTTAACGCCATGCTTCCGACCACAGACACCTCCTTTATCGCTGTCCGGGAACGACCCCTGCTCAAGCTTACGCCTCAGGCCCTCCACGTGGCTGGAATGTGGTCGCCTCGGTAGATTCATCCTGCTCTTCGCCAGTACCTGCAATACCCACCGCCTTGAGCCACTCTTGCGATGCAAGTTTGAGGCCATGCAGGTGGAAGGGCTCCCATGCCGGCTCACTACGCCACGGGATCTGCTCGTCGAGGATCGTGAAGTAGGTGAAGTAGCAGCAGCCCTTGTCGTCCTTCGCTATGGCGGCATGGTCCTGCTCGCCCAAACCACCACGATCACGACTCATAGATTCCTGAGCGTTGGAACAAGTGTCCTCGCCTTGACCGCCGTGGCGACCAGCGGCACAACGCTGAGTGTAGGTGTCATGCGTAGGTCGGTCGCTTGCGATGGTGACTTGAGGGCCACCCAGGTACGGTGCGGCAATCCTAGCGACCGATCGGTTAAGGCGTGCGATTGTCTGCTCGATGATGTGAGTTGATGATATATCAGCACCTTCTTCGAGGTTAAATTCGCCAACGAGTCGCTCCGCGGTGTCGTACTCGAGTGGTGCGCGACGGCTGTTCGTCTTGGCTGCTAAGTCGATCTTCTCCAGGACACGTCGAAGGGTCATGGGCTGGAAGTCTGCTGTAATGCTGAGGTCACTGTAGGCATACTTGCATTTCCGAATGTGAGGGCTGTGGGGTTCGCCGGCCAAAGCCTGATCGAACCAGTCACGGTAGGCGCATTTGGCCAGCCACTCTGCCTTCTCTTGCGCAGTCTTCCCAATGTCCCATGAGGATGCGACGAAGGTCGTGCCGACGGGGAGATCTGGCCGAGTTCTGTTACTGCGTGCGACGTAATCGGTCATGAAAAGCTGACGGATGCGGGCCATGACCTTCTCGACCTCATCACCCAAGCTCTCGCGAAGATCTTACGTCAGTGCCGCAGCTTCGCCTTCGTCGAGTCCAGCCTCGACGAGATGTGAATAGTGTGTGCCACGGCCGGCGAGGTGGCGAAGGGAGTCGGCGAAGGTTTCCTCGCAGCGAAGGCGGATGGCTAGAGCGAGGTGGAAGAGAGGCTGCTGCTTGACGTCTTGCCACAAGTCCAGCTTCGCCAGGAGACATGTACGGATTTGATCGGCGACGAGGTGGAGACACATGTACACCTCTGCGTACTCGACCAGATCGGCGAGGCCCTCGTAGGTGGTGTGCTCTGCGAGCATGGTGGGATCGACTGTCTTATATACCATGCCGAATAGTGTGTATAGGGGGGTGACGGCATGTGATTGTGTGAGTGACTCTTGAGCGTTGTCGTGAGTATGGTAGCCGGGAGTGGAGGTGCGGGTCTCCGTGCGAGTAGGAAGTCCAGCCCCCAGGATCTCATGCTGATGGATGCGGATTGCAGCAGGCGGGATGTCATCCTCACTTCCGCCCTCGTTCTCTCCGTTGACAATTTGTGCCGCGGCAAACAGGCTCGAGATGCCCGGATCCAGGTCCGGCTTCTGCAGTAGCATTAGTGAATGCGCTCCCCATTTGAAGTACAAGAATAGTCTTACCTTCGCAACCAGCTCATATACGGTATCCTTCAACTCCAAGACGAGGGAGTGGACCGTAACATCCTTCATCGTTTGCGGATGCGTGATCGTGACAGCTCCGCTCCACCGCCCAACTGCTGCTGCTAGTGGAGGCATAGCGACTTTGAGAATGTGCTTGTGGATCAATAAGTGCTTCTTCACGTCCTCGCCTAGCTGCACAACTACGTCGCCGTCATCGAAACAAAGTGGTCGCGTCGGAGAAGCCTGACCAAGACTGATGGTGGCCATCTTGGGCTTGGCTTTGTATGTTACGGCCAGCGAAAGAGGCGATGTCATCCCTGTGACGAGCCGATGACAATGTACTGTTGTGTGAAGATGCGATTTTCCAAGGTTGTGGTCGTTGAGAAGTCTTGGAAGTGCTGAGTGGAAAGGTTTATATACTGAGAAATCGTCGGCCAAAGCCTTCGAGTCATGCGGCCCTTCTAGTCCGAGCTTGTTGGTGAATGCTTGCGCTGTCACGCCCATGTGAATGCCGTCTTGATATGTCTCCTCCACGGAGACGCTGTGCACACTCACTCAGAGATGCCACGGGTCCCTTGCTCTCGTGAGTGGCCCGCTACACCTATAGTAAGCGAGGGGTACAGGTAAGAGGCCGACGATTCGTGAAAGGTGGCGGAGCTTGTGCTTGGGTATATGTAGAGAGGAAAAATACGAACTTTGGTGAATGGCCGGCGTGACTAGCAATAGATAAAGCAAGCAAGCACAATATCATTGAGGCGCCACCACGCACTGCGACGCAGCAATCACAGCCCGCTCATCAAGCTTCATGCTTTCGTGTCTTGCTTTGTCCGAATCGCCTGCTACTATCGCTATGAGCATTTCGATGAAGCCTGGCCCTGTTGTCACTGACCTCGCAGCCTGTGCCGTATCCTTGTCTCAGTCGTTCCGCTTCCACTCAACGTATGGCTCTGTGCCAACATGGTCCGACGCCAGACGCTTCCGAACATCCTCCCCCGCTCCCGCTTGCGGTGGTTGCAGCTTCATTTTAAGAGGCCATGGCTCGACGATTGTGTTAGTAAACTTCATGGACACGCCACTGCGCTGAGCAGTCGAAGCAAACCCAAATCCATTCATGTATCTACCAAGAAGTAAGAAATCATTTCCTTTGACCACGGAAGAATCCACCCGCTTCTCGAAATATTTGTTTGCATCCCGGACCATTGGCAACGCGGATGGCATCATCCCTAAGATCGGGTCGCAGTGGGTCAGGGTAGAGAGCAGATGTTCGCGAATGGCATTATGACTTACGTGCACGAGGAGGCAGCCTTGATACATCGACTTGCCCATTATACCACAGGAGGCGCACGAACGTTCATAGATTTCCTCCAAGGTCGTTGATAGAATTGTCGAAGGTCAAAAGAACTCTATGCACTCGTGATGGAGGTAGATTGTTAGTAGTGGTGTACGCTGTCGTCCATTTGCATCTGCAGCTTGTGTACTGAACATCACCGGAGAAGTGAGTCCTAGAGAACATCATGGCGGCCATGCCAATGGGCCTGCACATACGCATGAGCCACGATCTGGCGGAGCGGATATTTCCATATCGCTGGCAGCCTAAACGGACATTCCATCAATGCACTATACGCTTTCATGATATGATGATGAAGAAGTATATGCCACGAGATTGATCATACGAGCCATTTGCAAATGGCCGGACTAGAATCGTGCTCAAGATCTCGGCGCTGTTGCGGTATGAGACAGATCTTTCCAAAGACCAGCAGTTGATCGTACTGCCTATACTGTGGAAGTTACGCTCAGGCCTTGAAAGATCGCACGCCGGTCCATCTAGGAGAGTGTGCGTTGTTTGAAGCCCTGCTGGACGATTGAATAGTGTCGAAGCGATCCTCATTGTTTCGTGTCATGGTGGACCCTATGAGGCGGTGTTACGAAGACAGATGTCGGGTGCGTCCCTTGAAGCCTTTCCGGCTCCTGCCTGTCCGTGGGCCGCTTCAAAAAGGTCTCGTTTACAAATACATGTAGCACCACGATGTGGTCTGGAAAGTGGAGGGTCTCATAATTAGCCGTGGAGAGCAACGGAGTACTATTTGTACCCAAAACTCAGTGCACGCTCCACCGCGTACAGATGAACTCAAGTTGCTGCCCCTCCTTCCAAATGCGTTTCAGCCAACCATCTACCGAAGGATGACTCTACGATTACCCGGATCAATCAGCGAAACATGAAGCGTACTTATGTTATGGTTGGTTGGGGTGGCAGTGGTTGTGGCCACCCGCGATGCCAGTCCTGTGGCAGCCCACAAGGCCATAATTGCTGGAACGTCTGTTGGGAAGCAACCCAGTGCCCCTCCAGTCCATATGTCAGGACCGTCGTATTCGCCTGCCACTCCGGGGTCTATTTGATCAATGTAAACAGGCCACAGCCCTGGTCCAATACACGGCTCTTCGCACCCTTATGAAGAATATGGCATAGCCGGCACACAAGCAGTCGAGCCTGCACTGATAGCACATATCACTGAGCAGATCGTACAGTCATCACAAGCATTACCTTACATGGAGGCTGATGGATCACAAGTATCTCGACTTTTGTTAAACCTTGCAGATGGCCACCGTATTGCGTGACATATTACCCCGCCTACTTGCATGGCTCGTTCTCCACTACCGACGGCTGTTTTCCAAGGATCTACGTCTACCACGAAAGGCAGCCGGAACTAGAGAGGATACACTGACGTAGGTACGTCAAAGGATGGATCACCGCTCATCTGCTGTCCAAGCACGATGATGACGTTCGGACATGCCACAGAGCGTTGGTATGATCGGACCAACAAGCCTTTGCTTCCTTCAGAACCTTATACTGTTTGTAGAGCAACTATATCACCTCCAACATGAGACCAGTGGTTGCATTGGCAGCTTTAAGTGCGACGTTCGCGACCGCGCAAAACGTTGTGGATCTGGGGTACGCGCAATACAGAGGCATACCTAACGACACTTTCGGCGTGACAACATACTTTGGTCTACGCTATGCAGCATCTCCAACCAAGGAGCTGAGGTGGCAGGCACCACGACCCATCGAGTACAACAACGGCTACGACCGAGCGACGGTCATAGATGCTACTCAGCAAGGACCTCAGTGCGTCCAGACCACACCTTACTGGAACATCACCAACACCAGCAGCATACCTGTTCAGTCTGGCCAAGAGGACTGCTTGTTGCTCGATGTCCTAGTACCCGCAAAACCCGCAAGCTCCTCGCTGCCTGTAATGGTACAGATCCATGGTGGCGGATATGCTGGCGGGAATGCGGAATCATATCCCGGCTATGCGTTGGTGAATCAGTCTGCGGGTAACATGATCTACGTAAGCATTCAATACCGACTCGGTGCCTTTGGATTCCTGGCTGGCTCTGAAGTCCGAGACAATGGAATAGCGAACGCGGGTCTACTTGATCAGCGGGCCGCACTACAGTGGGTGCAAAGAAATGTCAGATTTTTTGGTGGTGACCCTGCGAGGGTGACTATCTTCGGTGGCTCTGCAGGAGGTGGCGCAGTACTCAACCAGATGATCCTGTACGGTGGTGAAGACAATCCTCCATTCCAAGCTGTCATCTCGGAACGACCTTGGGTACAAGAGTACCATAACAATAGTGTGCTAGAGATCCAGTTCCGGGAATTGCTGAACGCCACTCGCTGTGCCGACTTAGCATGTCTGCGGACCATCAACGAGACACAGCTGAATGTTGGTCAACAGCTTGCCTTGGTCAACGGCTATCGGAACCATCCGCAACTGTATGCATTTGGCGACTACTGGTATGGTCCTACCATAGACGGACAGACTGTAAGCAGAACTCACCATGAAACAATCTGAGTAGCGAGCTGATATCGCGCAGGTCCGTGACTTCCCATCTCGCGAGCTTGCCAATGGTCATTTCACCAAGGTCCCACTCCTTGTGGACACCGAAGGCTACGAGGGTTTCCTCTTCAGTAATCAAAGCCAGCGAACCATCATGGAGGAAACGGCCGACTTGCAGTTTCTGTTCCCGTACGCTAAGAATTCGTTCTTTACCCGACTATACGAGGTATATCCAGCGAGCGCCTTCAACTCGACCCTCTTCCAACGTCAAACAATATACGGCGACTACATCATCAATTGCCCCACCTACTACATGGCGAGCGCGGTTTCAGATGCTGGTCTACCAGCGTATAAACTCGTGTTCAACGCTGGCACGGAGCTACATGGCGCCACGAGGCCTTTCCTGCATAACACGAACGCAAGCACTATCAACAATGCCACGCTAGCTCTGATCATGAAAGATTGGTACCTCTCCTTTGCCATCAATCAAGATCCGAACCAGCAGTCCTTCAGCAATGCGACCAAGCCGTACTGGCCTGCATATAACCTGCAGGGCTCCTCCAACTTCATCGTGATGGATGTGAACTATACCATGATTGGTCCTGTGCAAGACTTTTGGGCGAGTAGTGGCTGTGACTTCTTCAGAGGACAAGCTAGCGTGGTGAGGAACTGAGCTCTCTAGAATGCTCGATCTGACAAGACACAATCCGTCGACGTGAGGACTTCATCTGCGTCTCGCTATCGGTGACTGTACGTAGCCCAGCAAAACATACATCGCGCCATCGAGTACGACTACCGTTCTACCCTTCATATCACTATCTACCTTTCATATCACTATCGACCTGAGGCATCAACACAGCTTCGGCATGACCTAGAGAGTTGTGGCTAACATTGAACTGGCTGCCGAATTAGCCGGTCCGGGTAACTTTGGTCGGTCCAATTGCCTTCCGAATGCAGTCAATGCATATCCTTCCTATTGCTATTTGTTGAACGCAGCACCGCTACCTTGACGTTGAAGTCCCACTCGTCGTGGACACACGGACGCCTCGAGCGCAGATACTCCGCAAATCGTCAACAACGCAGAATCGACACTCTGCATCGCCAGCGATGGAACAATACATCAAGATCGCAGACTACGCTGCCGGACTGCTTGGCGCGATGATGTTTGGCATCGGCCTGCAAGCGCAACTCCAGCCCATGGAAGGTAGGGTCATCACTTCAACGAGACAACTCTCCAAGACTTTATCTGGTACTGAAGCACAGACAGGGGCAAAGCAATTCGCAGGTAAAATCGTGACCAACCAAGACCGAGCCATCATGTTCCCTATCGTGGGAGGTAGGAACATGTGGATTGGCGCAGCTATGCTGGCCTTGACCCTACAAGGGCAGAGGAAAGCAGTTGGCACGATTCTGGCGACTGGTATGATTGGTGGTGGCGTCGATGCATGGTGGTGCTACAGGAATGGAAGTGAGAAATGGTTGCCGCATATCATCGGGTCGTCCATCGGCATCCCGTTGAGTTACGTGTTATTGCAGTAATTGATCCAGTGTGTTATGATGATGAGGATGGGCAATAATGTAGCGTAGCACAGGCTGCGACAATACCTGGGAGTAAGGCGCAGTGGATGTAGATTATAGTGATCTCAATGTGGCATACTCTCCTCCTTCTGCTGAGTACAGGCTCTGTCAATTTCTGCAGCAACGTCTTTCGAATGATGTCGATGAACGAAGGAATGTCTTCTGATGTCTCTCGTCAACTTCCACGCACCATCTACACTTCGCACTAGAGGATGACACCGTAAGCTTATTCCCGACGATATCGCTTTACTCTAGTCACACAACAACATATAAGATTTGATCTAGCACTCGATGTCTGTTGGAGATATAGCTGCGACTTCATGGAATCCAACACCAATGGCGAGACTCAGGCATTGCCAAATCCTGATAAATTCTTGGATCGAGTGGTCGAGATTGATGGACACCACTATGAACGTCAACGATCAATAACAGACTACAGACGCGACCCTGGCGAAGCTCGTATTTTGTACCTCTGTCGGCGTTCATCGATCAGCGCTTCCTCGTCCGATGATAGCGAGCAGCAGACGTTCATCATGAAAGTCAAGGTACAGTAAGTGGCGAGCTGCGATAGGGGACGTACGGGTGCGACTAGAATGATCTGACAATGCTAGAGTGCCTCCGAGACCTGCATCAAATGATCCGACAGAACCTCTACCTGGACCAAGTGAGACTACGTTAGCAGAATGGGAGGCACTGTCTAAGTTTCGAGAAGCACGACTTGAAGGTGTACCACATCTAGTTGCGAAGAAGTGCTCTCCTCAGCCTGCGGATGGGCACTACCCAGGCGGATATGTGTCTTGCACTGTCATGACGCTCATGCCGGGACTAGACCTCATGGACACGAAATTCTGGAGCTTAGAGGATGAAACCAAGGAGATCATACGACATGCATTTGTAGCTTTGTTAAAGTATGCGCGACACTTACACCAGATACACCTGACGAGTGCCCGGACTGATGATGAACAGAGACATATGGCGACTGGACATTGCACCATACGACTGCGCCCTGCGTAACATTCTCTGGGAGCCTCAATCGAAGCATTGCTCCATTGTCGACTTCGAGCACTACCACCAAGCCAAGGATCCGATCAACATGCATGAGACGGAAGAAATGCAGCGCTGGGGTATTGTGCAGAGACCGCCTCCATCACATTGGTAAGTATTGACTAGTGAGACTCCTCGGTGGCTGTCGCTAACAGCACGACAGTAAGTACTAGCTATTAGTCCTCCTTCACCCGCGGGCGTTGTGTACTGCTTGCAAGGCCGTGTACCCGCTTGCTGCCCATTTGAGGCACACCGAGCAGTACGATAAGACGGCCTTGCATATTCTGAAGTGTCGAGTCTTCGACTTGACACATACGTGTCAAAGCTGATTGTGGCATAGGGGCTGTGGAATGGGGACTGATACGTGATCCAAATGCAGGATGATGGAATCGCAGCATGGCAGAAGCAAGCCTTCTTATCTGCCAGCAGTCATTGTGATTCAACATTTACATACACTCCGATCATAGACTCTGGGCTCGAAGCAGGTCTCAGAAGAATGAAGAGTCTCTTTGGATTACCCCTGCTGGAGGTCTGCATAGCCAAGCAGAGCCACTGGTAGATGATCATGGCGTGGTGAGAATGTGGCATTTTGAAGCAGAAGTATGTTCCGAGATGATTCGATGCACGAGCATTGTATTCACTACTGTGACCCGTTCAAAATGAGTCTTCGAGTATCATTGACTGACTGAGATCACGTATATGGTCATGTCTCTGGCGAAATCAGCGTTGGAGAGTATTAAGCTTTTGAGATTGCGGGTATTGCCTCTAGCGCTGACCCTGCTCGCTCGATCGCGAGCCGAGGCCTTCCAAGAATTTCTTGCTGAGTATCTGGGTATTCGAGCATTGTTTCAACCCAGTACCGCAATGGGGTTGGCAGGCGAGAAAAGGTGGGAATATTGATAGAGACGTGCTGAACATATTGCTGACATGATGCAGACGTGGTAAGCTGGCACAGGACCCAAACAACACTGCCTGGTCGAAATCCACAGACGGCTTTGGACATCGCATCCTTTCACAGCAAGGATGGAAGCCGGGAGACTACCTTGGTGCCGAGAATGCTGCTCATGGTGACCATTATACTGCCGCAAACGCGTCTCATATCAAAGTCCTACTGCGGGAGGACAATCTTGGGCTGGGCGCGAAGCTGGGAGGTGCAGGCAATGCTGAAACATTCGGCTTGAGCACTTTGTCTGGTATTTTTGGAAGGCTGAACGGCAAAAGCGAGGCGGAAGTCGAGAAGCAACAGAGTAGTCTGCGTGATGCGGAGCTCAGGACGTATCAGTCGCAGAAGTATGGCCACATGAACTTTGTGCGAGGAGGGCTGCTAGTAGGCGACAAGATTGAGGAGTCACCGGACAACAAGCTGGCGGCCAAGACTATTGACTCAAAAGGCGCCGGAGTAGATCAGCTACCGGCGACGAAGAAGAAGAAGCGGAAGGTCGAATCTGACGCGTTGGGAGTAGATGATGGCAAACGTTCGGAGAAGAGACGGCGGAAGGCAGATATCGATACTGCACTTCCGGAGGTCGTCGAGGGTCTCATACCTGGAGAGCCATCAGAGTCGACCGACAAGGAACTTCTGAAGGCAGCGAAGCGGTTGCGAAAGGAGAAACGCCGAGCCGCAAAGCAGGACGAGCCCACCGAGGTAGAGAACGAGAAAACTCGCTTGAAGCAGGAGAAGAAAGCACGAAAAGAAGAGCGCAGGCTGCGAAAGGAGCAGAAACGATTGGGGAAGGCTGCGAAGTCGGCGGACGACGATCTAACAAGCTCCACGACAGCATCGTCAAATGCGTTGACCACACCAGTGGTGAGCGAACTGCCATCAGGCACATCCACTCCTACATCTGGATTGTTCGCAGGCAGTCGACATGCCGTACGACAGCGATATATTATGCAAAAGAGAGCCGCTTCAATGGACCCGAAGGCTTTGAACGAGATCTTGATGATCAAAGCCATAGGATGAATTCGCTCACGCGGTTCGAAAGTTCTAGACGTGTGTTGCAGGAAGCTCCACTATCGATCAGGCCATACCGCGGCGTGAAAAGTACTCCTCTTCGAGTATCTTGACCACTTGTCAGTGGGCGATCGACAGTAGTCATTGACGCAAAGTCATACATACACTGAATTGGACGCCGTCATACCACTCGCCATGTCGGAGGTAGATCTTCCTCAGGCGGCCTTCTTCAGTCATACCCCTGCGGTTGGTTCACGTCAGCAATGCTCGCGCAATCGAAGCAGAACTAGGTTGGTAGCAGCACATACACTTTTCGCCATAGCTTTATCGCGGCAGAGTTAAAGCTGTAGCTCAAAAGGGCGATTCTATGCAGGGCAAGCTGGTCGAAGCCATACTCGAACGCCCACTCTATGATCTCCTTGCCGTAGCCTTGGCCTCGATGCTTGGGGTCGGACATTCCGATCGCCAGCTCACAACTTCTGTTCTTGAAATCGAAACGTGCTGGCATGAAGTTTAAGACTCCAATCGGTGGACCGACTGCCTTGAAGAGATTGTCATCAGGACCTAGAGCGAGTGGCCAGGTCTCTGGCTTCAGGCACACGGCGAACATTGGGAGCGCAGTTGGAGCACGCTCTGCATACAGATTCTTCATCCATTCGCTGCTCGGTGGAGTGAGCGGCGCCGAGGTCATGAACTCTCGCCATTCGTCGTTATATTGCCCTGCGAAGCATAAGCTGTGCTGTAGAGTTACTTGACCTAGACCGCGACTTACACTGCACCAAAGTATTGTAGTCGGTCTCGAAATTGAATGCTCGGAAGACGAGCCGCTTGGAGTTGAACATGGTATTTCTATGAGGAAAAGCGCTGTCTGAGGCTCACGTAGATACTCACTGCATGTACTTTTGTCTACACATAGAGGTCTTATTGTGAGTCACGGACGATATTCCTATCTCGTGTAGTAATACGGTGTCTGACGACCGAAGGATCCGAGCCGCAGCGGCTAATGGCGCAAGAACCAGATAACGATCGCTATATCTCTTCTCTGCGCCAGGTGATTATCGTAATGCATATTGAGCATCTATCGCAGGCAGTAGAGATATGTGACGAGTGTTTTGTTGCCAAGAATAGCCTTGTAGCATAGCTAAGAAGTATTCCAGACTTCCTAGCTGTTCAAATATACGCCTTCTTCACACCGAAGCAGCTGGCCAACCAAAGCGAATATTATTCCGCTTGATACCCTCCAGCACAACCTCCAACCCACCAAACTTCACCATAGCCTCCAATCTATGATCGCGGTACTCTCGCTTGAAAGGTCCCTCAACAAACGCTTTCTTCATCGTCGTCGACATGATCTTCGCTCCTTCCTCCATCTCTGCGAATGTCGTCTGCACACTTGGCAGCTTCTTGATCCGCGCATGCCATAGCTGGAGTGCACTACCCTCGTCTGGACCAAAGCCGTAGTAGACACTACGATTTAGTAATGGAGCCACACAGATGTCTGCGTAACCAAACGTGTCTCCGTTGAAGTAAGGTTTGTTATCCAGTCTCGAGGCCAGCCAGGTCTGTATGATAGAAGTCTGATGAGCCACTTCTGCAATCAACGTATCGGCCAACTGACCCTCTGCTCGTCCAGACCATCGTATCTCGGAGTACACCCAGTTGGTAGCTTCGTAGACAGTGTCGCATACCTCCTCGATCATTCGCGCGGTAGCTCTCTCCTTGGGTCCAGATGGCAGCAAAGGGTATTCGGGAAAAGCATCCTCGAGGTACCCAAGTATGACTGAGGAGTCGAATATTTTAAAGTCGCCATCTTCCAGCGCAGGTACTTCTAGACGTGGATTCGACACTTCCAGTTCCGGGATGGTATTGCCGGATCCTAGTCCTTCTGGTCTTCTGCTCTCGTATGGTATTTTCTTCTCGCGCAAGGCAATGCGCACTTTCTGAGCATATGAAGACGTTGGATGGTCCCAGAGTAAGAGCTTACGATTCGACGACATTGTGCTGGTTCTCGTCAAGACTACGGCAGTCAGACTGAGGATGTCTGTGGTGTGAACGACAAATACAGCGTCCTACAGAAAGGTGTCACTTTTATACCGACCGAGGCATGCAGCCAAGCTCCTCCTACTTAGTGGAGCTCTTTCATTGCGCTAAATACTCAGTACGTGCTTTTGGTTAGTAAGCGGAAATATTATATCCGAACGGGTTTCTTGTAGATTGGCACGTTCGCAAAGTCATGGTCCCAATGCAACTTCCCATCTTCGTCAATCTCGGCAGCTTCGTCGGTCGTCGGTACACCTGAGGATTCATTGTGCTCGATCTCTTGCTTCGAGACGCCAGTGCTGTCTTTTGGTATCCATAGCTTCGGCGTCTTCGACGTGAAGGCAGGTGATAGATATGCTTTCTCCATCTCGTCGCTCTTTAGCGATTCCGCAGAATCCTCACGAGTCGCCGATGGAGTACTGAGCCACTCTTTTGCCTCGTCCCGTGCAGAGCGGATGATGCTGTCGAAGAAGTCGGACAGGACTCGTGGCGCAGGATCAGGCAAGACTCGCAACCCTAATCTTCGTGCGTGCGATGCGCCATGAAGTGCGTCCTCGTCGTTCGGATCAATGTTATCCTCTTGCGCCAGCAGCGGCACCTCTTGTTCCTGCCAAATGTCGACTCCGAGGTACAGCTCGAGTGGTCGAAGCATTCTGTCGAGCAGAAAGTTCAACACTGCTGTAAGCACGAGGAATGCGATCATCAGCCCTGCCTGCACTTTTGCGCCACGAGCGCCCATCAAGCCGATCAGACATAACTCAGCCAAGTAGATACCGGTTGGGATCTGTTGCAAAGCACGCTTGTAGGCCTCGCCCTTGGTGTCGATCTTGGTCTGTCTGACATACAGTAGACTGTATCGGTAGCTCAGGTAGTACAAGAAGATGCCGACCGTGGCAAACCCCAGAACGAGCGGCGCAATGCATGAGTACGCAATGGCGATCACGAGCAGATTCGTAAACTTGGGGTACCAAGCTGCCCATGGTGTGCCCTTCATCTGGGCATGTGTATTGAAGTGCTGGCGTGGAGTCTTGTCTGCGAACTTTTCGTAGTACAACAGCTCGAAGAGGTCCGAGTAGTTCAGAACGTTTGATGCGGCGCTCGCTGTGCCTTGTAAGATAAAGTATGTCAAGTAGAAATTGCTCGCTTTTGGCAGGCTGGTGGCGAGTAGGTCTGTAGCCGAAGCTGGGTCTTTCAGAATCTGCTGTGCCACGGCTGCTGCACCAGACGCTGTAGTCGTGACGAGGAAGACTTGGAAGACCTGAAATGCAAAGAACCAGGCCTGAGTCTTGAGTTCTGCTTGGGGAGTCGTGGGCTCGCCGGACAGCTTGGCGATATGTCGAAAGAGTTTAGGTACATAGCTCGTGAACCAGCTCACCAGGAATGGTGGCAAGAGTCCAGTGAGAAGGTCAACAGCGACTGGTGGTAGATTGTTTAGCCAGTTCAGCCAGCTATATGTGTCCGCCAGATGTTGTATATTGCTGAGAGTACCTATGAGGCCGACCGGGATGGAGAAAAAGACGGTGAAGGCAATCACAAAGACCAAAGCAAGCGAAGCTTTAGACACACGCTCTGGCACTGGCCGTGCGAGGTTCTTCCACAAGACCTCTTTGGGCTGGATCGCGAGGAATCGGTCTTGCAAAGGTAGTCGTGGTTGGAACGTGAGTTCCTGGAAAGCTCGATGAGCCGCAGGCTGGCTGTTGTATGCCACGAACACCGCGGATTGCTCGGGAATGTTCCTGCTTGGTGCCGCACGATGTGACTCGATGCGCTCAGCAAGTTCACCAACCAATGTGCGAGATCTGTCGACACGATCAATCTTCTTGCCTACAAATGGCGGCTCTCTAGCGGTCGGGCGCTTCGATCGCGGTACAGCATTTTGAGCCTCAGTGTTTCCCGAAGTATTCGCTCCATTCGTTCTTCCTTTCTGCTTGTTAAGCTTCACGGCCTTCACGATGAGATCCATCTCTGCATCCTCTAATGCATATGCGGCATCGTTGCGCTGCTGAACAAGATCTTCCAGATCACCAGAGTCTCGCACAGGCCACGCCTTGATAGCGTCATCGCCAAAGGACTTGGTAAGACTCTCCGGGAGACATGCATCTCGGGGTGCGTTCATCCAGAGGACCGTACGGGCAGATAGACGCGAGGTGTAATCATCGCTCAGATAGTGGGCTTGCCTCACACCAATCAGACGGAGTCGCTCCCATGCTATGAGAACGAGAATGCCGAGGAAGAAGCCAGTACCGACCACGAAGTGCGCCCAGAAGTAGCTCGGCTTGGTCACATTACCGATAGTGAGCTTGTCGAGCTGAGTAGACTCACCACCTCCCAAGGCATGAATCGGAAACAGAATCGGCCATGTCATACAAGAGCCGATCAGGCATATGAAGATGATTATTTTCAGAAATCTCAGGTACAAGTAAGCATCGAGCGAATTGTGCTGTAGAACAAAGCGGTCAGGCAATTGGCGGAAGTCCCGAAACCAATGGCCGCCTGACGCTCGTTCTTGTGGCGTGCGGTCCTTTTCAGGCACGGTCCCAAGAAATGTTCGAGGAGCGTAGAATTTGCGATAAGTATTCCTGATGCCGGCGAAGATGGCAAGGTAGATTACGGCGGTGGTGAAGGTGGGAATGAAGGTCGCGAGGATGGCTCCGCCAGATGTTGATCCAGAGTCGCGGTGGTTGCCTCCATCTTGAATTGTGATTGTGCCGGTGGCCATGGTGTTGATGATGTGTAAGATACTAGACTGCGCCGGCCAACATATCTTTGACAGCCTAGGTCGAGGAGTGCAATCACAACGTGAAGAGTGTTGCGGTGGTGAGGTCTGAAGCTCTACCACGGCGACACTGCGCTAGCAAATTGTTATTTTCTCCGAAAGGGCTGGAGTTCTTGTTTGCGGTCCAGGAGGCCCCTCCTGATTCGCGCTTGGATAAGAGCTTGAGTGATCCTATATGACGTTGGTGGTGCTTTGCAGAAGGCTGGGAACTCGGATCCTTGGAAAGTCGTCGCGATGTCTTGCAGCCTTGGACGCGGGCCGAGCTGAGCGCACTGGGATCGCCGCGGAGTAACGTCCCGTGCCCGACTGCGTCTCGTACTGTCTGCTCGTCCACGACAAATATATTTAATAACAATCGGAATAGCAATGATCGAGCTTCATGCTGGCAACAACATGTGCAGTGTAGGCTCTGGTGTTGATCCTGCTCTATTCCGGCGACACCGACAACATCCAAGGCCAGACTTGCGGCGGTCATTGCCACCTACGTTCCCCGAGGCAGTTGGGATTGTAATAATGTCTACATACTTATTTCACCCCGACTGGCTTCCTCAGCAGCCCCAACAATAAACCCCGCTATCTCCACAGGTCTACTCAAAAAAGGCGAATGTCCTGCCTCCACCCTCCCAGTCCTAATCACAGCCCCCTCCCTCCCCATCCCCTCCACCACAGCCTCCTGTCCCTTGACATCAAAAGCCTGATCCTGCGCACAAAGTAGATACCATACCGGAAGGTCCAGGTAAGCCGCATATCCCGTCTTCTGCTCCCAGGGTCTCCAAGCTTGCGATTTCAGTAATGCCGTGTACTTCTCCACTTGGGAGAGTGGTAAGTCGCCGTCTGCTAGATCTTTTGGAGGAGAGTCGTGGGATTGTGTTGAGGGGAGTGAGACGTGGACGTTTATGGTATACATGCCCTTTGAGTATTGGGTGTGACGAGATAGAAGCGCTGCGGGCAGTGCCATGATTCGTGAACTAGGACCAAGGAGGGCTTTGACATGCTGGAAGGAAATTCTGCTCTCCACTGCTTTGAAAGTCAGCATGTACCAGCCAGAGGACGAATGAGACAGAGTCGTTGTAGAGTGTAAGATGAGGAGGCAAGATCATAGTATCATTCTCCACAAGCAGGTTGGCTGATGGGTGGCACGCCTTGGAAACCCTAACAAGCATTTACCAGATGGAATATCGGCTTCGGCTTCGTCTTACCAACGTTATCTCTTCTCGATCACATTACGTGCGGTGCAGACAAGCTGAGCCTCGTAAGACTCAGTACATTGACTAGGTCGGTCGCTGTGGCTAGACAAGACGTTTGACAGATACCTGATTTGTGTGATTGGAGCATAATTCGATGCCCTTTCTCTCATGCGGCTGATAGTAGTACTCAGCTATATCGAGGATGTATCAAAAGTTGTAGAGCCCAATGCCGTGGTTTTTGGTAGTGCCAATTCTGGATGAAAGATGGCAGGGCTCCTGCAAACCCTCCCACCTCAAATCCAGGTGGAACGCCCTCGCTAAGCAAGCAAGAAAGAAAGCAGAATGGCACCAAGAGACATAGACAAATCCCCTCTCAGTCGGACTGTGGGCGCGGCACGACGGCCAAGTCCAATCATCCCAGTCATGCAGCAGGGTAGATATACCAACCTACCCCACCCTCCAATCCAATCCCTCCCATCCCACCCTACCCCAACCCTGGACCCTACACATCCATCAAACCACCTCCTCCGCTGGCCACAGCTGCGTCGCAAGCACCTTATTCATAGTAAACATATGCACCTTCTCCGTCTTAAACACGGCCCGCATCTTCTCATCGCACCGGATCTGCCTCTTATCGCTGGGGTCTTGCAGATCCCGCTCCTTCACATACGCCCATATCCGCTTTACCGTCTGGGGTCGACTGAGTTGGCTTTCGCCTAGGAGGTCGGTGAGGGGTTCGGAGAGGTTCATGAGTTTGTGGAAGCCGCCCTTTTTTTCCTTTTCGGGTTTCGGGGAGGTGGAGGCGACGTCGCTGTCGTCGTCGGAGTGGATTTTCGTGGCGGATTTCCTCTTGGGTTTCTTGTCCTTTTTCGTAATGGACTTTTTCTTCTTGGTCGTTGTTGCTGCGCCGCCTCCTCGCGTGGAGCGGCCGCCGCCTGCGCTGAATTCGGCTTGGAGACGTCGGGCGATTTGCTCGTCGCTTTCGGCTTCTGATTTTGGTGCTTTCTTCATCTTCTTCGGAGGAGGCGGGCTGTCTTTGACGTCGCTGAAGGAGTCTTCGTCGTCGTCGTCTGTGTCGGCTTTGCGTTTGTGGGAGGGTGGTGGGGAGGCAGATTCGTGGTGAGTGGTGCCGTGTGTGCCGTTGGTTGTGGGTGCAGGCTCGGTTGTGGTGGTCGCTTCTCGTTGTTGCTGGGCTTTGTCGAAGCGCTGCATAATCAGAGCCGTGATGGCTTCCTACTAAAGGTTAGTCTTGGCCAAACTGCTTGTGAGTGTGGCTTCACCCACCTTCTGCTCCGACAGATCATAGTCGACTTTGGCCTGTAGACCCTTGCGAAGGGCTTTGGCAGAGATGACATCGAGATCGGCGGAAGCGAGTATGTCGTCGATGATGGCAGAGTATGAAGCCATCTGCTCGGTCGGTACTATGGTCGAGGTCAGTGATGTGCTGATGCGGATCAAGTTGGGAGGTGAACACACAATCAGACGACATGGTGAGATATGAGTTGGTGGGTGTGTGTAATCAGTAGATGGTCGTAGATATGCGGATATATGGCAGGTGCTGAGCTGGCAGTACTATCACGTGGTTCGCATCAAGTGCGAAGATGCAGGTGATGGCGGATGATGGCTTGGTCAGGTGTTGATGCCGCAGATGATGTCTTGCTGAGGGAAATCTTGATTCGACGAGCAGTGTGCCAGTCAACTGACAACCGCTGCGAAGCTGTGTATGCGTGCCAGATAGGCCACGAGTGAAGCTGTGCTGTATGGTAGTGGATATGAGTTGGAGCGGGCTGGTGATCCAATGGCGTCGGACCGTCCTCTAAGCTTGCAGATGCCGATGCCGATGTGCCGAGAGGTGTTCGAATATCGCTGCTGTTCCAAGCACTTGTCGAGTCGGCAAGTAGAGTCACCATACGACAATGTGAGTCAATCCGCAATATGTCGAATCGAGTGATGTGAATAGAGTAGAATAATGGTCGCTTGATCAATTGTGTAGGAGTCGTCCATCGCAAGCGCATAGAACTATGATCCAGCGGCTGACTCATCGGACCCCCCACATTTTGGATACACACATGGGGGCGCGGAAGATTGTTGAAATTCATTGATCGAGGCACGAAAAAGGAATTCTTCCAGCACAACACACACACAATATGGCTCCCTCATTCCAATCCCTTGATCCAGACATGGACGACTACGACGACGATGATGAAGAACCCGATTTCAGCGATCTCAAGGAGCAATATGAAGTGCGCATGGAAGAAGGGCTGGACACTTTCGTGGTAGTGGATGGCCTGCCCAAGGTCCCGCCGGGCAGTAAAGACAAGCTCGTCAAGTTCTTGTTGCGGAAATTGGTCGGCTTCGGCAAGACGAAAGAGGAGAACGTCTTCATGCCGATGAACGAGGAGGGCGACATGAGTGAGGGTTTCGCCTTCGTCGAGTACGAGACTCCCGCTCAGGCTGCTGCGGCCGTCAAGGGTCTGCACGCCACACCTCTGGATAAGAAACACACCATCGCCGTCAACAAGCTGACCGATATCGAGCGATATGGACGTGAGGGCAGAATCGACGAGACGTACCGCGAGCCGGAGATGGAGGAGTTCAAGGAGAAGGAGCACTTGCGGTCATGGGTGGGTGATGTCGACGGCCGTGATCAGTTCGTCATGTACCGTGGCGACAATGTGGGTGTGTACTGGAATGAGCGCGAGGACCAACCCGAGCCTGTCAGAACGCCAGCCGGTCAAGTCGTCGATCGCCAGCACTGGACCGAAACCTTCATCCAATGGTCACCGAAAGGCACATATCTCACCTCCATGCACGCTCAAGGTGTACAACTCTGGGGTGGCGAGAGCTGGTCCCGACAAAAACGCTTCATGCACCCGGGTGTCAACCTCGTCGACTTCTCCCCCGACGAACGCTACCTGACAACCTGGTCCCACCAAGCCATGCAAGTCGACGAGAACAACCCCATCCTGTCCCTCGAAGAAGACGGCAAGAACTACATTATCTGGGACATCGACACCGCCAAACCCCTCCGCTCCTTCGTCACCCTCGACCCGCCCGGCCCACGCGAAGACGCCGAAGGCCAACCCATCAAGAAGAAACTCCAATGGCCCGCCTTCAAATGGTCCGCCGACAGCAAATACGTCGGCCGCATGAACCACGGCCAAAGCGTCAGCATCTACGAACTCCCCCGCATGAACCTCTTCGACAAAGCCAGCGTGAAAGTGGAAGGGATTGTCGATTTTGAATGGTCACCCGCCTCGGCCGAACGCCACAGCATCAAATCCTACGAACAACTCTTCTCCTACTGGACTCCAGAAATGGGCAGCAATCCCGCCAAAGTCGGCATCATGAGCATCCCCAGCAAAGAAGTCGTGCGCACACGTAACCTCTTCAACGTCTCCGATGCAAAACTCCACTGGCAATCCGAGGGCGCCTTCCTCTGCTGTAAAGTCGACCGACACAGCAAGAGTAAGAAGAGCTTAGCGACCAACCTTGAAATCTTCCGCGTGAGAGACAAAGACGTCCCCGTCGAAGTCGTGGAGAACATCAAAGACACCGTCATCAACTTCGCTTGGGAACCTAAGGGTGACCGCTTCGTCCTCATCACCGCCGGCGAAGTCCCCGCCGGCGCCGCCGTCCCACCCAAGACCGCAGTATCTTTCTTCGCCCCCGAAAAGGCCAAAGCGCCAGCCGTAGGCAATTTCAAACTCATCCGAACAGTGGACAAGAAGAACAACAACGCCATCCACTGGTCTCCTAATGGACGGTTCGTGGTCGTCGCCACGGTCCTGAACCAGCAGTCCTTTGACCTCGATTTCTGGGACTTCGACTTCGAGGGCGAGAAGGAGGAGAAGGAGAGGGATTTGACGGCGAATCTGATGTTGATGCGTACGGCGGATCATTATGGCGTTACGGACATCGATTGGGATCCCAGTGGGCGGTTTGTGGCGACTAGTGCTAGTGTGTGGAAGCATCGGGTTAGTCCCCTTTCCCCTCCAACATACCCATATGTTGATGAATGATGGGGCATGTTTTGCTGACTGTGATGGATAGATGGAAAATGGCTACCACCTCTACACCTTCTCCGGCCAATTGCTGAGGGAGGAACCGATCGATCAATTCAAACAATGGGCCTGGCGACCCCGTCCCGCTCGCCTCCTAAGCAAGGACGAAATGAAAAACGTCCGTAAGAACCTTCGAGAATATAGTCGTACTTTCGAGGAAGCGGACTCGGCCAAGAGGTCTTCGGCGGACAAGGCGGTGGTGGATGCGCGACGTAGGATGTTGTCAGAATGGTATGCGTGGCGCGAGAGGGTGGTGGAGGATCTGGCGATCGATCGGGATGATTTGGGACTCGGGGAGAAGAGCGAGGAACAGATGGCGCTTGAGGTGGATGTGGAGGCGGAGGGCGAGGGGAAGGTGGTCGAGGAGATTTTTGAGGAGATTTTGGAGGAGAGTGAGGAGGTCTTGGAGTAGTAGGGGTGAGATGAGAGGGGCGGGTGAGGATGTGGATGTGGATGTGGATGTGGGCGGGTCGTGTTCTTAATGATGCGTGCGTGGGATGTTGTGAGTGGTGGGCTTTGATGACGGTCATGTCGTTGTATATTCTGCTGCTGCAACTGCTGCTGACTCTTGCCACGGGCGGATTGTCGAGAGCATAGATCACATAGCTCTACAAGACACGAATCATCTTTCACGGAAGCATGTCGTTGCTGGTTTACGCTCATTACTTGTGTAAACCTTTTCCACTGTTAGATGAGCGAGTGCTGGGCATACCATACTTGTGGTTGCTGTATCTTTCCCTTTCCCAGCTCGGAATTCACCACAGGCACTGTACACGCAAGACCAGCGAGCTCGTGAGTCCCAGGAGGGTGTGCTGTCTCTGTCATAGAGTATAGCATGCCTCGACCACTGCTGACAATGCGCTCGTGAGTTTCGCCTGCCTGTGCACTGCTTGCCCGCCCTGCCTGGCCCCTCTCGGTCCAGTGTCAGCTTCTCCAGCAGCCAAGCTCACCAGCGCATGCTCAACCAAATGATCCTCAGCTCAGGACCCCTTCGATCCACGCATGATATCCAGACCCCTCACTCCACGAACCTCCCCTCCCTCCACCCCCCCTGCATAACCGCCAACTCCACCGCCGCTTTGCCCCAGTCCTCCCCATGATTATGTCCCTCCTTTTCAGTCGCTCCTGCTATCCCCGCCCGCTCAAGTCCTTGCTCTTCCGTTAGGAGCGTTAACAGTCCGAAGATAACGGGAACACCGAGATCGAGTTGCACTTTCATGAGGCCGTGCGAGACGCTGTCGGAGATGTATTCGAAGTGCATTGTTGACCCTTTTATCAAGGCGCCTATGGCTATTATTGCGTCGAAGGGGGCTGTGCTGCCTTTTGTCTCGCCGTCTTTCTTTCCGCTTGGGGTTTCCTTCGATAGTTTGGTAAGATCCGATGTGCTGCCTCCCAGTAAATCCGCTGTAGCGCTTATCAGACTCCCGGCTCCTCCTCTGCTGATATGACTCGCCGCCTGGGTCTGGCTGGCGACGTACATCCTCTGCACAGCAAAGGGTAGTTCGTAGGACCCTGGAACGGATTGGATGACGATGTTTTCTTGTTTTACTCCGGCGTTGGTGAGTTCGGCTATGGTGCCTTGGAGTAGGGCGTCAATGATTTTGGTGTTCCAGCGGGCGTGCACGATGCCGATGCGGAGGGAGGAGCCTGGGGTGGTGTGTGTTAGATGGTGGTGGTGGTTTAAGAGAGGGTTGTGAGGGAGGGCTGGTGCACTGTACTTACCATCGTATGTTCGTGCTTCACCTATGCCTTTGATACCTGCCATCGTGTACTGAAGTGTGGATATTCTTCGGCTGAATAGGGTACGCAATCTGCTATAGTCGAGCCAAGTGAACAATAGACACACCAGTCACTGAAACAAAACCCCACCATCACGGAAGGCGGGGTCGAGATCGTCAATGCAAGGGACAGCCGCCCGGAGTGGTTTGTAGGGCTGAAGGACGAAATGTTCGGCATACGTCAACGAGAACGTCCTTCACGAACCAGCTTGATGACTTGATGTACATCTCCTCTACTTCGACTTCATCGCTCTGCCTACTAGCTAGCTTACACCATCTTCTAAGCGTCCCTGCGAAGGCAACGCAACACAACACAAGCAGCCGCCAGCGCCATGCTCGTTCGTTTCCAATCCTGCCACGATACACGTCGATACTTCGTTCGGACCTCCATTAATTGAGGAAGCCCTTGCAATTCGCCGAGCCACACAGGCAGGGAATGCGATCCGTTGACCCATATTCCCTCTCGAACTTATAATCGTACGTAAGTTCGTCGTCTGCAAAGAAAAGTCAGCATGCATATCCTCGCCACAAAGTTCTTGGGTCTCCAACTCACTCTTCCCAATGTCCTTCAAAGCATAAATGACAATCCTCGGCGTCCCCTCGACCTTGATAATCTTCGCCGTACAAACCGGATCACAAGAATGATTAATAAAGCGCGCAATGCCGCCCTTCTTCGTCGCATCCACAATCTCATCGTCCAGCATCCGGAACAGATACGAGGATCCTACGCCCTGCTTCTCGTATTTTATCTCCCGCAAATCGGCGACCTTCTGTCGCACTTTCTCGCCTACGTACTCGATGATCATTTCGTTCTGGGCGATGTTTTCCTCGGCGTAGAGGCCCCAGCCGTGGATGGCGGAACGATCGAATTTGACGAGCTTGCGCCGCTTCTTGAGCTGGTTGAAGCGGATGGCGATGTCGGCGTCGCTATTGACGGTGGCCATGGTCTGCTTCTGAAGATTGATGTCGTTGACAAGGCGGCGATTGTTGACGCGATTGCTGCGGGAGGTGGCTGTACTGGCAATCTTCTCTGCGGCCGCGATCTTGGCTGCTTCCACCGCGGCTGCTGGGTTGGCGGTGACTTGTGCTTGCAGTTCTTCTCGAGCTCGCTGGACCTTGATGCGATGAGGTAGATACTTGGACTTCTCCTCGTTCAGGATCTTCTTCACGCCTTCGGTACGTGCGGAGCCTGTTGCATTGGCGACGTAGTAGCCCTCGATGCCAGTCTCAGACTGCCCAGGGCCAAGGTTGCCGCTATTGAGATTCTTGATCTCCTTCTGCTTCCACGCCCACAGCTTCGCGTCGCCAAGATCGTAGGGAGCTTCGTTGATGAGCGCTCTTCTTGCAAATGCCAAATCCTCGTTATCCTTGATGATCTCTTGCCAGCCATCCACATCCAGTATGAGACGTCTGTCATCCTCGACGGTGCGCCTTGGCTTGTCATGTGTGAACGCCCAGCCAACATCTGCATGTGCCAGCTCCTCGACGGCCTCAAGCTCCAGCGCCTTCTCTTCAATTTGAGTGACTGTCTCTTGCGCAATTGGCTTGCTTGCAGCTCGTGCCTCCTTCGCTTCGGCCTTGAGTGCTTCCTGCTCTTCGAGAATTTGCTTCTTGGTCTTTCGCTTCCTCTTAGCCTTGTCCTTGACGGCTTTGGCATCGATCTCGGTGGTAGGTGTGGCTTGCTGCTCGCGATCTGCCATCTCGACATCTTTGATAAAGCTGGCTACATATTCATTCTTCGACTCGCTCCTGACGTTGAAGAGATCATCATCAGCCTTCGATCGCTGTCGAATGAATAGTTCTGTCCTCGCACGTGTCGCGTACTTCGAAGTTCGTGGCAGTGTATTGACGACCTGTTCTAGCTCACGAGTCGCAAGGTCCTCAGGCTCCTTATGCAAGAGGTGACCAAGCAGCTGCTTGTGGAAGGGATCGAAAACTTCCTTGTCATCGTCTTCCCAATCTGCGACCTTCCTGCGTTTGTGCTTAGGCGTGTCCGTGACCGATTCGGCATCGAATGGTGTCGAGTTCCTGCTCGCGCGACTAAGCGGACGGCTCTCCTGGTCTTCCGTGTCGCGACCAATCGATGTCCTGCCTTCATCGTCTGAACCTTCCTCGTCGTCGAACATCTGCTGCAGCTTAAAGTGCAGACCTCGCACATGTCGTGATGGGCCAGGCGCAGGCCTTCGTCTACGCTCATCAACGAATGCATTTTCGGACACGCGCTCGCGCTCCCGTTCACCTTTCCTGCCGCGTGGATCGTGCGGCCGCAGTGGCTTAGAGTGAGACAATGGGTAGCCATGCCGGCCTCTTGGGGTATGCGGAGGAGTGTCGCCGGCTTTGTTGAAGAGCAAAGAAGCACCTTTATTCTCATTGTCCGAAGGGTCTGGGAGTCCAAGCTTCCTGCGCTTAGCCTGATGTTTGGCAGGATCTAGGCTGTCGTTGAAGATGGGAATAGCAACCCGTGTCTTGATGTCGCCCATGATCCTGTCCCTCAATTCCATGCGCAATTGCTCAAGTGCGCCAAGAACAGGATCCAGATTGGCCGCGCGATTCTTCTTCTCAATCTCCATATCTTGCTCGTCCTCTAGCTTCAGACGTTCAAGAGTCTCGCGAGTCTGCTTCTCGGCCATGACACGTTCTGGGCTTGGGCTGCGCTCATAGTCCGGGTTGCCATATTTCTGACACTCCATACCCATCTTGTATGTGAACAGTGCCGCCATGTTGCACTCATCGAAACATCGCTGTGTCTCGTCCTCGCCACGCTTCGAGTCCTCGAAAACGGCGTAGTACCCTGTCTTGTCCAGCCTAATCTCTCGCCAGTCATAAGCCTTTAGACGCTTTTTCAAGTGAGGGATGGTAGTGCCCAGAACAGGCACCGAGGCGTGAGGGATGTGTATGTACGGTTTCCGCTTGATCTTGCTGAGGATGGGCTCCGCTTCGATCAAGGAAGATGGCCCGCCCGGCTTCGGAGCCAGAGGGGCAGCTGCGGCGCGTGGTCCTTCTGGAGGTTTGACCGCTGGTGCTGCTGATTTGCCAGAAGGTCCCTTCGGTGCGTTTAATGGAGGTGCTGGTGAATCCTTGATTGGCCGTGTGGGCTCCTTTGACACCGGCGCTGTCACGATACTCGCTCTTCGCTGTTTCACGCGCTCATCCCTAGCCTTCTTCAAGGCACTCTCGAAGTGTCTCTTGAACTTTCTACCTTCACGATCCACCTCAACTCTGATAGTGTGGGTTCCAATGCGTGACCCATTGAACTCAGTCTCGGCGCGTTTTGCAGCTTCCACTGCGCTACACTCTATCCCATCTCTGAAGCCATCTCGAAATTTAATCAATGCGATACCAAGGAAGCTGCCAGTATCCGGGTCGGTCTTATGCTGCACAGACGCCACACTGCCATAAGTGCTGAAATTATGCCGCAGTGTCGCATCGGTCAAGAACGGGTCGAAGCCCATGACCACAACCTGTTGTGCCTCGCCGGGTCCAACAGAATACCGGTCGATTTTGTAGGGTGGCAAATTGTAGGGTGCAGGTCTCCAAATCGCCTTGCTCGGCCTGTCTTTGGTCCTGCACTGACCTGACATATAGCCCGGGATCGCAAGTCGCGGATCTGGTGGCGGATCCGGCTCGTATGTCTGCCATCGCCCGGGTATCAGCACAAGGGTACAGAGTGGTTTTCTTCTTTTCACATCAAGTTATATGTATGATATTGCGCAAGCTCAGCAGATGATGAAATATATAGCGTACCTCTGTGCCAAATTCTCTTTTACGCAGCGTCGCGCGCTTGCGCTCGTCTTTGCTGAGCTTGCCATCGAGTTCTGGATCCCAAACCACTCTGTACCCTTTTGCCTTGCCGGGTGGAGGAAGCATTTGCGGACGCTCTTTCTTCGCGATCGGAGGCTCTAGGGTGTAATCAGCGGTGAGCGCATGCGCGTCGCCGTTGACTGTGGTCATCTCGGATGAAAAATGTGCATGCGAGGGACTTCTTTGCTTGGGAGGCGAAGAGTCTGAAATGCTGGTAAGTGGAGTTAGTCCGTTGAGAAGTGAGGATTTGTGATTCTGCGCCAAGGCTTGTGAGCTGGAGCTGAAGACGGTCGATGCAGTGCTTGCATGTGAGCTGGCGGAGCCAACCCCATGCAGTGTGTCGCCGGCGTCGGAATGCAGTGCCTCGTCCGAGTCGGGGGAGCGATAGTGCTTGCGAGGATCACCAGTCGCGTTGGCACCAAGGCGTGAAGCGGTGGATGACGTGGTGCTGGTCAGTTTGGTGGCTTTGGTGAAGGTGCTCGGCGAGGAAGCACCTTCACGCTTTCGCTTCAATGTGCCAGGCGAAGCGCTCCGACGAAGCGTCTCCAACCCACCGCCCGAGTGCGACATAATGTCGCAACCACCTCAGGCGCTCCGGTTTACTCTCATTGCACCGTTGTGGCAGGCAGGAGGCGGTAAGAGCGCTGGCGTGTTGGTGAAGAAGGAGAAAGTGTAGCGAAACAAAGTTGGTGGTGAAGCAGGCACGCGAGGGGCACGCGCGTTCGAGGCGGTCTAGTTGTAGCCGCGGTGAGGTAGAGCAGGTTCTCGTGTACTCCTGTAGGTAATGCCCGTTCTGCCTATGGCTGTCGACGCGTGAAGCTGGAGATGGTGTGGATTAGGTGTGGTCGTAAATGTCGAGAAACCATCCCAGTGCAAGGTTCACGAAGATTGGAGTAGCTGGTCCGTGCGCGGTGCATTCCTGCGGAGCTGAGCCCCTGTTCAACACATTTCGCTGATAGAAGGACACACTCCTTCTCCAACACATACCCTCTCGGTATATTACTGTGGAGGTCGCCGCTCTGCTGAGGTAGCACGTGACTGAGGCTGATGACAATCTCTCCCTCATCGGTACGCTCTCGACGCCAAGGAAATGAGGTTCGTAGACAGCAGCTGGACCGACGTCATCATCCTGCTATGGCTATGAGATGGAGCATGTCTGGGTTCTTAGAATACCGTACACTACGGACCGTATGAACGACGATCTGAAGGCCGCTACGACTCACCGTCGACTGATCTACGCCCTCAGTAGTACTCCAGATTGCTTCGACACCGAGCAGTCGCCCTCTTCCCATATCTATAGCAGATTCGTACGCTGCACCGGCATAATTGATTATTACAACCATCTCTTTTCTTCACCATCCACGTACAATTAAGGCAAGACTGCAACCCAAATGGGAAAGCAAAATCCCGCCTCTCCACAGCCAGATCATTGGCACATAGTCCCCAGTGCCATGCGAGCCGGCATTTTGCACACGTCTTGGCTGGACACTTCGGACAGTGCGCTTCGTTGTTGTGAATGCGACGCGGTGAGATGAATTCCGAGCACCATGGAACATGGCAATGCACCCTTGTGCCGGCTGGTGTGTTGAGTTCGTCCTTCCGAGCTGCGTACTTCTTTGCCAGATCCTTCGACAAGAATCTCACAACCCCATCCGTGGTAAGCCTGTTACCGCAGCACTTTGGAGGCCAGTATATTTCCTCGCTCGTCGCTACTTCGAAGCATTGATTGAGACAGTCGACGCAATAATGGGGACAACCAGAAGATCTCGTGGGTGGTGGGAACTTGTGTTGTACTGAATCCCTCTCTAGGCACCCATGGCAGGTGCGCATGTAGTTCGGGATGCTTTTGTCGATAGCTGACGATATAGGCGGCCCGAAGTAATTTACCAAGCAAGACCAGAAGGCATCTCGACATATACGACTGGTCATGCTTTTGTCCGGCATGTCTCTTTGATTCCTCCTTCCTGTCAGAACCTTGATCCACAAACACCCATGCTCCATCTGCAGGAGCATGTCTTCCCATTGAAGACGCAAGACGCAAGACCTAAGACGCAAGTCGTTGCATCGGCCTTCAACGCGACAATGCCATCCTAGCATCTACGGGAACTCAATATGGGCAACGGACCAAAATACTCTTGGCCTCCAGATACCTTAGGTGCGAGACCAAGAGCGTTCGGCACAATATCTACCCAACAGAGATGATCTCTACCCTGAGTCTTGGCATCAAGCACCATATTTGATTTGTTCAGGCCAGACAATGGAGCAGAAAGTCAAGCGCAGAAAGTCAAGCGCAGATAGCCATCAAAGCAGATGCAGCGCCGAATGGCGCTATGCTCCCACACGGTCGCTTTGAAGAATGTTCTACATATCGTCCACCCGAATGCTCGTGAGCTGTGAGGCCGCTCTTTGTGGATGTTTGTGAGGTATCATCATGCCGGGATGATTCGACACCGTGATAGTGTTCGAATTGTAGGTCGACCACGAAGGAATTCATCGGCTTATATGTGGGTACCAAGCCAAATCCGCAACTAGCCACTGCAGAGACGATTGATCGTTCGACTATTCGGAGACTTAGGATACTCAGCTCGTAGATATAGCTACTATGTGAGCCTCCAAGTAGGATCATGTTGTGTAAGCACAGAGTTTCACAAAGTTACGTTCTGGCTCGTGGCAATAGACTGTTGCCTTTAGCAGATGTTGACACAGTTTTGCTGTTATACGTATCATCGTTACTCTGCTCTTGAATACCCGAGCGATCCGTGTTACCGTTGCTGTCATCTAGGAGGCTGGGAAGTGATCTTTCGGCTCGGCTGGACACATGCACGACCCACTTGCCGACAGCAAGGCACGCACCCCCACCTCATCCATACCGACTCCGTAAGCTTCATCAGCGTTTCAACAACGCCAAGCTAGAGAAATAGAGGTCTTCATGGACCTACTAACGACCCTAGATCAGCCTGTCTCAACGAGGACATAAGTCAGATACACTAAAGCCACTTGCAGAACAAGTTCTTCCCCAGCCCTCTTATCTTCTCCGCTCGGTCAATTGCATCTCACGTGCAACATAGACAGAGGATCTCCCACGGGAAGGAACCAGACTATGACACTTTACACCAATCCAGATCGTTTGTGCCGTCTGCTTGCACGTCTTTCCCCTCGAATGGCCAAGCGGGTAAACATGCATCTGCGCCACTCATGCAGGTCCTATCTATTTAGCGAGACGCTCTGCGTAACAAGTAAGTAAGAGCTTCGACTAGCTTCTTGACCGCAGTGAACGTGAGCACTCTTCATTGATCTTCGTTTCCGCCCACTGCTTGCTGCAGAACAAACCATATCACATGTTGTAAGCCGATTCCTGGACCACTCACAATACTGACGAGAGCAACTACAACACTATCCTTCAGCAGCAATGGCAAAGCTTCGATACAGCACATCCGCACTGCTGCTCAGTGCAGTCGCAGCAGGTAAGAGAACACACTACGCAGAGCCACGCATGCTTGTGATTTCCTGACACCTAGCAATAGTCGCGCTGCCAAATGGCTCACCCACTAACGCTGTGCCTGCCCATCGAGATGCAATCACTACATCGCTTCCTACTCCAACCATTGCATTCACAACTACCCACGATAACTTTCAAATGGATCTGCGACGCCGTCAAGACAGCAGCAGCTCAGCCACAGCTTCGTCGGTCCCAGTAGCCAACTCCTTCACCATGAAATCCCTCAGCGCGAGCTTGCCAGGTCCGGAGATGAACGCTTCTGCGCAAGCCAGCTCAGCACAAGCGACGGGTACTGGTATGGCCACTGGTATCTTCACTGCCAACGATGGCGGGCAATATGGTATCACGAGCCAGAGTGGATACATCGTTATCGACTTCAAGACCCTCTCGCCGGGCCAGAGCGCGCTCATCGGCAACGAGGAGGTCGTCGATGGTGCAGCAGGTGTGGTGGCGAACGGGATGACGATTCCACTCACGCCGGTGACGACTGCTACGCCTTCTAGCAACACAACTGTGATCTCTAGCTCCATCACGGTGGCGATTGTCAGTACCTCCACCTTCGAGAGCACGAGTACGAGGAGCATGAGCGCTGTTAGTACCATCTCCACGGAGATCCCAGTTTCGAGCACCGTCTCGAGCGCGGCGGCGGCTGCGAGGCAGACAGCGGGCAGTGTGATGGCGGCTGCTGGTGGGTTACTGGGGTTGATGATTCTGTGATTGACGAGTGGTGGACTTACAGCGTGCTACGAGCGATGAGATACCCTTCTGCGAAGAATTGATGATAATGTATGCATGTGCATGAGCGACGAGAGAAGCATGAGCGATCGGGTTGAGCAGCTTTGGGTTACAAGATGATCTGCCGAAGATAGGGATCATGCTGTCATGGCTACTATAGACTGGATAGTCATGCTAGAGTCCAGTGTTCCAGCCATTGAGATGTGACTTTCTTCACTCCCAGGCTCGCCCTACTGCTGCTCGGTGACAGTGTCGTCCATCAGCCATTCTGAGGCCTCTTGGTCGTCGGGAAGGAGACCCAGTTTATGGAATGTCTGTCCAAAAAGAGCGAATAGCTACTACTCTTACACTCACCGGAGTCACTGTGCCTTTCCGCAGTAATCTCGTCGAAAGGTACAATAAAGACCGTGGAGCACGCGACTCTTGAGTCTTGATATGCCCAGCGAAAGCCCAGCCGCCGGAACAGGCTTCCGGGAGTCCGCCGATGCGGAGCTGCTAAGCATAGCTCCTGGTCAATGTTTCTCACCATTACAATTGCTACCGCTCGTCGCATACAACAAAACAACTGTCGCCAGTCGACCCGAAACATCTGGAAACATGGCCGCTCTGATCAAGGGCCTCAATGCCCGCATAAGGGCGAACCCGGTCTCGGACTACCTATGCTCTACTCGTGAGTCAGCCGCACCCTGGACTACATGCCATGAAGAGGAGAGAACGTGATAGAGGGACATCCGAGCAGCCGGTGTATGAAGAGGAGTATTTACGGATGCTAACAAATCCATGCGCAGACTTCTGGGGCCCGGCCTCCAACTTCGGTATCCCAATCGCAGCCGTAATGGACACACAGAAGGATCCTGAGATGTATGACCATATTCCGCCCTGCGAATTACTACACCCACCGTCCTAACACTCACCTCCTCTACAGCATCTCCGGCCCAATGACCGCCGCCTTAATCGGCTACTCCGGCACCTTCATGCGCTACGCCCTAGCCGTCACACCGAAGAACTACCTCCTCTTCGGCTGCCATATCGTCAACTTCTCCGCGCAATCCACCCAAGCATACCGATACGTCAACCACCATTACCTCGGCGGCAGGGAGAAGGCTTTGGAGCAGCAGGCGAAGGAGGGGCTGAACAAGGCGGGCGCGAGTGTGAACTCGGCTGCTTCGGAGGCGGAGAAGGGGTTGAAGCAGGCAGCGAACAAGGTGGAGAGTACGGCTAAGGATGTGGCCGCGAAGGCCCAGGCACAGGTTAACAAGGTTGTGAGGTGAGGTGTTGGAGAGTGCTGGAGGTACGTGGCAGTCATAAGTTTCTACTTATTCCTTCCCCCCAGCGAGATCATTTATGTATTGTACAGCAACTACTATTGATCACAGCTCAATTCGCCCATCACCTCGTATTTCCTGCTGGTTTGAGTATCGGTCAGCGAAGCTCGGTACCTTGTCTGTTCATGGAGGATCACCTGCTTCTCGCAAGCCCGGTCTTTAATGCGTACATTTGACGTCCTGCGGAGATAAGCGAACACATGCTGGATGTACTGGGATGTGAACACTCTTCTTTGATCGTATCTACAAGACTTTGCATGCTATACAGCTCGACAGATTTTCGCCTCCCAGATGCCACTGTAGCCTTGCCCATGCGGACTCATGCACCCAAAGTACAAAATTGGACTCCACTCGCGAAAATCTCTCTTTGCTTCACCATGAAATACGCCCAACAGATGCACAATTTTGCCAGATCTCCTAACGCCATCCCGTTCAGCTAGCCCGCAGGCATTGCACTTCACCGAGCGCCATTATCATACAATTCATACCCATACTCCCGAATCATAACCACTTGACCCGCTCCCTTCATGAGCCAGAAGACGAACACTTCGAAGTCGCATTCGCCCACCCAGTCAACCGGTTCGCAACATCAGAAACATAACACGCCGTCGCGCCTGCCGCCTCGGACAGATTGCCGCTGGTAGGCAGGTATCCAGAATTGTATCCTCGCGCCGCACTGTACGCATTTCCGTAGAGGTCGAGATTCTGCACCAGACCATACCCGGCGCTTTGGTTCGTGCCTTGTGTTCCGTCCTGCACCATTTGCCAGATCGAGGCGTTGGCGTGGGTTTCGGAGTAGACTTTGCCGTTGTGCGATTGCATTAGACCTGGGTTGGTGATTCCAGTGCTCGACGTTGTTTCGCCTACGCGAACACAGCCGTGGGATTCTTGAAGAATGATCGCTAGGATGAAGCGATGATCGACGAGCGATGCGGCCGCGCGATCCTGGATAGCGGCGTAGATGTACTCGTTGTCCTTGTCGCTGTTGTCTTTTCCCACTTTCAAGTTCTTGCAAGCATGCTTCATGGCGTAAAGGTTGCCGTTCCAAAGGTCCTGGAAACTGATCCATTTGTCTGGGTTGGGGAATTGGTCGGCCGTACCGGAGTAGTAGGTGTATGCATCTTGTCCGGCTCCCACGCCATCGTTGACGTTGCTGGGATCGTTCTTCGTTGCGCCGAAGTTGAAGGAGGTTTCGTTCGTGACTTGGTCGGTCAGAGGGATGTAGTTGTATGGCGTGCTCTTGTGTGTAAGGGCGACGACGATGCCTATCACGACGGCTAGGATGATAACGGCCACAACTGCGATGATTCCGAAGACAACGTATTTTCTCTTTTTACTCCAGCCAGCTTTTGGTCGTTGGGGTCGGGGTCCTTTTAGTGTGTTGAGGTTGTCATATGTGAGAGGCGCATTGTGGTTGTCATATGTCGATCTGTCGTCGTCTTGTGAATATTTTGATGGCATGCCATATGCCTTTTGCGCATGATCGTCGTACTGATCTAATTCCTGGTTCGAGCTGTAGAAGGCGGCCGTGTTGCCCACAAGTGGACTGTAGGAGCTGCTATAGTATCGTTGTGGTGCCGCCATGATGAGGTACGCTTTAGCGAATGACTGTGGTGAGTGTAGGCGAGCAGAGAAAGTGGCGCGAGGTGATCGAGAAGGTTAGTAAGAAGGTGGTTTACCTTCTCAGCAGGGTAAAGCAAGATGGAAGGTGACGGGGAGTACGTGGATGGGCCCGTTGTTTTGTGTTTCCATCACACGGCCGAAGGATCCGGGCGCCACATATGAAATGCTATTTCAGGGCTGACCGTTGAAACGATTCAACCGCTGTGCCGCACAAGCATGATGCAGGTGGCACTGGGGATGAGTAATAGCAGTAACCTTCCATCGACGACCACTTGCATCTCTAGATCATACCGTGACATTTCCAGCGTGTTCCAATAGTACACAAGTCGAATAGGCAAGATGAATGTCGTGGTAACATGGTTGAGCATCTCTTCGAGAAGCCGCTTGCTCACTCCTGCATGCGTCGCCAAGACCTACTAATGTAGCCGAATATTCTTGGGATGCATACGAGTGGCAGTGTCGATTATGCATCTATCACGTCGTACAGATGTCCAGCAGTCTAAAATAAAACCACGAGTCTCAGACATGTCGGGCACTGCTGAGGAGATATGTCATGGTCAACAAACATATGCCTGCTGTCGCGTGCTGATATGCAGGCACATCTGGTGGCGTAAGGCTGTTGTCAGCCACGATGCAGGTACGAAGTACAGTTTGGTGGTGTGATGGAATGCTATCGTGTCGTGAAACATCGAGACCAATACCATATCAAGCTCAAGGTCTAGATGAAAAGTGGATGGAGACAGAGAGCATGCTGCCGTCGCTCGCCATACATCATGGTATTCGGAAACTAGGATAACAGAGCCATAAGTACATACGACACGACCAGCGCGCCCATCAACCGTCTCCCAGCACCAATTTTGGGCGCTGCACCGAAACCCAGCTGGTCTTTCGCATTCTCGCCGGGCTTCAAGACTTGTTGTCGATATCGACCTCCGACATTTCCCGGTGGGAAGTACTCGCAGACCATCATCCAGCCCTTGACTCCAACACTGCTGTCAGACTTGCATTGTACAGCGCCGCAGCCTACGGAAGTAGTATTCTGCCACACCAGCTGTGTGTAGTGTCCTGTTGACTCGTGGAACTTTGGTTTGGCATAGTTGTATTTACTTTCTTCACCAGCCCATGCGTCTATAGCAGGGACTGGGCTGTCGTAGCCTTCGGCCAGATTCTCGCCGTACGGACCGCCCTGTGTGCATTAGCGACGCCGTGATCAAAGGCTGGCGAGACTCACCGAATGCTGCCAGACACATTTCGAGGCAGTGTCTTGCGCAAATTTAGCCAGGGTATCGTTCCAGCTCAATCCGCCTGCTTGATGTTGAGCTCGGTAATAGTTCGTGCTGTTCAGTACTGCAGCTTGGAAGGCATCCCCAGTATAAGACATTGCGCCAGTGGCTGCAGGTCCTACCGTAGAGTGAGTAGCCGTGGCGGAGGAAGAAGAGACCATTGTCTCGCCCGCGAGAGTCTCTGTCTGTGTAGTCGTAAAGGGTATGGATGATCCGTTGGGTGTGATTGTGCTTGTCACCGTGAGAACAGTCGTGGTAGATGTTATTGTAGTCGTGGTTGTCCGATCGGCCTCTACGCGCCCAAGGAAGATGAACAGCAGGTACAGGCACGCCACCTGTGCGGCGCAGGTCTCAAAGATGAAGTTCCGCATCGTGACGGTCCTGCCGGTGCTTCTCGCTAATCGTGGAATGTGAGGAGGCCTGCTCTTGCACTTTTTCTTGTGGGCAATATTCAGAGAAGATGGCGAAGGAAAGAATTATCACGCACTCCTACTTCACCTGTTCACTACTATACACCTCGCGTCTCCCCGCGCCAATCTGCGTCTCATAAACAACCTCCGTCGGAACACAAATGAGATATTGTATGGCCAAGATTGCAGGATGGCAGGGCGATGAAACACTTCACGCGGCGCACGTCGCGTGCCTGTAAGTTCATGCCTCAGACATCTTCACGCACGAGCCATAGCGCTAGCGCGAAAAATCCCGTATATCAACTTACTGCACCTCGTCCTCCTTTTTCTTTCGGCATCAAAAAGACAACGGAGCAGCCACGACCTACACCCGACCCATAACCCTGCTTCTTCACGGGGCGGTGGTTGTGGGTGAAATCCACGGTGCCTGTGTTGCCAGCTTCCAATGGAAGCATTGCTCTGAAGACCAACTCTCCTGGATATAGGAAGCCTGCTCCTCGATGGGTCGCTTTATTGCGGCGATGAGTTGGAGGTGTCCGAGAAAGGAGCACATCTGTGACTTGGAAGTGATGACTTTGCATGCCGTCGATGATGAGATGATAGGCAATCTCGGCGAGCAGAAAGAAGTGATGGAGTTTTCGCTTGCTCGGCTATGAATACCTTTCCACCACCAATACTCTATCATGCCCTGAGGGAGAATTACGTGACGATCGGTGAGCTTACGTAGTTTGTTTGCATTTGCCCACAGTCACGAATCTTGCAACTGCTCTCGTAACGAAGTTGACATGGCGGATCACGAGATTGCTCACGGTTGTAAGGGGAGGCCGGAGTACCCTTGCAAGCACAACAGTCGCATGACGAGCACTAAGCAATAGATCACGGGGCAATTCGCGGTGGCACCCCACTCACATGCGCAGCCATTTCATGGTCAGCTTGGCATATTGTGGGCATGATAGCCCTTATCCCAGGTCCCGTGCGCGAGTTTGGCGAGAGTGGCAGAAGTGCAGTGTTGAGGCGAGTAACGAGGCATTTCAGACTCAGGGAGAAGCAAAGAGACAGCGATCAATGGTTAAGCGGCATGTCACATCTATGGTGAAGCCTCCATTATACGATCTTGCTCAAGCATGAGAAGAGGAAGCAGTAAAGCTCCGATAGGCCGGCTGTAGATTGTCAAGGCTACTGTAAACAACCATGCTCTTTTGCGCCGAGTCCGATGAACGCTCATCGACGTGCTCTTGCAGAGTCCCTCGTTGCAGTCCACAAATCACATCCGAGTCTCTTGTGTTTACCTCACAATACCCTCGAACCTGTTCTTGAACCACTTGACGGTCTCTTGTTGATCGATCTTGTGCGAGGAGCCAATCTTGGTTTGGCAGCGGCGGCGCTTGGCGACACGCTCACCTGGTCGGGTCCTATAACAGATATGTCAGCATGTGCACATCCTTTCAAATACTTTATGTCGTCCTCCACTCACATGCAGCAGTAGAAGTCCATGCCGTAGATACCAATCGCAGGGTCGTACTTGATGCCGAGATCGATGTGCTCAGAGATGCCGAAGCCGAAATTGCCAGTCTCGGAGAAGTTGCGCTTCCTCAACTCATACTCCTTGACCTTGAGGCCACGCTCCAGAATCTCCTCGGCCTTGGGGCCACGGACGGTGACGTGGACGGAGATCTTCTCGTTACGACGGATACCGAAAGTACGGACGGTGTAGCGAGCCTTGCCTGCAGCAATGTGTAAGTATTTATCCCATCTCGCCTACTCTCGCTCTGGCATCTCTGCAAATTCCACATACTGTAGACTGGTGTCTGACCGCTCAACTGCTCCAACACCTTTGCCGCTCTTGTCAATCTATCACCAGACTCGCCGACGGAGATATTGAGGACCAGCTTCTGAATGCGAAGCTCGCGCATGGGGTTGCCGCTCTTGTCCTTGCCGCTACCCTCGGTCTGCTGTGTTGAGGATTGTCCCTTTGCCTGTAGGAAGATTGTTTGTTAGTGATTGCCATTCACCAGCCCTTGTGCGCGTGTTATATGCTCGGTGAAGTCGGATATTGGTGGTTCATGTATGTGCTGATATATCGAGTATACTCACCATTATGCTAGTGAGTCGTCACGTCCTGGCTATGGCTGTGTGTGATATTCAATTCATTCGCTGCCGGCTTCGATGTCGAGAAGCGGGATTTGCAGATTTGGTGCGAAGCTGGAAAGCCTTGGCGCGCTAGCGCACATGACTCGGGTTTCGCAGCGCCAGCAACTTTCTAGATGCAGTCGCGTGAGGTATCGAATGCGACAAATCAATACTGCCATTCGACACTCACAGCATCTCCTCGTTCCTGAACCACTCAAAGCACGCACACCTCGAGAAAGCATCAGTCGTGCCTAGGCGCGCATATTAAGCATCATGGCGGCATCCAACAAGCAGGGCAAGATGGTGAGTCTCTCTCAGATCTCCTCACGCATTAGAATATGCGTTGACATGGACAGACGACTGACATGTGGTGTAGCAAGGCTTCGTAAGCAAATGGTCTTATCACTCTGTCCCACGCCGTACTAACACAATCTAGATCAACTACCGCATGCGAGCCACAATGAATGACGGACGACAATTAGTGGGCCAAATGCTCGCCTTCGACAAACACATGAACCTCGTCCTAGTGGACTGCGAAGAGTACCGTAAAGTCAAGCGCAAGACCAAGGCTGGAGCACCTGGAGCTACCGCCCCACAACAAGTCGTCGAGACGGAGGAGAGGCGGTCACTGGGTCTGGCGATTGTGAGAGGCGCACATGTGGTATCCTGCTCGGTAGATGGACCGCCTCCTTCGGATCCGGCTGCGAGGATGGGTACGAGTGCGGCAACACCTACTGCTGCTGCAGTACAGACGCCTGGCATTTCGAGACCAGCGGGGAGAGGTGCTGGGGCAGGGTTGCAGGGCCCGATGGGCGGGCAGGGTACTTTTCCTGGCTTTCCTGGGGCGCCGCCGATGGGGAGAGGGTTCCCTCCGCCAGGATTTGGGCAAGGCCCACCACGTAAGTGTTGAGGTGGTGCGATTTTCGTGATCTCAGGCTGACATTTGTGCATAGCTGGCTTTGCTGCTCCGCCACCAGGGTTTCAGCCGCCACCTGGCCGCGGAGGATTCGGCGGCAGATGAGAGCGTTCCACTGACATGGAAGACACCGAACTACTGTGATTTGCCTGCACAAATGTTGCTCAGCCTCACGATTGATGCCCTTGACCTCGGCACCCCAGTCATGAACACTGTGCTTGGAGTCAAGCGGGAAAGAGGCCGCCGAGAGCAGTGAGTAGACAGAAATGCAAGCATTAGCGACGGCGTTGGTAAAGACGGCAGGTCAAGCACCGTGCTCCATGGCGAAAAGAGGAACATATATTTTCACCGATATGAGTGCATCATAAGCTTGCCTGCTATCCCTTGAACGCGTGAGCTCGTCTTCAGGAATATTTGTAAAGTCGAGTGGCGATAATATGTGCTTCTGGTATGTAGCTCGATATGTGGTCGTGCCTTCCTCAGCATCAACGATCCAAGATCAACGTCACTTCGTCCGATCTCCGACTTTACCACCACTTCATTCGTCCCCCTTTTAATCCACTTCGTCCAAGACAACACGGCTAAGACTGTTTTGCGAGTATCATAGGTGTCCCGACAGCCATCGCAACAACACATACTCGGGCACAATGGTAAGTGCACAGTAATAAACTGTAGCGGAGTACCATTAACATCACTTCCAGGGTCAAAAGCTCAACTGCAATCCATTGAAGCTTGCTTCTTTGGTGGCGTACTTCCAGAAGTCTCGCGTGGCACATAGTATCAAGGACCTCGAGAAGGCTCTCCCATCAGTCGCTTCGATCAATGGCGTGCAGGTCAAAGGTGAACGATCGAAGGGCCACGCAAGAAAGACGTTGGCGCCGGCTGACATCCCTAACAGAGTACTTGCAGTCCCTTCAAGACGAAAACAAGATCAACGTCGAAAAGATTGGCTCCGGCAACTGGTACTGGTCGTTTACTTCCCAAGATCAGAAAGTCCGCCAGAAGGCTCTCGACGAAGCTCAAGCTGCCTATGAGAAAGCCAAGACTGTTAACTCTGAGCTCAACAGCAAGCTAGCCGAGGCAGCTGAGCAACGTGCTAGCGAGGAAGACATGCTCGACGATGCGGGCGAGAGTCGTGAAGATGTCATCGCTACCAAAGCTGTTCTGGAGAAGGAAGTGCAGGCGCTAAAGAAGCAGCTCACTGCGTACAGTGACAGTGATCCAACGGAGCTGGAGCGTAAACGTGGAGAGCTTATTGAGCACAAGGACAAGGCAAATGTGCTGTGTGACGAAGTCTACAGCATGGAAGGCTGGTTCACGAACGCTGGGCTTGACAGAGAGGCGCTTGCGGTACTAAGGATGAAGATATATGGGGACCAATTTGATGCTGAGGAGGGTGTGCTCAAGGAGTATGATTGATGGTTTCACAAACTGTGAGACTTCGACTCGTGGCGCGCTTGCCGAAGGCGGACTCTGCCTAAAAACCAGGGGTGCCTCTGATAGGGGTATACAAGGTGTACAGATACCTTGCTCCTACGTGTGCCATTGTTGAGGGCCAAAGCATGACCCACTATGCAGTCATGGCTTTACTTGGGTTTCGTTCGATGCCCATAGCTGAACGTCCACGTCGTTCCGTCTTATAGTACAGCCGTACCGGGGCGCTTCTATGACCTGGCGAAGGATCTGGTCAGACCATCATGCTGGATTGCTTTCCAACCGCAGACTTCTTTGTGCCTGAATATAGCCAAGCAGAGCCTTAGCTGAATGCAAAGAATCCGGCGAAGCGTACTTGCAGCCCTCGATCAGCCATAGTGGGTAGTGTGCTATCAACAGGCCGGTATCATTTAGTGGCAGACCAGTCGCTGCGCCGTGGACATCCACACTACCGATCAGGAACGGCATCGTGTCAAGTAAGAAGTTACAGCCTGAGCAGATCTCCTCCAGGCATGTCTGCGTATTCGAGAAATGTCTGCTTGCAACATCGCTCCATCCAGTTCGGCTCTTGTCAATTATTGCCTCAAAAATCTTGATGCGAGACATATGGTACAGGATCCAATCTCGAATCACCCAAATCTGTCCTGATACCAGTATTGATGGCCTGGCAGACACAAGAGGGGAAGCTTGATCCTCCAGGCCATGTCCTTCGACTCTCCATAATCTTGATACGTGCTTGTCAGAATCAAGCCAGCGCTGCGTGTCGACTAGTACGCTGCAGAGTCTCCGCATGGCCATAGCCTGTCCCTCATCACTCGCTCGAGCGACTGCAGAGTCGTACAGACCACCCTTCAACATATAGAGGAGATCGCAGGACTCATTTACGAGCTTCGCGACCCTCCTATCCAGGACGGTGGTGCCTAGCATAGTCTCGTGTCTCCCTTTCCGAGTCATCGACGGCAGACCGCACAGCAGCTGGCGAGCCAAGATCCTGGGTGCGGCAATGCGCTCGAAAGCAGACTCGTGCGTGCAGTCCGGTGCTTGGAGATCACGTAGGCGAAGAAGCTCGACAATCGCACTGGTATGCGCTCCTAGCGGGGCCGGACGTCTGATGTATAGGATCTAGACCAAATCAGCTGGTTGTCATTGACACCAGTGGCTGTGTTACTGACCTCATATGCATCGATGGCAAGTATCGCCGTCAAGAACTCGTCTCCAGCCACAGAGAATAGTAGAGGACCAGCGATTTGATTCTTGACCTGTTGCAATGTTTCATGGTACGCCATGCAGGACTGTGTCGCAGCATCGCCATGCGACTCATTGACAGCAAGATCAGCGAATGCGATGGCTAAGATAGCACATCCAATGGGACTTGTCTGCTTGGCTTGATTGTGCACACGGATGATTGCATCCTGTCGTCCAAGGCATGTAAGGCCCGAAGTCCATCGTCCCAGAAAGCGCGCGAGTACACGATCTTTGAGCTCCCACACGACACTCGCGCTAATAGTCGGGGTGGAAAAGTTATTGCACTTCCCTTGTACTGCTGTCGAGACCAGGGAGTCGTGAGAATCATCCGGTACCGGCGTGAGCAAGCCCAGCTGCAGTTTCACCGTGGTACGAGCAGTCCTGGATGCTCTGCGTCGGCTCAGGTCGGCCGAGTACTTGTTCTGATCCACGAATGCTCGTTCTTGCTTATCAATGTAGGTGCACTCCAGTGATCTGAGCATGCATCTACCACAGGTTGGCCGAGCTCTATCGCATCGTTTCTGAGATAGATGACACGGATGGCATCGTTGTCGCGGCGGCATACTGTACCTATTTGAGACGGATGGAGCAAGTCATAAAGAGGCTTGAAATAAGCAGCCCTCTGGCGGGCACATGCATACAATTACATTGCTGTTACCATAAGATTCCAGGCTTACCCTGACGACAGAAGGCAGTAATGGGAAGTATGTGAGAGATAACGGACTATACCTGGATGGGTATTGCATGAAGCGAAGCCAACGCTAGCCTACTTCCAGCGGTCGAAGCGAGACTCTATCTCACGACTGCCGATGACCAAGACGGATTCATGCTCAGTACGCTGATGTGGCGTATGTCGAACAGTGGTAGACCGGTCAAAATGTCCATCGTTGGAGGCAAGAGTTGCGGCCGAACGCAGATCGTGGTCTACTACCCAATCTGAACACTCCACCAATGCTATACATATGATGTTGTCAATCTCTGCAAGATTGAGAAATCCTAGGCAACTGTGCAGGTCTTTGCCATCATGTCTACTGCTCATTTACGGTGAGAAGGACAGATCTACCAAGACCAACGTACTGGACGAAATTCAAGAATACCTTATGGACAACCAGCTCACGGCCAAACGGCTGGGACCTTCCCTAGCATGTTCCTCGGCGCGTACAACTCCACGTTTAGCCAGAATGTGAAGCCACATCTGTACGGTAACTCGCCAGCAGTCCTCACGCCCCTGTATGAGAAGATCTACCACCGAGGCGCTTCCACGATTGCGCCCATCGCAGCTATCGCTATAGCATCGAATGCTTACCTTGCATACCAAAGCCGAGATGAGAAGAAGCGACGGATGTATGGGACGGCCGCAGTGCTCGTGTTTACGACGCTTTCACTCACCGCGTTCGCGATGGAAGGTGGTATTGACCGGCTCATTACTATCAGTACAGATCATGATCTGCAGAGCAAAGCTGGTATCGATATCGAGGTCGTAAGGTTGTTGAAGACTTGGGCGGCTCAGAACTACTTCCAAGCTTCGTTGCATCTGACGGGAGGACTGTTGGGCCTGTACACTACACTGAGCTAAGGAGCCTGGTAGTGAAATACTGCTGAGCGGGGAGTTGTGTGAAGTATGCTGTAGTCTACCCCTTCGCAGGGAAACGCTTTTCAAGTCCATGAGCAGCGTACATGCCGAGACCTGACCCATAAGCCGAGTCACCCGCTACTGTGTCGCGTACGATAGGGGTATCCGAGTGCAGATCGTGCATCGTTAAACTTGATTTCGAGACTTTCCACGCTCAGCCGGCTTTCGAAACAGCCCCTGCATCCAGCACCGATACATCTTGAGCTTTCGTTGCCGATTGACCAGCATCCTCCGGTCGACTGCCAGATCCAAGATCTCGAATGCCAACCGATAAGCATCATCTCCGCAGTTGCCTTGTGCGTCGATGGGACCGCTCGGTGGCTTGCCGGTCCAGATGTCTCGCAGCTCCTGCTCCTCGAAGAAGTAAACTCTGGTTCCATCGCCACGCACATAAAAGTTCTCCTCCAAGTACCTCCCCTTCTTGAACCTCACCTGCGCCAGATCTCCTCGTCCGTAGTCCCGGAAGAAGACTTCACCTCCGGGTTTCAGTAACGTGAAGACGTTCCTCACAGCCTGCTGCCACTGGTCCGGTGAGAGGGCGGAGAAGATGAAGATGAGAAGGACGATATCGACACTTCCGGCTACCAAGCCAGGAGACAATTCATCGCTTGCCACGTCCCAGACATCGGCCTGCAACACCTTTGGCTCCTGCATCTGATACGCTTCCTGCGCCCGAATGACATCGATAGCCTTCTTACTGTAATCACACGCATGCAACTTCAACTCCTCGTTTCGATTCATAGCCAGGATCGGAAAAGCAGTATTCCCCGCGCCAGCGCCGACCTCCAACACCGTAACATCACCATAATCCTCCCTTGTAACTTCGCCTAGAACGGGACATTCTTGCACCAACCATTTCCGGTCCTTGAAGAAGTTCGCTTGGTTGTTGGAGTAGAACTTATCCCACCATTTCTCTGGTTGGGTGTTGAAGCGTTTCTTGTCGAAGTCGTTGACTTGATTTTCTCGCTGGAAAGAAGTCTGCTGCTCGATAAAGTCCGCATATTGAGGATCCACTTCTACATGGTCCCAGGCGTTGTGAGCGAAGATGTCGTCGCCTTCCTCTAGATAGCGGGTACCGAATTGGAAAGGATCGCTACGCTTGTGTGGGTTGTTTTCGGTGGCATCTGTCGTTGCAGGCTTGCGGACGGGCTCGTATGTCGCGGGTACGCCATATGCGTCTTCGCCTGCTGTGATTTGCGATGGTGGCGGTGGCGTTGCTTCGGAGACGGTAACATAATTCCGCATATGTTCCATGCCGTTGGACAGTTGTTGCTTTGGCTGTTTCCGTCGCACAGGTAGTGTGGCCTCCGCTCCAGCAGGATCGATATTGTCGACCGCCATGGTAGAGTCGCTAGTGCGTCAGATAGAGATTCAAGATTTAGTGAAGTCGAAGCATGAAATTGCTCGCGTGCGTGCCTGCCGATCGAATCGTGGAGATGGCCCGCGCCGCTGCAACATCTCGCCGGGATTTGACAGCCGAGCACGATGCGCTAAGAAAGTCTATGTAATGGTATGAAATCATGGTTTCGTGTTGCTACATACCTTCTCCTACCACATCCTCCCCACACTCTGCGGCATTGTGACATTGCGACATTGCTCACTGCTTTTGTTATCCCTTGTTTCTTCCCTCGCTCATGATGCAGACCCTACGACCCATCTCCCACTTCGCTACTGCCATTAACCAAACCCTGCTCTTCGCAAGTCGACAAGCAGTACTACGAACAACCCACCAAGCCAAGCCACTTCAACAACAGCATCATCGCACCTTCGTCACCAACCCCTTCACACCGAGCCCGCAATCCCTAACAGCAACGCGCACTTTACAATACCCAAGCAAACTCATCTACGCCATCATCTCCGACGTGGGCTCATATAGCACTTTCCTACCTTATTGCCAAGAAAGCGTCGTCACAAAACACTCACAACCTGCTTCAGATGGGAAGGAATATCCCGAGGAGGCGACGTTGGTAATTGGATTTAATAACGATGTCAGCGAGAAGTTCACCTCGAGGGTGTATTGTATACCTGAGCAAGTGGTCGAGGCGGTGAGTGGAGAGGCGGAGACAACACTTGATCCGAAGGATATTGCACACCATAGTCCACGGTCACAGTCCACATCGTCAGACGCGAGCAGGGCCAACTCAAAAATCTCCTCGATATTAACGAGATGGACACTGAAACCTTACCCGTACAAACCACCACCTCTTTCCGCTCTACATCCCGATACGGCACATAACAACCACAATGAGACGAGCGAGATACCGAGTCAGGAGAGGACGGAGGTAAATCTCACTATCGATTACCAATTCGCGAATCCGATGTATGCTGCTCTTAGTGCAGCAGCGGCGCCCAAGATCGCGGACAAGATGATTGATGCGTTCGAGAAGAGGGTGAGGAGTGTGATTGAGGGACCGGGAAACACGCAAGATAAGGGAAAGGCATTCGAGGGTGTACTGAGGTCGAAGTAAGCTGTGTAGGATACATATAGATCTTGAAGGTAGAAGCATTCTTGTACAGCTTGTCAATCTGAGCAGTCTAATCCAACCTCTGACGCTCATGCGTAACGCTTAGCCTCAGCATACTCTTGCCCATGATGAGCCATACGACCTAGTCTCGTACCGTCCTAACTAGTTATTCGACTGGCTGTTCAATATCCTGAGGATGCTCAAGAAGAGGTTGATCACGTCCAAGTACAGTGAGATCGCCGCGGCAATTTCCTCCTCCACATGATAATGTCGCATCACCAACTGGGTATCCACGAGAATATACCCGCTGAACACCAGCGCTCCTACGACTCCATATCCCAACTCAACGGCGCTGCTGTGGCCTGGGAAGAATGCGGCCATGAAGCCGAAGAGGATCATGATCCAGAGTGCGCCGAAGAGGTAGGGTTGCCAGGCTGTGAAGTCGTATTTCGATTGGCAGGCGAAGACGGTGAGGAAGAGGAAGATGCCGAGGGTGAAGAGGAGGGCTTGGAGGACTATGCGGGACTCTGTTCAAGCATATGATTAGTATTACTGTGTCATTATCTTTGGGCAATATTGTGCTTACCGTAGAAACTCGTGATCACGGATATGGAGTAGGCTTCCAGGCCTGTGAACCCAGCCAAGAAGATCAGGTTGGTGGGATAACTCTTCCGTTTCCAGAACGTGAGCAACATGAACCCGATGGCGCCGAACAACGACGCCCACATCATCCATTGGTTCGACTGGATCCAATTCTTGTACGGCGTGCTGAAGAAGCTGACGGCACTCAAGGCGGTGGTGAAGAGGAGTTGGACTGTGAGGATGGCGTAGACTTTGCGGATGAATTGCATACGGATGGGCAGTGTGGCTTCGGCTACGCTCCCACCGAACTTGAAGTCATCGGGGACGTTGTCGTCTTCGCTGCGGGCAGTTCCTGGGACGGGCTCCTCAGCCTGGTAGGAGGGTGGCGCTTGAGAGTAGCTGGGCGCGGCGGGCTCGTCGAGGGAGTCCCTCACCGGCACCGGCGTGTACTTGGGGTTGGTCGCCATCATCCGGATTAGTGGCGGGTTGTGGGCGTCTGATGCGTGAGAGGCGCAGGTGGAGGCAGGCGATGAAGGGGAATTATGATGTTGGTAGAAGGCAGCTGCTTCATGTGTCTGAGGCGAAGACGCAGACGACGATTCGTGCACGTGGGGCGGCCCATTTCGTCCTAGCGGCATGACATGTGACTCGCTGCTCGACTTCGCGTTGCTTCTGCCAATCAACCTATTATTGATGGCAGATGTCCGATGTAAAGCCTGCACTTGATGCACCCCGACGATGTGGCCCTGGGGAAGATGATGCTTTCCACGGCCTGGTCATCAGCATTGCCTTATTCTGGCATGGATCCAACCATGATTGCCGTACTCCCAACACAACATAGAGGCACACAGTAGAGCATTATGGTGCCGGAACACTCAGATAAATTTCCAAGCCCAGTGCATCGAAGCGTCGCTGTCCCAGCGGGATTGCCGCCATGGCAACGTCTGAGCACCGTCTTTTGTATCCGCCTGTGAAGGTCTCTGGCCCCAAGGAGACCCGGATACTGGATCTTTTACCTGGAAGCTGGCATGACGCGCTTGCTGTCACAATTCAAGTAGTCTCTTTGGACACTAGTCCAACATATAAAGCTCTTTCCTATGTCTGGGGTCCAAGTACTGAAGGCCGGTCAGTGGTCATGGATGGCACACATGGAATGCCGATCACGGACAACCTCCATAGGGGCTTGCGTAGGATACGGCAAGAACGCAACATTACCACTCTCTGGATAGATGCGATCTGCATTAATCAGGACGATGTAGGTGAGAAGTCACAGCAGGTGGCAATGATGGGTGACATCTATCGAACAGCAACAGATACGATCGTATGGCTGGGAGAATCAGAACGGACATCTTCAATACACCTACGCCCGGTGTTTGCATCTCTGGTGTCGTTCGAGTACTACCTGCATTCTTGGACCAGCGACATCTACTGGATGGTGCAGCAGTATGTGGCAAGTCACTCTGGCGCTGTGCAGGCGGCCGCTGAACATCACGAGGCGGATCGGGTTCCCCCCTGGTACAGTCGTGCATGGACCGTCCAGGAATTTATCCTCTCCCGCAACGTTCACCTGTACTGGGGCAGAGCGAAGATCAAATACAGCCGTAGTACTCTGCCGTACGATATGGTAATGGTGGTGAGTCCTGGCATCATCTCCAAGGCGAGAGACAGATGTGGTGTGGATGTCTTCGATATTAAGCACCGCCTCAATATACTCGAGGCTTTCCGCGGCAGTGATTTCGCTGGACAGCGTTTGCTAGATGCTTACAATGCGCTCTTTACTTACAGTGGGCTTCCACAAGCGACCGATCCGAGGGATCGAGTACACTCGGTGCTTGGCCTGATTGATGCTGAAGAGGCGAGGCTGATCGGTGTTGATTACAATCTTACATGCGAGCAGGTCTCGGCAAAGGCTACGTTTGCTTCGATCAAACGGTACGGTGATCTGGAGGCCTTGTTTTATGTTCAGCTCAAGAGGCCGTCGGAGAACAGGGTACCTTCTTGGGCGGTCGACTTCATATCCGCTAAGATACCCAATTGGTAGTCCAGGATCGACTTCCGAGTTCAGGCCGATCCTGATAAATTCAATCTTGACAAGACCTTCTCCAGGCTCACCGTGAAAGGGTTTCTGCTTGATATGGTAGTATGCACAAAGCCAATACCAGTATGCAGAATGAAGTGCTCGAATGACTCGATCGAGCTACTAGAAGATGTGGGTGTTGAATCCTTATATGCTCTCATCCCTCCACAACCAGCCTCATCCGTGGTGGCTGATGACGGAAGGACACCTCCACTTCAGCCTGAAGGCACATCGCAGATACCATCCTCGTTCGGCCAGGCTCTCATTCTGCAGGCTCTTGAGCACAACCGTGTAATTTTATCGCGCTGCGACTTGAGTCTTGATCTCGAGACTGCCGACACGGAGCAGTTGTATAAGCGCATACCTTTCGTGCTGGACAGCATAGCTACTAAAGGTGCGGGAGAAGGAAAGGCGTTCATGACGGCTGGTGGCCTGATCGGCTGGGCACCGTGGACAATGTCACTCGGCTGTGTTCTGCTTCATTTGCCGGGCTCGGACTTCCTCTTGGTGTTGAGGCGGCACAAGGACGTGTTCAACTTTCTGGGTATGGCTTGTGTGCCAGGTGTCGGGGCTGATTTCATCGTAGATGGTCTCATGAATGAGGAGGAGTTTGTGATACCATGATACTCGGGAAGATGATCTTGCTACAGTATATGGTGATGAAGTAACCTACAATACTCGCAGCGAACACAGACGTCTTGGATCGAACCTTCATATGATCAAGAAACCCCGGTTCTTCCAATCAAGTACACTTGCTTGCTCCCTTGATCTGTCGACAGATCCGGTGCAACAACACGAACTGGAAGATCCATTCGCAGCGTCACACAACCCGAGTAACCCACGGTGTTCGGCTGCGCTCTCAGCCCCAGAGCGTGAACACGAGGCTAGATGTATCAGAGCAAGCATAAGTCACACCATTAGGCGAGTTGACGGTGGTGCACCCGTCGTTACCTGTCAAGGTGAAGGATTGGCCCGCGAACGGGTTGCCGTAGTCTGCTGCGACGCTGTAGTATAATAGACCGTTGTGGAGTTGACGGAATACCCGAAGATCAACTTAGAGACGGCTTCCGAGTAGGAATTCGGGTCGGTAGCGAAGCCCACGCTATAGCCTGTAGTGGAGGCAGTAGTCAGCTTGATACGTGGGTTCCGGCAGGAGGTTTGATACCTTTGCCAGACAGGATTACCTGGAAGTCTTTGCCTTTTGACAGGGTAAGCTGGGCGGCTTTCCACTGATCGTTGTTGTAGACGACATAGACGTTCTCTGGACAGTGGTTGATGACATAGAAGCAGGATGAGCGGCCAATGCTGTTGCTGCAAGGCCGAGGCTAAGAAGAGATTCAGAGAAGCGCATGGTCGTTTGCTGTGTGTGGTTCGTGTTGCGAAGGATGACTGTGAAGGTTCGCTCACTGGCGATTTCTGAGAGGAAGTCCTCTATATATGCCTTGTGGGTGGCCATCACGAAATTCGCTCTCGTATGGCTGGCTGCTATCTGCTGGAGAGTGTGGATTCATCCTGACCGATCTAGCCTGATGTCCACTATCATATCACCTAGCGATGTTACATCGTCTCTGCTCGAATGGCGCGCGATGGCCCCCAAGGCCAGTGCCCACATCCTCCCGCCGCGGAATGTAGAAATCTGTGGAGCCATGAATGGGCAGGAGGGACCGTTGATTGCGCAGCAGGCAAAAGATCTGTGGAGATTCCGCTTCATACTGCCTACCTTGGCACGTCAAAGACAACCCGACTATCACATTGATTCTAAACGAGATGGTTCTAATCGAGGCAGCCGATTGCAAAGCGGAGGGCTGCTATCAGAAGTGCAACACTCCTTCTTTCACCCTGTTAGAGTCAGACACGTGGAACTCAAACATCAGCTGAGCTTGACGTTGTGAGACGAAGCTAAGCAGAGTTTGGCGCTGTAGGAACGAGCCACTGCTGCAGGCCTCAGAATGTGAGGTCGACTCTGTCGTTCCATATGTTGGTCAACGAACTCCAGCCGAAGAGTGATAGGCGAGGATTCCTTGTAAACGTTGCACGGCATAACCGACACTAGGGGAAGCAGTTCGAACACGACGAGTGTGGTCGCACAAATACTTTCGGGCCTTCTATCTCTTGCTGGCCAATCTATTTAAAGGATACACCTCGGTACATAGCTATATATAACACTACGGCGATGTTCGAGACATCTGCGCGGAACTTTTAGCTAGATTATGCGCGGGTTCTAGCTATACGCTTTTATGATAAGGCAACTAGGCTTACTCTTAGTTCTTTACGCTATCTATAGGTTTAGACCTCTTTATAAGCAAGCTAAGCAAGTTATTACTATTTACTTAAGTTGCTTAATAGAACTCTAGGCCTTACTTAGCTTATAAGCAAGTATAAGGCTATAGCTTAGCTTACTTAGCTTACTTATTATTATCGCTATAGAGCTAGAATATTATATACCTATAGTATAAGGGGGTTAGAGCTCGTTAGACGAGTAAGTTCTAAGCGATAGGTTAGGTAAGTAACTACTCTAAGGTTTAACCTTTTAGCAGGTTAGTAACTTAGGTTAAATACGAACTACCTATATAAGAAACGTCTATTCTATATATATAGGAGATTCGTATATAGTTACGATTACCTAGCGGTAATCGTAAGCACTCTTTCTTATAGTTACTCGAGAGTAAGGGTAAGTAGGCTACTTACTTAAGGGTCTAGGTAAGTGTTACGGACACTATAACACGATTAGTAGGATAAGCGAGTAGATAGGAAGTTAGGAGCGGAGGCTTCCGCTCCTACAACTAATACGACTAATACTCCTTCGATTAGTCGGATTAGACACTACTAACAGAACTAACCGCGCTGCGATTAGTCGGATTAGTAGAGATACGAATCTCCTATATATATAGAATAAGCGTTTCTTATATAGGTAGTTCGTATTTAACCTAAGTTACTAACCCGCCGAAAGGTTAAACCTTAGAGTAGTTATTTACCCGACCTATCGCTTAGAACTTACTCGTCTAACGAGCTCTAACCCCCTTATACCGTAGGTACATAATATTTTAAATACCCTTATAGTAGGTAAGTACCCTAAGCAAATAAATAGCTCCTAACAACGAAAGAGACGTTAGTATAGCTTCGACTACTCGAGCTAGTGCTTCTACTAATAAAGATAGAGTAAAGTATTCCGCTAAACCGGACTTCTTCTATAGGGATCGTAACAAGCTCGATAACTAGTTAAACTAGATTATGCTATATTTCTCCCTTAAAGATATTATAAGCGAACAACGACGCTACCGTATTATAGTATCCTACCTTCGAGGCGAAGCTTAAAGCTAGATACGTCCTAAGTTAACTATAGTCCTACTCGAGAATAGAGACCTAGATAGGATCTTTGCCGACTTCTCGGAGTTCGCTAAATAGGTTAAGGGAATTTATAGACTTAGCAATAACTAGTAAGTCGCTATTTAGAATATCTAACACGTTACGTAGAAAGCCTCTATATCCTAGTATACTACTAAGTTTAAAGAGGTTTCTACTCGTACTAGATAGGACGGCAATACGTTAAGATCTATATACTATCGAGGACTTAAGGATAACGTTAAGGACGAGCTTATAAGATACGGAGGACGCTAAGACACCTTAGAATATTTATAGGAGGCTACAATTAAGGTAAACGATATACTCTACGAACGATATATAGAAAAATATAATACTAATTAGGACCGCGGACGAACTAGCTATACTCCCTACGGCCGGACCGGAGGATAGTAACGTCGCGACCCTA